AATACTGAACTTAACAGGAAATTCTTCATTTCATCTTTTAAAATTATTTGCACAATCTTACATATAAGGAATGTGTGTCTATTTAAATCATGTTTATTTATTTTAGTTAAATTTTGACGCCTTAACAGTTCAATCAATCGTTATGAAATTTGATATTTATATACGTAGAATTTAGGATGGAGAAGACTACATTTTATTCGAATTTATCAACATTATATCAGTCACACGAACGAATTAGCAGGTAAAAACTAGTTTTCTTTAATCCTGAAGTTTTTAATGATTCTTAAAGATATTATTGTCAAGAAATTAAGTTTGTTTTTATATCAGTTTCTTACCTTTTTGCTCACAAATATGTGTGGCTAGCATAACATTTTCACTAAATATTATACTAATAATTTATTCCGTTTTTGTACCTATTCGATGTGTGTACTGTATTGCCGGTAATAGACTCTGTTTAAAATTTTTTTCCTGTTTTCATTAATCTGTACTTTCCATATGACATCAATCAACCTACAAACAGTTCACTGCAGCTCACAACCACCATTATACATTTATTTGTTTTTTTTTTTTCATTAATTTGTAAACATATCTCTTTATTCTAATAAGTAAAATAAATTGATTCCACTGTAGAAAGTAATATTGTCGGTAACGTTTGCGGCAGATAGTGTAAATGGCCGAAGCGAGCCCCCGCCGCGTGCTCATCCACCATCCATTCTCTGATAACATCCGTTTCCTGGGTGGCGGTCCATCTCGGTGCATCTCCGACTCTCACCATTGTTTAGAATAGATTCATACGGTCATCTCCGACCGTTCAATAATAGTGCACAATGAACGTTTCATGTACAAGTGATCGGATGAAAATAAATTTTATGGTAATGCATCCATTGCAGCACACGAATATGTAACCGTATATTCTCAATACAAGTTTAAGGGCTGTTGCACAAGCGTCGAGTCGAGTCGAGTGTTGTCGCGGCGTGGGTGAGCTCAACAGCGGTTCCTAAGCGGATTCCCTGGTACTATTATGATGATGATTGATCTGCGATTACATTTTTTATCGATTACAAAAATAAGGATTTTCTCATTGCTTTTTTACTAAAATCTTTTACAATGGTTTCATACAATTGCACAGATATGGTAAATGCAATTTATACCACCAAGCATAATTTATTTTTATCTTATGACTAGCTTTTATCCTTTACTTTATACGCGTTGATTTTGGAAGTAGGTAATCGCTTCTAGATAGCGCCTCAAGATGTAACATATACCAGATTTTAAATTAGACTTTTAGAAATACAAATGTGGAAAATAGCGTTCGATTTGGTGTAGTAATTTTTGTATGATGCCGAAACAAACATAGAAACAAACAGATCAAAATTCTAGAAATTAATATTTTAGCTTTTATTCTTCTAATTAAGACCCCTTACATCAGTTTCTTAAATATCTCCTGTGTACAGCGATAGTCTAGTTATTATTTTACTGTAGATATTAGTATGAATGAATGAATATTTACTAAATATTAGTGATTGCCAGTAGCATATATGTAATTTTAGTATGTATGTATATCAATAATTAGTAGTACCGCATTCGAGTATTCTGACACTTCCCTATGGTTGACTGGGAGAGAATGCTTTTAGCATTAAGTCCGCCATTATGTACATATGTACTAATGAATAAATAAATAAATAAAAATATTTTAAAATAGTAAATAAGTATTTCTTAATAACTATTAAATAAAATGCTAGACTTCATTCAGTTGCATAAATGTTAGCTAGTAATGATTAGCGCCATGACTTGCAATGAGTGAAGAGTCAGTGGGGTGGACAGTTTTGTCCTCGGCGTGATGAGACTGCAGCCATTCACAAAACGCATGTAAATAAAGTAATACGCAACTTGTAAGTGTTAGTATAGACCGTTGCATGCACGAATTATATCTAGTGTTTCTACATTGATGTGAACGCATAACTAATATTAATGTTGTGCTCATCAAAAACTACCACATCAACAATTTTTTATCTCATGCTTTAGAAGATTTGTTAGAGAAATGAGATATATTTCTGTATCAAACCTATTTCAACCACATATGATTCACTTTATTCTATTTTACTAGAACAAAATTATGGGTTACAGCTAGTAACTGATATATAATATTAGCATCAATAATACAATACTATATTACTACATTATTTTATATTTTTATTGACATTGATCAAGGTTTTGTATGTAAAGATTACCAATCAAAAGAAAATTATTCATTTTTACGAGTTTTTGTAACATGAAACGTCTTTCAAAAAGATCGACTTTTTGAAAGACGTTTCATGTTACAAAATAATGTAATAAACATAATTTCGATGCTGCGCATATTGTGTGGTCGTAGTACGTGTAGTGGCAGTTTAGTTCATTCGTATACAGTAAAGGTGCGTTTAAACTAAACTAGTAAAATATATACCTCATAAGAGATAGCTAAATACATTCTTTAGTAAATCATTTGCATACGCGAAAAAAAAGTATGTTGTATCTTGTTCTTATAATCTAAACTTGTTCAGTGTTTTATGTTCTTTAGTCCAACTCCACCTTAACAACTACTATCGAAATATTGTAGTTATACAAGAAGCTTCAAATTTCATACCATAAAACCAGCAACAAGTTAAAACGTCGACACTATTGAAGATTTATTGTTATTGCCTGAGACGAATTGTCAAGCCGACGTGTAGATGGTGGCGCGTGCGCCCAGCCATCAAATCGCTCATGTATCTAAGATCCGTGCAATGATATATACAGCAGTGCGGTGAATCAATCTTCTAACTTTTAGACGTTATCTACCATCAGCGCCCACATAGCAACTTATGAAAGACTTTCGTCGATCCCTCAGCGAGCACATCGCTACAAATTTTAACTCTGCTACTCATTGGTCTACGGTATGTAACGCTAGCGTCGCTGCTTTAGTAACCAAAGTACATATCGCAATAACTCGCAACTTAATTAGGGAAGACCTGACAGTAACAGAGCAAGTTGTCATCGAAAATGATATTTAGATTGCCGCCGGCATTTGGGATGTGTTTCTCGTATTTTATTGAGGCCCTAATGAACCGTATTCATTGTCTCGGTTACAAGTTAACTGTTCATTTATTGTAATATTGCGTGCATCTAATGTGAATACGATATACGTTTTTGTTATTATATTCACAAAAGCTCGTTACAACAGACACCCACTCGTTATTCAAACGATAATGATCTTGAATGAAATCGGCGTAGGTCGTGTTTATTGACTATAGCTTTACGTACTACGAGGCGGATCCTAACTAAATACAAACATAACAAAAAAATAGAAATATACATCACTACAGTGCTACTATTTAGGATTGCATATTATACGCTTAGTGTGCCAAGGAAAATGGCAAAGGGTGTGGTGCTAAATGTGACTTCAGTATGTAGGTAACGACTAGACTTGAGGACGAGTCGACGATAAGACACTGACTATTTGGCATTTTAATTTGAATGCTCCGATACATTAATATTTTCTAGTTGTTAAATGCTTTTATACATAAATTAAGTTGGAAATAAATATAACTAAAGAAATTCTTACGTATCTAGTACAAGCGTGTATGGTTTGTCAGTTCCTAATCCTGACTATATATCTAACAAAATATTGACATCGATACGGTCAATTGGTCATCTAACGTTATACAAGTTGTATTTTCATGCAGACCGCAGAAATTCTGTGACAGTTTTTTGAGTAGATATCGTAACATTTAATTGTCATCGAGCTTATTAGAATTGGCTGTACTTTTGATATAATATACAGGATATTAACTCAAATTTACGACCAATTTTATTTACTGGCACTGACTCATAAGCTTGTAACTTTGACTATTTATAAGTAAAAAGATTCTTACGTATAAATAGTCAAAGTTACAAGTTCATCTGAAACATTTTATACAAATGTTCGACTCTGAAACACTGTGCACTAGCTAGGTGAGATGATATTTGTGTATTAAGTAAGGACCACCGCGTTCGCACAGCTGCAGCGGTGTGTGGCTCACATTGCATCCACTTGAGATCGCCGCTGCACTCGCTTGCAGCTAAAGCGATATCATTGCACTTCCGTCTTACTGACACGAATATTACTAATATCCAGCTCCTGCAGTACAGCCCACCTTCCCAGAGATTTAATGTAATGATCACAAAGAAATACAATCTTATGAAGAATGCAATCTGGTTTGGCTCGCAACATTGTTTAGTTTATAGTCGATTGCTATGTGCCTAGATACGCAACATAGTGAGTGATGCAGCAATTTTTCACTGACCCGGCTGTAAAACGACGTCCTCTTGTCTTATTTTATGTTAATGTACTCATGTTCACCTTTTTAAAGAGCTTACCTACTCGTATACGCCGTGTTTGTCGTATACGTGTATACTTATTAAGAGTTATTAAAAAAAAAATTATAACTGTATATACCTGTTTTTATCAGATTTCGTCGAATCGAGTAACTCTATCCAAATAGGTTTGGATTTATTATTTTCGTCATGTTACTCTTTATTATGCAAGTTAGCTAGTGTGCAAGAAATAATGTAGTTTATCATTAGTAATTTATTATATTTATCCGGGTATAAGATATAAGAAATTATAGGTACGAAATTGTATCTTAATTTTAATTTATTGATGTATTGTAATTGTTAATATGATTGGAATTATAAATGCCTACTAAATTTATATACATATATAAAGATTATCTGGACGATAATATGTGAAGAGTCAATGATGTTAAATAGATTAGTACAGGATTGGAGGGTCAAATGATTAGGTGCGCGTGCCGACAACCCACGAAAGCCATCTGTTCACTTAAATTCGGATTTACGCCACTACTGATTTGGACTGTAGATTAAATTCTATTGTCACGCCGAATCACTGGAATGATATACGATACTACATGCTGTTGTAATACAATACTTCTCTTTTTTTCAAACGCCATGCTGTAACACATTTTTTTCCTTTTTTGCAGGCGGAACTCGTGGATATGAGAGCTGAATTGGTGCAAGCACGCGCGACGACCGCCGGTAAATGTACATGCAAATATAAAATGCATATAAATAGCTATAAAAGGAATAAGGACGGCTGCACATTGCCTGACATTGTCTTTATTTATGACATTGTTTTTATTGTGTATATGAAAATTTCTCGTACATATAAGATTAACTAATGTTATCAAATGTATTTCTTTGACTTGTTCTTTTGAAATCTACTACAGAAGTGGTCTTTAAAAATACTTATAAATGCTTAGTTGTGTGTAGAATGTACAAGATTTTGACAGTATTACGGTATATACTAGCGTTTTTATATTCAATACGCCCAGTTCCAAGAATCATCAATATTATGAACATAAAAAAATCTTGTTTATTTCAAGGAAAATGTTGATCAAGTCAATACAATATCTATGTACAGTAAATTTGCGTTTGAACTCAGTTCACTTAATGTACTTTACAATGAAGTAACTAATTTCGTACAAGGATAATCTTTATTCTTTGTATCGGTCTCTCAACTCGACCATATTGTACAAATACTTAGCCTAGATTTTAATTCTAGCAAAAATGAAAGGTGTAAACGGTTTTTTTGTTCGTTGCCGTTCATTATGTCACACGATATTTTTTGTAGAATTCCTACTTCAGGGCTGAGATGTGCACAATTTAGTCATGTTGGGAAGAGACCATCAACAAAAAAAACTATAATTTTATTTCTTTGTTGTTAGTAAATGTAAGTTCCCCCTTCCTAAAAGTTTATTCTGGTGTACAGGCAGATGCCAGGATGGCGGCGACGCCGCTGGCAACGTGCCGGAGGCTGCACGTGCCCGATCGGAGGCGAACCAACTAGCGCGGGAAAATGCCGCGCTGCGTGAGACTGTACTTGCATTACATTCCGAACTATTTGGTGCTAGGTACTGTCATAGCATAAATTAATATCAATTAGTACTATTATGATATTACTTCGCCGATTTTATGTAACATGTTTTCTGTTATCTATAGCTGTACAAAACAAAGTAAAGTCGGAACTGTAAATTATCTCCAGGTATGCTTGGAATATTTCACATGTCCCAAGTGAAATTTCATATGCTACGTCAAATCATAGTTACTCCAGCTATGTCGTTTCTAAAATGTGTATTCGTTTACTCTTACCATAAAAATCAAATAGTAGCAAATAATAGCGAGTGTGATTTCAAGTCATTGCAAACTAAAATGGCTATTTGTGATTTGTCACGTATGTTTTTAATACACATGTGTTTAAAACATTTAAAAAATAATATAGAGCCTTGAACAATACTATTTTTTATAAGGATTAATCAAAATATATTTTTTATTATTATTATTATTATATATATATATATATATATATATATATATTATATATATATATATATATATATATATATATATATATATATATATATATATATATATATATATATATATATATAATTACTAAACAGTGATATTACTACTCTAGGCTCGCAGGCTTAGTCCATATTTATTGCCATTTACAGTCGAGTTCTTATACAATTTTATCATTGAGGCACTCGAAAGTTAAAATACATTTAAAATGAAATAATAATAATAAAAATACATAACTAAACAAGAAAAAAAAAGAAAATTAATGTAGCAACAAAAGGAAACTTAATGCAAAATATTTGTGGTTCCATAAGGTACTTATTCAAAATAAATCTTTATCTTGTTATATCAAAATTTCTCAATATAATTCATAATGTATTTAAAATTATTATATGTAGAATAATATTATAACAGTTTTTTAACGAGACATGCATTGCCTAGAGGTCCCGACATGGCTGACCAGATCACCTAGACAAGTAACATACGAATTTGTTAGCAATAGGTTGCCACTATTATGTGATGACGATGTCTATTCTATTTTTCTATATGCATAAATAGAATGATCGCGCGGTACTGAAAACGTACCTATCGTCCCGTAGATTCGTTTGCCACTTGTCTAGGGGAGCTACTTTCAGCGAGACTAAACAAGCTTTATTTATTTAGTTATTGCAAATTAATTATAAACTGATATGGCCATTAAATAAGTGCACTTTTATATTTTTATTTGTTATATTTGTCCGACAGACTGGCTACGAAATATTTGGATAAGGAATTAGCAGGAAGAATTCAGCAGTTACAATTGCTTGGGAGGGACATGCGTGCTGAACTTAGAGATTCATTATGGGCTCAGGTATGTCATTGTTATATAATATTAATAATAAAACCGATTTACTCATAATTTAGGCACAGGAGGCGAGTTTATCGCAAATTTCTAGAATTAACACAATGATATTTATTAAATACCCAGAAACTTAGTCGACGTCAGTAATTTAACACGCCGCCAATCATAGGGATCAAATAAATTAAAATTTGTAGCTACAGACATTAAAAATTACTTTTTTTTATACAACTTAGAATGGCAAGCAAGCTAACGGCCCACCTAATGGAAAGTGGTAACCGTCGTCTATAGATATGAGCAGTACCATGGATATAACAGAGTATACTGTTTCGCCCATGATACCCCCCATGCGTTGCCATTCCTGAGGACTCAGGTGTTATTCCTCTGTACTCAGTAAATTACTTATGGAAAAAGCTAAGAGACTTCGCAGACAAGAAAAAATTTACATCGTATTTGTGCTCCGTAAAAAGAATTGTATTTTTTTACACACGAATTCATAACAAGTTCTCAGTAAACAACTGAGAATATCATTTTCTGCTAATAAAGAGGTTCACTTCTGTATGAGTCCTAAAGACGTCGCATTATTACAAAATTGAATGTCAAGGGCAAGTAATACTGTGACTGCAGGTGGAAGCGGAGATCCTGCTGCAGCGTCACAAGACGTTGGTGCGCGTGTGCCGCGGCGTGTCGCCCCGGCCGGCGCGGCCGCCGCCACCTGCGCTCGCTTCTAACACCGCGCACGCAGCGCATGCGCACCGCGCACGCCCGCGCACAGTGCGCGTGCGTCGCTCTCCGCACCTCGGACTCGGTATTTCTGTTACAGTAAGTATTTTTAATTATAGACAAGCTTTTTAATTAGTCGACACGAAAGGCAGATTTTTATTTCCAATGTCAAAATAAGTTCTTGTATCCATGATGGGTAATTTTAACATTAACGCGAAATCGTATTTTCTTTTTTAATTTATCGGGTACAAATGTAACACATGTTACTTTCTCTATCTCAAATAATACTACTGTGTACCAAATATGCTATTCGTAACCATTTTTGATTATGCTAATAAGGTTTCAAAAAACAAAAGAACTTATACATTCATAATATTAATAATTATGTTAATCCATCCATCAGTAAAAGCAGTAGTCTATATATTTTTCTATATCAAATAATATGTATATACGAAATTCATTGCAGTTAAGTTACAATAAACATTCACTTTCACAGCTATAAAAAGAAGCCTATGTCTTTCCTGTCCTTATAAATCAATCGATAATTTATTAAAAATACTAAGAATATGCCAAATTTCACAACAGTCGGTTGAGCCGTTAGAACGCCAAGAAACGACAAATAAACAAATTCTCTTCCGCATTTAAAATATTAGTAAAGAATTACTATTCTAATTTCTTTCCCTATTGTGACAATAAACAATAGGTATCTACTCTTTGGTTATTGTTGCCAGCTGGCATTCGTAATAGCCATAACGTTGGCATCATCATTTAAGTCCACTGTTTACTTTCTAAACGGTTTTAAAGATTTCCAATGAGTGAACGTCCATTAGTTACACATTCTGAAAGTTCCGAATACTCATTAGTCACCGCGTAATGAATTGTTTATTGTCTTTAAGAGACGATTGCAACACGGAACGGTTTAATTATATAATAAGTTAGCTGTAGGTCGCTTTTACAATTAACAACCAATAATTAATTAATATTATAATTGGGGAATGTCTATTAGGAATATTTTGTTGCAGTTTGGTACTTAATTTTGTTTATAAATATATACCTATATATAGAAACGTCTACAATAATCAATACAAATGTATTTTTTTTATGCAACTTAGAATGGCAAACAAGCTGACGGCCCACCTGATGGAAAGTGGTAACCGTCGCCTATAAACATGAGCAGTACCATGGACATAACAGAGTATACTGTTTTGCCCATGATACCCCCCATGCGTTGCCATTCCTAAGGACTCAAATGTTATTCCTCTGTACCCTGTAAATTCACGCCATATCCCACCCTTCAAACCGAAACACAGCCATGCAAACACAACTGCTTCATGGTTGAAACGCGAATGGGACAGAGGTACCCAAGCAGTCGACTTTTGTACAAAGTCTCCCTCTGGTATTTTCCCCAAATCGAACCCGTGGGATTAGAAGCTGAGACATTATGTTAAATTGTTGCATTACTGTAGTGACAAAAGTGGACAAGTTCATTATCAGAGTACTTGACATATTTCGATGATGACCACACGTTAGGAAATTTTATTTTTAAGGGTTTTACCTTTTTTAAGGGTTTTTCTTAGGTATATCAGCCCTGTCGTTCTTTGAACGTATTCCTCTAACTTAACCTACCTGCCTACCCATGGAAAGAGAGAAAAACATTTTTAATGTTAGTAATGATAAAATTATATTAACGTAACCTAAATCAGAAAATTTCAAATAAATTATTATATTTTAAATATACAATCGGGACTTAATGCGATGAAACGTCGGTAATAAAGAAGCAAATATATGGGTACTATTTACTTGCAAAGGTCCCTATTCTGTATTTAAAATATGTGTAAACAACGCTAAAGTTTAAAATTAACTAAATTATTGACAGTCATTAATTCTTTTATTATTATTCGATCAGCATGAAAAATTTTATACATATACCAAATTTCATGCCAATGTACTATTTTTTTAATGAGTAATAATAGAATTATAACCCTGCCTGCACTATCGAGATACGCTGGCATGGCATCAGTGCAGGGATGATAGTTGAGGTTGAAAAGGCAGGTCAGTTAGCCCATCGTGATGAATTCCACTAGAATTAACCACGATGGTTTCCAAGGGGAACCACGTGGAGGTCGATCTGATAGGAGGGTGTATTGCTAGCAGTGGCTCAATTAGACTCTAACAATCCCTTTCCCCCTGCCCATGTACTATTGGAAATTATACTATTTATCCCGTTTACGTGGGCAAAGTCGTGTAAATCTAACATGATAATAATCAAATAATATGGTGTTCAGGGCGGCCGCGAGCACGGCGTGCCGATCCTAATCTCGGAACTGGAGGCGGGCGGGCCAGCCGCGCTCACCGGAGAGCTGTACGTCGGCGACGCCATCCTCGCCATCAACGACCTCGACCTCACGCAGGTACTGTACCATACCATCGTTCTGTATAGCTCACGATAGGGCAGTTCAAACAAAGGCTCTGCGGAGGTGGCGCCACCACGCTACAACGTATATAACAGCAACATCGGATTGCTTTTGAAAATCGGCTGACTAATGAAGCGGTAGTTTACTGTAGTTGTGCTTAGCGAATGCGGATTTACATCCCTTCCACTTTTTTTTTTATCGCATAATTATTATTTGAATATAGATAAATTCATCTGATGTAGTATGTATTTTTTGTTGTAAATCACGTTGCTCTTGTCTTTATCTTTTAAAACCCTTAAAAGACCTAGGAACCTTTTCAGCTCTTTAGAATTTTATCATTTCAACAATTAAAGATATCTAAAAAAAAAAATAAAGAATAGTTTGAAAGAATAATTTTGTTTTTTTTTTCCCATGGGATAAACAGTACCAAAAAAAGAGCCTTTGTAAAAACCTATTTAAATAAAATGTATTTTAAAATAATTTCATTTGTATAATATAATATTTCCATTGTAGGCGTGTCACAAAGAAGCAGTGCAGGCATTACAGAGTGTGAAGGGTGACTGCGCGCTTTGCGTTCAATTTATAGCGACTGATGACGACGATAGGCTATCAGAAGATAACTACAGGTAATTATAAAAGAAAATATAACTAATTTGCTAAAAATAATGATATAACAAGTTATACCAATGAAACTATCATAAAACACTGTATGAACTATTAATTACAGATCTCAGGTTACAATTGTGAGTACTAAATTATATTTTTAAGCAGTTTCAGAAATGCGGAATTTCAATACTAAACCGATTTGAATATTTGGAACTAGGTAGACACAACATGTATATTTTGATACTTAGAATGGCAAACAAGCTAACAACCCACCTAATAGGATATGATTACTATCGTCTATCGACAATGACAATACCATAGGCATTAGCGAGTATTATGCGCACGTGACACTCCTAGTGCTGCAGGTGTCCATAAGCCAGAGCGAACATTTACCATCAGACAAGCTTTATTCTTGTTTGCCACCTTCATGGTATAGAAAAATTTTTTTGCAGTTAATAGGATTTACACTCTAGTAATTTTATCACGATTAATGTTGCTGGTTTTTTTCTGACCATTATATATTATATTGTTGATATTGTTACAGATTTCCACTGTACCCCGAAGACGGAGAGGTGTTCGGGGGAGAACAGGACGGCTCGGGCGCCACACCCACTGCGCCGCGAACACCTGACTACACCAGGTATACCTACAGGTCGTCCATCATAGTCATTTTCATCCATTATGTATATTATATCTACTCCTGTATTTCATCGACATTAATATTAATAAACAGGAATTTTTGTTTTTTTTTTGTATGTTTATATGTAACGGATTAACTGAGAACTAATTAACCGATTTTAATAATTCTTTCACCTATAGAAAGCTACACTATTAATTAGTAACATGGCTATATATTTTATTTTTTTAAAAAGCTGTACGAAACCGTGACGAGTTGCTATTATTTTATAAAAGACCTGTAATAGAAAATATTTACTAGAGGGAGACTTACAAAGTCTCGTTATATATATCTCGTTATATATAGAGGTACCCAAGCAATCGTCAAAAGTCGATTGCTTGGGTACCTCTGTCCCATTCGTGTTTCAGCCGTGAAGCAGTTGTGTTTGCATGGCTGTGTTTCGGTTTAAAGGGTGGGATAGTATGAATTTACAGGGTACAGAGAAATAACACCTGAGTCCTCAGGAATGGCAACGCATGAGGAGTATTATGGGTGAAACAGTACACTGTTATGTCCATGGTACTGCTCATGTCTATAGGCGACGGTTACTACTTTACATCAGGTGGGCCGTCAGCTTGTTTGCCATTCTAAGTTGTATATAAAAAAAAATTGCAATGCGTATTTGTAAAGAAAATATTTGTTTGTTGATACGTAGGCCGGAGTCAGAGGCGGGGTCCAGATCAAGATCGGGGTCGGGATCGAGGTCGGGCAGCGCTTGCTCGTCGCCGCAGTATCGGCCGCCGGTCGCCTACCCTGACTACAACTCCATCAACAATAATCTATCCATACTCGACATGGACGATGACTCCATCAAGATCGAAGCGCGCCTCGAGCCAGATACATACCAGGTTAACTTTCTCTTTATGCAATTTACAATGACATACAAGCATTTGCACTTATAGTAGTTCCCTTACCGTTAGCGCTCAACAAAATAGATAAATCCGATACAGGTGTAAAAGGCTTGACAAGTTTTGTCGAATAAATCAGACGGAGTCCGTTATAAGGTTTAAAATCCATCTTAAAATATGGCACTTTGAAGTAAAAAAATAGTTGTGGCATATTAGGTGTTTTTGTAATTTCCGATTTCAGCTGTGTTACCGAGATAAGTTTGTTGACCGCGATGAAAACTAGCTTTCTCTATCCCATATAGTACGTGAATGCCAAACTTCATAGTAATTAAATTAATATCTTAATAAAGAAACTCACTTTCACATAAGGAAAATCAAAAGAGAGCAAAATATATGCAATTTTATGAAGACTCTTTTCTGTGTGTGTCTACTATATAATCGTGTAAAGTTAAAACACATACAGCTGCGCATACATCTTGCTTTCCCATTATATCGAAATGATAAAGTAGTACATTATATTGTCGCATTATAATAGTAAATTATAAAACATCCTTTTACACACTAAAAGGAGAATTGAAAAACAAATTTTCAATCTTAAACACGCTATATCTTACAATAGTGTGACGATCATTTGGGACAAATCATAAACGTTATCTTTATAATGAGACTCGTACATTGAACGTTTGTAGCATGTAAATGATAAATAAGAAACATTCTGTATTCTGTAATCATTATTTTGCTCTATGAAAACTTCTATAAGATGATTAAGTAAGATGAGATTTATGTGTAGGTTCCACGGGTGCGGTCGGCCCGCTCCACGCCGGTACACGTGCGGCGCCCCCGCCCGCAGCACCACACGCCTCAGGTAATTAGTATCTCTTTATTTTTACCAGTTTGAAATATTACTTGAATATGGAAATAATATCTCAAGAGGTCCTTCTTGATATTGTGGTTATTCTTTTATTACTGTACATCGAGATAATTAAGATTATACTTCACAAAAAAGCCGACTTCAGTTGTGGAAAAACCAGTTATTTTGATTTAAAAAGTAAACTACTGAATCGATTTTGATAAAATTTATATGGGACCAGTATGTATGTAAATCCTTTTTTTATGAGGTATTATGAGTTTTTTTTTTGATGGGTGAAAATGGTATGGTAACCCCGCCTGCGCTAACAGGATACGCTGGCGGAGCACCAGTGAAGGGTGATAGATGAGAATGAAAACAGGCCAGTTAGCCCATCATGATGAATTCATCAGGAATTAACCATGATAGTTTCCAGGGAGAACCGCGAGGAAGTCGACCTGGTTGGGTAAATTGCTAGCAATAGGATTCTCAGTCTCCATTACTAACAATCCCTTTCCCCCGGTATTATGAGATAACACATATAAAAAAAACACTTACCGAAAAATAAACACCGAATTAAGATCCTTCTTATTTAAAAAGAATAGTTTTAAAAAGAAGTAACAAATTATGAAATGTTTGAAATTATGTTTATTTAAATATATATATATGTATATATAGCGGCTGATAGTTGACTCGTATTATTATAACAGGACTGGCGTACGAAAGGCACGTACCAGGCGTTACAAACGGAGGCCTCGGTGGCGGAGCCCCCGCCTGCTGCCGCCGTCCCTGCCGCCTCCGTTGTCCCCGCTGCTTCCGCCGCCCCCACCGCCACAGCCCCTGACGCCCCAGCGGCCATCAGCAGAACTACTGCCGCCCCCAGTGACACTACCACCATCTCAGATGGCAGTCAGTATTCATATATTTTACACTAAAGCGAAATACTTCCAAGATTTTGTTTAACTTTAGATCCATCGTTTTCATTAGTAATAGTAACAAATTACATTTGTTTGCTACCTCTAGAAGGTCACAACCAAGTGAATGTAATCTGAGCACTGAATAGAAACTAATAAAAAAAAACACAACGGGTCGTTTATGAAGCGCCACTTTCTTAATCTATAACTAAAATTAAAATTTCATGTTGATATCCCAGCGCAATATTTATTTATTCTAGTGTTTATTTCAATATTAAATAAATTTTCAATAGTTGAATTTCATGAGTTGAATCTCAAAAATATTATAAATTTAGTTTATGATGGTCTATAAAATACTATTTCCGTGAAATTATCAAATTATAATATTAGTTTTAGATATAAATTTAGAGAATGACGTCTAAAAGTCCATTTAGTAATAAAGATATCATTTGACTTTGAGCAAAATACAAATGTAAGTTTATATACATTAAAAAGATCATACTGCAGTATCCAAGCTTTTTCTTGATTATTATTAACATCATGAACTAACAATATGAGCAAGAATATTAAAAAAAAATACACTCCATTAATGTTACACTTTATTTTTACTAAAGTAACAAGTATTTTATCAATATCTTTCACTTCTTATTCGAATGTAAATTTACAAAACAGATATTAAAAAAAATTGGATATCTGTTATAAACAAAAATTATACAAAAATGTTTAAAATAACATAAATGTAATCATTACATGAACGTATAAAATAAATTTTCACCTAATTTTATTCACAACCACATTCATTGGTAGAAATTAGAGGTTATATTTACATTATTTATCAAATTAGCAACAACTTAATTTCGAAATATAGGCCATCTAGATATAAGTATTGCTAGTGAGTAGTGTTCAAAATGGTGGTATCGCTAGTGCCGGAGTCGTCACCGGCGGTCGAGCAGGCGCCGCCGCCAGCCGTCGAGGCGGATGCTAAGCTGACCAAACACAACGGCGACGCCAGGCCCCTCAGGAGAGAGAGCAAAGGCTTCAGGTAACTTGGCTATACAGGTTTAGATGTAACCAATAATTATACCAAACTCAAAACTAATAACAGTTTCCATAAATGAATAAATTTCATAACTAGGCGGAAACTTTATACCGATGCCACCACTACAGCAACTGAGTACTTTGAACGATACCTATATAACTATTTATTGAATTTCCTGCATTGTTATGTACACGCACTTTTATATACCGAAAGAACCCTAAAATTCTCGCGCTATTAAAAATTTGAATAAAATTGAAAAATTCATTTAAAAACAAATTGATATTAGAATTGAGAATTGAATAGCTCAAAGTATACAAAATAGGTCCACTTATGTGTTCGCTGGGTATTTAGCAGAATTTATTACTTGAATTTTTGAATGTGTAAATATTATATTACACGTAATTAGTCCACTCGTGTGAGCAGGCTAATTGATTATTATACTAGCTGTTGCCAGCGACTTCGTCCGCGTTTCCGTCGTTTTTCGTAAAATAAGTAGCCTATATCCTTCCTCAAGTTTCAGTGGTTTTGATGTAACAGACACATTTCCCTTCACAGCTCTGTACCTATTGATCGTAGCGTGATGAAAAATATACTATATAACCTGCCCAGGAGTATGAAGAGTAATTGTACCAAGTTTCGTTAAAATCCGTCGAGTAGTTTTTGTTTCTATAACGAGCATACAGACAGACAAAATTTTACTGATTGCATTTTTGGCATTAGTATCGATCACTAATCACCCCCTGATAGTTGTTTTGGAAATATATTTCATGTACAGAATTGACCTCTCTACAGATTTATTACTCGTATAAGTATAGATTAATGTAATTTCTCCATTGCAGAATAGGCTCAGCGCGAAGAGTGATGGACAGTGTGTTGACGAACGGGGACGCGGAGCGCGCCAAGTTCCCGGCGCGGCTGCTCGCTGGCGACGGAGACCCTGACTTTGGCACCCCCGTCTGAACTCTCCCCCCCCCCCCCTGGACCAGCCCTCCACGCCCTCCCGTTTTGTATCCTTTGCTCTCTTTGCCCTTCTCGCCCCGCTCATTTCCACTCTCAATGAGCATATCCACAACCTTCCTTAGATATGAAGTCACTAGCGCCAGATAAGCTCCGTCACATTACTTCTTCGCTACAAGTACTGCCGCTTGAACGCTCATCATGAAGAATGAATAAAAAGCAGGTGGGATAAAACCACACTGGCCACTATTCAGCAAACTAAGTTTTATTTAGAGATTTTTTTAAATAAAAATTAATTCTTAGTACAGCTAGCTATCTATAAATTATAGTTACGATTATCATCGCAGTAAGAAATTTCCCTATTACATTATGATTATTTTATTATAAATCTTACATAAACAGTGGAAGCCTATAACGCGAGCATCACAATAGTTTCTAAGTATGACACAAATATACAGTTCGTATATTGGGTATTTTAAGTAACGTTCCACCTACTCATAATGTTCGTGTCTGTAGTGAATATTCTTTTATAGATTAGGTGGGTGTTCCTTATTTCTGCCTCATATAATAAGGTCACTGGTATGATACAGATATAGAATTCGGTGATCGATTTATCTTACGTAATATAATAATACCGAGTGTATTTTTTTTTTATTTGATTTTAATTTCAATTCAAATTAGTTGCCCATGTGACGTTTGTTCTGGACTCGGCTATGAAATACACTTTAAATTCTATATAACGAATTACGACATAATGAACATTTGTCCAAAATATGTGTCTGTCTGTCTAATCTGTCTACATAAAATTTAGTTTTTACCTATTATCTACGTATATTGACACCATGAACGGTAACTCGCACGTCAAGTATTGACATAATATGTACATATTTTAAAACTTTGTCAAAAATTTGCCAAAGCAAGAATTATAAATGAAAAATAAAAGCAACACCTGTATGTTCTCTTGTTTGTTGTTTAGCCTAAGACGTGTTTACTTTGAGTATTATCATCCTTCACGACTTAACAAAATTAGTCCATCTATATGAATGCTCCGTCCCTTCAATTTCGTTATATAGAGTTTACACTGTAATATAAAGCTAACTTTAGTTTTTAAATAAAAACATACCTATTCCTATGTTTTAAGGTTCTAAATGTAGCGTGTAGTACTAAAATATGTAGTGCCGCTGTTACGGGTCTTGCTTCACGCGTCTATCGATTCTGAGAATTTTTATTTTCAATAATGAGATTTTAGTTATTTTTGTTTATGCTTAAAAATATCGTGTAAAGTTTAGAAAATTGAAATATTGTTTTTAGTCTTTGATCTCGAAAATTTGTCCATGGTAATTAATATGTAAATTAATTAATATAAATTAATATAAAAGATGATGATATATTTGAAATTAAATCATACGTTTGTACAGATCTATCTATACTGAGATTAGTGGTAGCACATCCTTAAAAGTGACAGATACACATCTCATATAAAGTATGCTTTTGCTAATAATGAGTAGGATCGTTTATAAAATTGGTAGTATTTCCTCATTAAACGCATTCTTTGGTGATCGCAGACATAGATGACGATAGATGAAGTAAATACACCTATTTATACAATAAGTAATTCAATCCTTATTAAACGTCTTACTGTGATATTACATAAAGCTATATATTGATTCGAACGAACCTGAACTCTTTCCACCAATCATCCGTAATGCTCTTTCTGTCCATACTTTGAACTTAGGAACTATGAATCATTTTCATTGAAAAATTTGCTTTGCACCTGTAGGCTTTTCTGAGCCTAAAACTAATACAAAATATACATAGAGTTACGACATCTATTTAAATCAATGTCTGTGTTGGTGATAATAAGAGAATGTGTATCAGTTCAATTCAAGTTGGCTGTAAACGAGTGAGTCTTGTTCTTGCATACCGCGCCAATTGTAATCAATAATATTGAAATAATGTTGGCCTAACATACTGGTTACTGCGAAGGGAGCTCTGTTGTAATATTACAATTTTATTTAGTATTTTTTTTTTCGCAATATAATGTAGAATATAAAATAAATCTAAGAGTGCTTATTCACCAAGAGTACTATATTAATGAATTCGGTAAGAAAGAACATATTTCTGTAATATGTTACATGTACTAATAAATATAGGTACTCCCGGTCAATACGCACCCTTATTGTAATTCCGAATATAAAATTTAATTAATAATTTTTGTTATATATTTTTTTACGTTATTGTTAATTATTTTCATAACATTATAGTGTATAAAGTAGTTTATATAATTATTATAGAATTATTCGTATTATTTTTTTTAATGTACTTGTATAATAACTATGTATTGAGTAAACGAAAATATTAACTACATACCGGTATATTGATAATCATTCTTTACGATAGTCTAATTTTATGTTTATTTGTTTATGGCTTTTTAAATATCTCGGACCCTCCATATATTGTAGCCAAAACTAGTTATATGTACGAGTATAATCAAATAGAACTATTGTCCAATAAAAATAGTACATGGAGATAGTACATCGCATTTTCTACATTTATCAAACATTATTTCTGGTTTGATTAATAAAAACAGTCGCAATTACTCGATCATGTTCTAAACTGAAGGTCTGATATCAATAAAATTAGTTATGAACTTTAGATATTTTTTAATTTAATGAATGTTGGAAGTATTTGTCAAAATTATCAAACTAATACTTTTGGTCATGATCATAAATTTATTTATAGCTCGTATATCTTAATATATAAACATTCCCTGTCACAATGTTCTTTCACGCTAATCTCCGCAACTAGTCGACGGCTTGTTAAAATAAATTATAAATTTTATATTTACAAACTTACCTTGCATTAAGATATTTTCTGAAAAGTAGTTTGTATCTATCTAATTATTTCAATGTTACAGGGTATTTTTGTGGAAAATTTACGTATATTTGTTTGTCATCCAGTCTAAGTAATACTTCTATGTATCTATCGGCCTTCATATCAAGTAGTTCGTGTGTGGTAAATCTAATGACACAGGCTATTTACACACACGGATATGTCATATAAATAACACTGAAAATATATGCTTATATAATTTGATATATATATATATTCTTAATTGATAATCACTGCAGATACACTGTACCAGTATAAATGGACTGTGTTTATATTCAGTCACTGTTGTACTTGTTGCCAAATGGCGGAATTCATACAAACTACCGCAAATTGTAGTAATATGTTAGGCGCGGCGTTAATTGAAACTACGATAATAATATTAAATACATATCACAGGCTTACGACAACGTAACACCTAACAAATGTAATGCTTTGGATACCTGCCAGTAATATTTTCGCACATCACTAACAAGACAACATCCAAACATTCATTGCTTATACAAATAGAATTAAGAAATTATTTACATTGACCCTGAATATGTAATTTCAATTACAGAGTTTACGCCTTTAGATATAAGGCGTAATAGAACCGAGTGACTGAACTGTACAAAACTCAGAGATCAAGAAACTGATCAGCTGTTCTTAAAGAGTATTGTAGGTAAAAGAATTAATTTTTTTTTTATTTTATCATAAAACCTATTTGCGTCGATCCGTTTCTTCGCTTATTTCTAAATCACGCAACGTGTCTAGAAATTAAGGCCAAAATTTGAGAATCACTGTCCTGAACAATGACAATACTTACCTGTCTTTGTCTCTTGCATAGTTAGGATGCATTATTCTATGAAATGGAGTAATAAGTATAATAAATTAGATGTAGGTTCATCATACACAGTGAATTTATAAGATACAGAGGAATGACACCAGAGTCCTCAGGAATGGGAACGCATGGGGGGTATCATTGACGAAACAGTATACTCTGTTATATCCATGGTACTGCTCATGTCTATAGGCGACGGTTACCACTTTCCATCAGGTGGGCCGTCAGTTTGTTTGCCATTCTAAGTTGTTAAAAAATACAGTTATTCTAAAGTTAGAAGATATTATAAAATTTTTGATCATGACCAGAGTGGGAAATATATTTGTGGTATTAAAAGCTAACAATAAAACTGTAGGTAGGCACGATAAATGTAAATTACTGCGTTTGTTTGATTACTTCTGAAGACTGTATTTTTATTTTTAATTGACTTCGAAAAATGTAGAAGTCTACAATTCGACTGTATTATTTGTCAGTTGTGTTTTGTTTGTTCAACCCATACTATTATATTAAAATTGAAATAGGTTTTTTTTCGGTAATAAAAGTTTAAATTAGGTTAAATATATACATACATTCCACACGCGCTCGCGATGCATTTGCCATAAAATTACCGCAATAGTGTGTAGTTAGGTATTATGATTTTCATATTTACAGGACAATACATTTCTGTATGATAATTATGAACTGTAATAAATTTGTACTTATGAAAATTAAAATGTTTTTTATTAAGTTATATACCTACTTATTGTAATGTATTACAACTATAAAAGTAATGTGAGAATGAAGTAATTTGTATCTGTTATTATAATAAGTGGATAAAAGAATAAGCCACAAAAGTGGTTAAAGAAAGGGAATTAAAGAAACTGGTCAAACACAACGACACAAATGCAAATTTTAAATTGCCATCTTTTAATAACCAAGTTAATAAATTAACAAATATGATTCTCCTGATGGTAAACTGTTACAGCACCATTGCTATTTTTTCTTTACTTTTTTTTTAGTAAGTATACTACATTAAGCATTTTCTACTTACCATAATAATAAAGGTAGAACATTTTTTGAGGCTTAGGATGTAATAGGCACTAAGTACCTACTCACCTTATTAGTCACAGTGGAGCAACTGACCTACCTTTATCCGTGTTTTTTTTTAATGGGTGATAATGGAATGATAACCCCACCCGCACTATTGGTATACGCCGGAGGGGCACCAGTGAAGGATGATAGGTGAGGATGAAACAGGTCAGTTAGCTCCACGAATTCAACAAGAATTGTTCACAATGGTTTCCAGGGGAACCACGTGGAGGTCGACCTAATAAAGCATATTGCTAGCAATGGAGTTGCCAAACTCCATTGCTAACAATCCCCCCCCCCCCCCCCCCCCCTTATCCGTATTATCACTCACTAGTACTCCACTATCGTATACCGATAGCGCAGGCGGAATTAATATTCAACCTTAGGTTATGAAGTATAAAGTACTTTATACTAAGTTATATGTAATCCACTGTCTTTATTTTAATGGATGATAATGGAATGGTTTTCCCGCCTGTGTAACGGTATAAGCTGGCGGGGCACCAGCGAGAGACGATAAGTAAGAATAAAAAGGCAGGTCACTTAGCCCATTGCGATGAATACACCTGGAATTCAGCACGATGGTTTCCAAGAATATATTTCTAGCAATGGTGTATTCCACTGTCATGCGTAAAAAGTATTAGTATGTTTGTGTTTTAGTTACTATTAACGCAAAAGATACAATGAGAAGGGATTGTTAGTAATGGGATTTTTAGTCTCCATTACTAACAGTCCCTTTCCCCCTCCCCCTACATAGCCCCATTACTAGCAATATACCCTGTCAGGTCGACCTCCACGCGGTTCCTCCTGGATACCATCGTGGCAAATTCTAATTAAATTCTTCAGGATGGGCTAACTGGCCTGTTTTCATTCTCATCGATCACCCTTCACTGGTGTTCCGCCAGCGTATCCCGTTAGCGTAGTTGGGGTTACCATTCCATTTTCGCCCATTAAAAAAAAGTCTAAAGGCATTCCTTTATGCAATTACCATATTGCTTGTCTCCGATCAATGAATTTAAGTAGACATTCCGTTGCTCTTGAAACGGAACGTACCAGTGTTTCCTTGCAATATCAATTATTGATATTTAGTAGTAACAATAAAAGCACCTGTGAAACCAAAAATATGTGAAGAACAACAATACTTGCTTAGATTTATTTCTTATGGGTAAATTTTTCTTATGATTATATGTGTTCTTTGTGTTATGTATATTGTTCTTTTCCAGCATTTAGGACAATAACACATCTTGCAAGTGGATGCCAAATTAAATTGTAAATTAATTATAACACTTGGAATTAAATCGACATAATTATTTTAAAAGGTAAATAGGAAGAACATTATAATTCTGCGTTTAAATAGTATGGTGTTCAAAGACAAGAAACAAAATACTTCAATAGCTAAAATAGATGTATGAGAAGTTTGATGTAAAGGAATTAGTGAAACTTAATAATACATTGTTGAAAATCTACTTAAGTTTAAATATAATACTACTATTTGAAATCTAAATTTCAAATAGTAGTATTATAATAATAAGTAAATAATAACAAATAGAATACATAACGTAAAAAAAATACCAATACTAGTACTATTTTTTTAAATAATAGGAGAAAATAAATTTTAGTATGGTAACACAGTAACTGTCAATAAATCCGGAATTATTTTATAAGGATTGACTAATGGCCAAGCCTATGTTTCTAATTAAATTGTGACTGCGGTTAATATTCGTGTTAGAATAGTTTAAGAAGTTTATTTACAGCTATGGTCGTCAAAGTATACATTAGTGGTATTTCTGGGAATAAAGAGGTACGTTTAATATTAGAAAAGCCCTGGGTTGGCCGGGTATTTTTCACTTATTTCAATGAGCTGATTCACAAAACGATTGTTTTTGATTACGTGACTTTCGAAACTTCCAGGTAAAGAAGCGACAACAACGTGTTTTGATGATATTAGATTCGAAAAATATAAAATATGATGTCATTGACATAACGGAACCTGGAAGAGAGGATGATAAAGATTTTATGCAAAACAATGCCAAGTCAAACGGTGGCACTGTTAGTGATCCTAATCCACGGTCACCTCTTCCTCCACAAATATTCAATGATGAGGAATACTGTGGGGTAAGTTTCATACTAAATGTATTTTCATTTGTTATGTTACAGTGATGTTGGTAAACAAAAAATCAGGATAACAATTATACCAAGCCAAATAATCTCTTTGAGTACACACTTACTTATAAAATTCATATTACCTAGTGATCTGTGACTATTTTGATACTTAATGTTAAATATACATTGCTTGATGGTTTATATAAGAGAAATATTTTATATAGTCTACATAAATATCCATTATTGATGCCTTTTATAATTCATTTCCTAATTATATGAATTGTATAGTACTTTTCCATCTGGCACTTATTGTAATGTATATTTTTGATTGACTATTCTAGGATTACGACCAATTTGATCTAGCCAACGAAGTAGACACTTTGGAACAGTTTCTTAAAGTAGAAGTGCCATTAGAAGAGGAGACATCTCAAGCTGAAACTGAAAAGGTACAGGAAAATAATACATTCTTATTTAGTAGTATGACAAAACTGCATGAGTCTACAAATATTCATATTTCTGATATAAAGTGAATCATTACTCACTACTGTTTCCCTTAGCCCCTATATTATATATAATATATAATAATACTACAGTTATAAATTAGAAACTTTATAAAGATATGTTTGCTGCATTTTCATACAAAAACTACTGAACAGACTTGAGCAAAATTTGTTATATGGATAGGTTATATCCTAACTTAGAACATAGGATACTTTATATACTATTTCATGGGGGTGAAGATGCAGGATATGGGTAGTATAAAATAAAAATATCTAATAATATAAAAAGGTAAAATAATATGAATAACATTATATTTTTATATATATGATATCTCAACTTTATTATTTTGAAAGAATATAGTAAATTTTTAGCATGCAAAATAAATTAATTTGATTTATTATTGGTGCATCAAAGTAATAAGTTGCACTATGTAATAACCTAAGCAAAAATGACTATTTTATTATAACTATTTATAACTTTATTTACATATTGACTTCGGAATTGTCAGATATAACTAAAGCCAATATAAACAAATATAATGTATATGTTCTTTTTTGCACTTGTAAATTACATTGTAAATGCATTTATAAATATTGTGAGTAAGGGTAGGCATATCTCTGACAGAGATCTCTTCCAGTCAACCCAATACAGTATAATGTAGTATGATTCATGTTAGTTATTATTCGTTAGTGACTATTTACACTTATCAAGGTTTTTATTTTGACTACAGCAACTTGCAATTAAGAACAAAAAAATACCATCTGTATATAATTCATGACATAAGTATAAATTTGTGTATTCCGGTTAATAAGTCATAACAATTTGTCTAATTGTGATTAATAACACAAAGAGATGAAAAGGACTGTTACTGAACTCCAATAATGTGCAGTTATCAATTTACAATAGCAATCATTTGTTCAAGCATCACTTGATATACTAAATATTTATTTTTAAACAACTTGGAATTTACTTTTTGTTATTTTTTAATATAAAAGAAGATTTCAGCATTTTTAACCTCTGAAATATTAGTAAAACTGTTGAAAACAGTGTAATTATAGAATTGGATAAAATTTTTGAAAAAGGCATTAAATAAGAAAAAAGTAAAATTTTTAAATACCAAATTGGTCATTATAATTATATATTCTATGGGGTCAAGCTGACCGCATTACATGCAAAACTGCTTTAAACTACTGATTGCTTACACAGGCATTTGAATATTGGGCTGCTCATCAGACAGTATTATCAGAACACTGTCCCACCATATGGCCTGTAGTGTGGTAGTCTATGTTTAAAAATTTCTAAAATCTTTTATATAATAATTTACTCAATTATCATTTTAGGCTGTGAATGGAAATGTTGATGGACAAAAATCAAAGGAAAACTCACAAGAAAGGGAAACAGAAAAAAGTGGTTCACCTAAAGAAGGAACCCCTGTCAAAGATAAAACACCTTCAAGAGAAGCTACTCCGGCAAGCGGCGAGAAGTCAAAGGAGGGTACGCCTATTGATGAGACACCACAAGAGAGGCAACAGTCAGTCGAGAAAGAAGGCACTCCAACAAAACCTGAAGATGAAGTAGAATCTAAAAAATCATCAAAAGAGAATACACCAGAAAAAGAAGAATCTGTAAATGAAAATGGAACAGTCAGCTCTCGTGAACAATCTGAGGAGAAAGAAACAGCAGACGAGGAAGATACCGATGCTGTGGAAAGGAAAAAAGATAACCCATCAGAGGCTCTGATTCAAAGCGAACAGGCCGCGGCAGCCGAGTAATGGCCTTGACTGGATACTTGCTTCTCAGCTCAAATCAAGCCCCTTTAGCATTAAGCAAGCACTATCATTAAGTCTGTTCTGTTATTTATGATCATTATTCACTTCTTTGGCCTGATTAGTCATTGTATATAATGCGAAGAAGTATATGTTGAGAACTTGTGTTATGTGACAGTGTAGTTACATGTTTTCTATGAAGTGGCCTATATTATCATAATTATAAATCATTAGATTTTATTAATCAATTTTAATGAAGTTCCAGATTAAGAGTCTTATTTAACAATTTTACCTTTCATTAAGGCTTTGTATTATTTTTAAAGTATTAATAATGTTCATCTCTATTTTATAAATTAATAAAATTTTTATATACACGTAAAAATATGAGTTAAGATTATATGTCGTAAGAGAGTATCTGAATGTCCTTTTTTGCTGTATTATTGTCAACAATCATGTTGAAAAATGGTAACTATTATCCTAATGGGTGCTGCTTGTTTAGAGTTATTATATCTGGAAATAGTATAGCATAAATGTACATTCTTATCTTACACACTTTTTGGTTGTAATACCCTACCTTTTGTGACAGATGTATTTCATGAATTAATATTAAAGACAATTTTTATTTAACAATTTTTTCATACGATTATATAAAAATGATATAATTATAACACTTTTGTTTTTATCTTCACTATCCTTAAACCATTTTGTTTTGACTCCTAAAACTATTTGGATATATGTGGGCCAGTATTTGAATTTATCTATATTTTCGTACTTTGTTCTTTAGGTGGAAGGTAATCTGAATTCCAAATCGCTTATTAAAATTCTTATGTGATGCAAATCATTATTAATCTTTTATACCTACACGACAACTTTTTTTATAAAGCCAAACTGGCACACACAAAGTGGATTAAAATTTATTCCAAAGAACAAATCCTTAGATGGTAGTCTTTAGACATAATCGAATTTTATTTTCTACTATCCTTTTGCTCGCTACTTCGTATGTGTAAATTTCTAAAATAGGGAAATAAACGGAATATTATTATTTTTATGTGATATCGGAATAAAAATTGACAGACAAAATATTAAAAAAAATTGTTTGGCCACTTTTAGACTTATTAAAAGCCTTCATACTAATTTATCTTAAAGATCTTCCATGTTCAGACATCATCTGGTTACAACTTTATTAGTAAATTATTTTCAATTTATTTGTATGTAAGAATAACAAAACATTGGCAGGATTCAGTTACTATTATATAAATTTTTTGCTCATTTCGAGGCTTTCACTTCTTCCTATTCAACAAGGGCAATATACTTTGTACCGTTGAAGTAAACGCTCATTTTAATCATTTAATTGTATATAAATTATTAAATATTACTCAGTTTTGTAATGTAATTATTTGACAACTCTCATGAGAAGTTGGTACGGAACGAACCTAGTGAAGGTACTATCCTTTATTTATGAGGACGGAGTAAGTCAATTCAAACCTACTATAGTTACATAAGCGTACCGTAAACTGCGAAAGACGCGGCCTCTATTTCAGTGTGGCCTCGTAAATGGACACAACGAAATCTAGTTATTCGTTTACAATAGTAAGTAATAACTTATGGTACAAATTTAAGTCTGAATAGTGAATGGGATGCAAAATTAGGGATATTTTGAAACAGTATAACGTACCTACTATATACTTTATAATCTAAGCGTGGAAATAAGTCCCACTGCTGTTGTTGTCTTTACTTATTTACCTATATTGTTATCATACCTAGAACAAAATTTATGACGCAAGCATACATTTTAGGAAAATATATTACTTTGAAATACTTTAAATAATGGTAACCGCGACGCAATGATAGGTACGTCATTTGTGCAAATAAAGACGTGTTGTTTATTTCTTAGTCGAATCAATTCAGAATATTTTTTTAAATATTAGCTCCAGTTCCCAAATATTTGTTGCCCGGTTTCTAATAGCAAAGGATATTCTAGCTTACAATCCAGGCAGTTAGTAAGATTGCGTAGAATTTAATTATTTAGAATTGAAAAACATTTTAAGCGAAAATTTATTCATGTATTTTGAGCAAATAAACTTTCTCATTAATTTACTATTACACATTTAACTTATAGTTAAATAAATATGGAATAACATGATATAAAATCTATAATGGAAATGTAAACATCAGGTCTCTATATTCATTACAATGAATATTACTAAAACAGCCTCTCTATTCTAGTAACTTTATTTAGTACATTCATATACTTTTTTTCGTAACTGGCGATGGAGGATTGCTGAATTCTTTCAAAAGGGAATCGCCTGCGATCTCTGCCAAGTTTCTGTGACGCAGCTCACCATCTGCATTGTCGTCTAAAACGCACGCTTGAATATTTTTGTCTAGGGTGACCAGTCGTTCGCGGGAATGTTTGAACTCTTCCACTAAACTGAGATTCCTTTTAATACCATCTACAAGTCTAACGACAGAGTATTCGCCCATAGCGGCGCCTTCTTGTAGCTTGGTGCCGGCAATCTTGGCCATCGAGGATTCTCTGACATCTGTTAAGAGTTGAATACACCATTGCTTCAAGTTGTTCATAATCATCACGGGGCCTTCATACTCATTGGGTACAATGCCATCCACTTCCGATTCGAAAAACGACAGCAATGGAAACCAAATACGGGTCCTGAAATTAGAAATCGGTTTTAGAGAGATTTTTTTCTAATACAGCGTTTTTTTTTGTGGGTAAAAATGATATGGTTGCGCTAACTACTATCAGAATTTCGGCTAGATCTCCGGTGACAATAAACATCGTTAAAAAACAAAATCACAGTCGGTAGTAGGCTCGCCGCTGTCACGTTGAAATGTTCTCGGCATTATGTAGGTATGTAAGTCAAGCCCTATCTTCACCACAACAACAGTCACCTATAGTAATGCCTCTGAATGGAGGGAAGGAATTGTTAGTAATGCGGACTACTAGTCCCATTGCTAACAATATACCCTATCGGGTCGACTTCCACATGGTCCTCCCTGGCAACCTTCGTGCTGAACTCCTGGTGTATTTATCACGATGGGCTAACTGACCTGCCTTTTCATCTCTTCTATCATCCCTCACTGTTGCCCCGCCAGCGTATACCATTAGCGTAGGCGGGCTTAACATTCAATTATCATCCATTAGAAAAATGCCCCTGAATATTCCCACTGTAAGCCGCGTTAACTTGTTTGCTATTCCGAGTCAGCGGATAAAATCTACAATAAACTATAACCCCTGTGAATAATAATAAAATGAGGTGTCCGATGTAACCTGCAAGCATGGTGTTCTTCAAAAGGGGGGTAAATAGGTTTCTTCAGGGTCGGCAACGCACGCGTAATACCTCTGGTATTGCAGGTGTTCATAGGCTAGGGTAACCACTTGCCATCAGCTTGTTTGCCACCTCAGTGGTATAAAAAAAAAGACATGATCCATCTATGTAATAAATCCGTTGGACCGTTTAAGCGTAATTGAATAACAAACATCTAATCATCCAAACATCCTTATAAACTTTAATATTTTATAATATTCGTAGGAGGTTAGTGTAGTGTACCATTCTTACAAATAAGATTAATCTAACGACGTCTAATCCATCAAGTAGTTTACTTTAGCCTTGCCAAATATCCGGATACACAAGACATCCGATAACGAATTTCATAATGTTATAAACAATACATTTTGCAGTGTTAAAACAATTAATATTTTTAATATTTTTTAAATACCTCGACGAGTCATTTTGCATGAGTGCTTGATTGTTGGACAGAGTGTGGTAGTAGAGGAACAGTCGCGAGGTGATGTAGAAGGCGATGAACACATCGATGGAGTAGTGTTCGTGAGCTGCCAGGATGAAGAAGATGCCGAACATGTTCATCACCCACGTGAGGATGTGGAGTAGGTACAAGTTACGCGACGTGTCTGTAACAAACAATGTAACCTTGAAATATCAATTAGGGGTTTTGTAAGCACTTTTTGTTGTATGTAATCTTAACATAATAAATGAGGTACAAACAAAATAAAGTTATTTGTATTTTGTATTTGTATTTGCTATATAAGAGTGGAGACCATTTCCGTAATGTTAGATACAGTCTAGTTCAAAACTAATAATTTAATATTGTGTAAAAAGTCAACTTAAATTGTAGCAAAACTAGTTATTTCAATTACAAACTTACCTACTGAACTTATTTTGATAAAATTTCTATGATACCAATCTGAAAATATATCCTTTCTGATAAAAAAAGAATTTTTCAATTCGATTTATAATTGACGGTGTTATAAGGTAACAAATATATATGTATATAATCAAATGGAAAACCTTTTTTAAGTCTGCTAAAAATCGAATAGCTAAATGTTCTATTACAGATATTTACAATACTTTTCATACACGCGTGGTCGACAATTAACGACTTTAGTGTAGCTTAAATATCTCTATTACTACTTATAATTTGGTAAAACTTTAATTATCTTAAATAATTTTATTACGGAATAAATATTCTGGAGTCCTATTTAAAAATAGTCTTTATAAAAATATTTTCCAATTTAACAATTTTGAAATTATGACAATATTAAAAAAAATCTACTTAAATTGCCACTACGCAAACAAACACCTTGAAGTTTCCTTTTCAAAATATTTACGAAAATATAGATAACAGATTATATTGTTATGAAAAGTAAATAGGTATATCATAATTTAATAATTGATAAAGTCCTGTCATAGTTACAAATACAGTATTTGTACTAATAAAAATGTACGAATGTATGAATTATTATGTATAAATAAAATAGCGAGTCGATATTCGTTAGTATACTACGAATATAATACTCTCTCCTCTCAGATTGAGATCACGCAACGTAATATGTAGTGTGCGCATGTTATTGCGGTGGTCTGGCGGTCAACAGGTCAGAGATTTCATCAAGTTGGTAGGTAATGTATAAATCTAGCCCTACATTCTTATCTCTAGGAAATAGTGATGAAATAATGAGCATTTCTTTGTGAGCCAACAAAGCACTATGAAACAACATTTTTAATAATAGGTAGGTATTACTCATCACAATACTTTCTTATATAGTAGAGTTGACAGCTGCATAATCATAACTTCCTTATAGATTAATCGTATTCTTATATTATAAATTACTTCTACTACGTAATTAATAACCGATGACGTTTGGACGTTTGATGTTTATAAATATATCAGAATGCCATAAATATAAATACTGTTTTCATTAAATTACATATATACATATATTACTTAACATATAAAATAAAGTAATAAATGGTATGTGCTCCATATCATAAAATCCTGAACATTTTTAAATATTTAATGTACAAAACATGGAATTTACAACATGCAGTACAAGCTATAAGAAAACGGATATAACAGGAATTTTATTTTACTGCCAAATCTGATTTTAAAACAACTAAGTTTCTACTACTAGTAGTGCGTTTAAATGTCGATCTGAATCGAACTCACTATTTATGGAGAACTTGGAGCAGTTAGCCTTTTAATCGCCCTAATCGGATGTATCCGATAAACATTTTCATACCCGTACCGCCCCTGTCAAAATTATCCAACAGAATACCTGTATTTGTACGTTTGTTTTTTCCGTTTATTTAAATGTCTACTACCAACATAGTAACAAAAAAAAGAGATAGAATGCAAAATAAATTACAATACTTATACTTTATTAGTTAGAAATATTTAAAAAATCAAGTATAATATAAAATTGTCGATTTGAGTCAAGCGCCAGGGGCATAGCAATAAAGCGAAATAGTAGAAATTTAAAGGATACATAGTGTACTCACATTCTGTGATGAAGAAATTGAGTAGCGTGAGCGCGACCGTGTGACCGGAGAACATGTAGTCGCCGCAGGTGCGCACTCCCCGGACGGACATGCCGGCACCGCTCCAGATGTCGTAGGCCTGCCGCAGACGGCGGCCCCACACCGTCAGGTCGTCGGCCGGCGGGTACGACCGTGGCTCACACTTCAAGTGTGAGCCCGGCACCGACAGCGACGTGATCAGCATCGTGAAGCACCGAAGCAGAAACACGGTGCCCGCCAGCGCAAAGAACCTCCGCAGAATTATGAACCTGATACATATAAATATATTGAAGGTGATTTCTGGTTGACCAACATATTTGCCGGACCCCAACCTCATTTAAAGCTTACGTAATAAGTGGACGTCCACTTCTAAACAGAGTTGAATTATGAACGAAACTAACGTATTTATCAATAGAATTTTTAAAGGGGGAAATTCTCAACCCGTTACATTTTCGATTATCGCTTCACCAATTTTGATGATAATTTATTTAACTTCTTTTTTTTTAATATTCATATGCATATGATCAGCATAGAATGGATCACCCCTTCCTTTTCAGGGGGTATCGTAAAAGGCGACTTACTTTACTTAATGGTCGAGGAATGGGCAACAGCATCCCTCTTAAAATACCATCAAAACCCTAACTGCGATTGCCAACCCGCCTGCCAAACGTGGCAACTACTGGTAAATCTACTCGTATGGGGGAGCTCTATGTTCAACAGTGGACAGTTAACGGCTGATATGATGATTAGCAGTCATTAACATCGTATTACCGAGCTGCCCATTTTTCTAGTCGCCCCTTATAACATCCATATACAACATTCATAAAGAAAAGATGTAGTATTTACACATTGTATTTTGAGGCGTACTTTAGTTTCGGCTCATTTATTTACGACACCGGGTTGCACTGAACTCTAAATTGATCAAAGAATACGAAAATCGCTGGTTAAATTTGGCAAACAAGCGCCAGTAGGCATCTTAAAAGGCCCTTTTACTCTGTCATAACGCAAATTATCTATATAAATAATATTTTATCAACTTACTCTCAACTACTTTTATAACAAAATAAAAAAAATTGTTTTAACAGACAATTGTTACAAGATGACCATTGTTTAATTACTTTAAAGACAACGAGGTGCTAATTTTGTTATTTATATGCCATTCTGTTTTTGTACCTATTAAATATAGAGTTAAAGACAAAACAAAAATAAAAAAAATATTTATAAAGCAAATATGAAAAATGAATGTTCAATATTAATTTAGAATCTGTTATTTATTGACGATCTTGGTAGTGTAAGCGGTTAGGGGCATCCATTATTCGCGTGATGTTTTTAGCAAATTTTTAGAATATTTTCTCTTCATAAATTAATCCAACCGAGAATTGTATCCGGAATCTATGTAAAGCAACGTACGTAAGTTATTTTGTCTGATGGTAGAGATGTATAACAAAATATTTTTTTGTATCTGTCTATGGGGTCGTAATTTCCAAACGATGGTTTTATGCGTTTTTACGCAGCAATAGTAGCGTACATTGTATTTTATTAATTTTTTAATGAAATATTACTTCTATCTGTTCTCTTTTAACCAGGTTGTCTGTAAGAGATTGCCCGAGCGATAAGGCCGCCTTTTGTACCTTTATGTGTATATTTCAATCTGTATTTATGTAACTATATTTCACTTGAATTATTCACTTCTCATTGTTTATTTTTTTTTATAGTGCAATAAAGAATTAAACAAATAAATAACTTTAATATTCAGATTACTATAGCAATATGTTAAGTCTATCTTGATTTATCTCAATTTCAATTCAATTCAATCAAGATTTCGCAATGTAAAGAGTTTGTTATCATAGCAGATGTTTTAATAAATATAACAATGGACTGTATGAGTGGAGTTGCGAGTGGCACACGATTAAATAAAGGCGAACAAATGCTTTGTTTATATTAACAATATTCGTAATAAAGTTTATTAAGCTACAAGTACTCTAGTTTTTCATTTGAAGATGAAAATCGGATAACACTGCTTCCACTATTGATATACAACGCGTTCTACTAGGGAAGGATAGATGATGAAGCTATGTCAGTTGGATGATCGTGACGAAAATACAAGGAATCACCCATTATGGCTGATTCCTTGTATTTTCGTACACCAAAAAATTGATTGAGCTGGTAAAACATCAAGAATTAACAAATAAGCAAACAATCTCACATTTTTATAATATTAGGATTTGTCTATGGGTACTTCATCAACGCAAGAGACAGGTAATAGCTTGTATACAAGAGATAATAGTACAGGTAGTAATATTATATATAAGATTACCGTCATCAAAAAAATCAGTTATCTAATCTAACACGTGTATTACTTCGCTTTTGTTCCCACCCTACTTTCATTGCGTGCAAATAACAATAAGGTGTGGTGATAATAGCGTGACTTATGAAGTATATTTTTTTAACCTATCACGCGTGAGGGGTCAGCCTCGCGGGAGGAGAGAATTGTTAGGAATGGGGACTAGCGACCCCATTGCTAGGATATACCCTGTTGGGGGGAAGAGATTGCTAATAATACGCACTACCAGTCTCACTGCTAGCAATACACCTTATCAGATCGACCTCCCCGTAGCCCAGGGGTTTCCCTTCATGCTAAATTCCAGATGTATTCATCACGATAGGTTAACTGACCTGTCCTTTTATTCTCATTTATCATCCCTCACTGGTGCTCCGCCAGCGTATACTGTTAGTGCAGATGACGTTACCATTACATTATCATTCATTAAAAAAATATACCCTATTATGTCAACATCCACGCGGGCAACCTGAAACTTATTTATCTAATCGTAGTTAATTCCTGATGAATTTGTATCTATGGGCAAACCAGATTTCATTCTCATCTTTCATTTCTTACTGGGGTCTCACGAGCCTAAACCACTAGTACAGGCGGGGTATCATGAAAATGTTATACGTATCAGATACGCATAATATTTTCATGCATAAAAAAACTATCGGTTTTACAGTGTAATCTGTTATGTCCATAGTACTCTTCATGTCTGTAAACACCCTTACTACTATCAATCAGATAATCCATTAGTTTATTTGGCATTCCAATTTGAATAAAAAAATAATAATAATCTAAAAGTGTAATATTTTTATCATAACACTAATTGTTTTTAATTTCTATGTATCACTAAAAATAGAGTTAGTTATCATCTGTTTATAAAGATATAAATGTTTACTTTTTCCTTTTTATTTGATAACATTGTCGATGAGGGGGGAAGGGTTTGTTAATATTAGGCTCCATTGCTAGCAATATACCCTATCAGGTCGATCTCCACGCAATTCACCTGGAAACCATAGTGATTAATTTTTGAATTCGTCACGATGGGATAACTGACGTACATTCATCATGTTTCACTGGTGCTGCGTCGTCAAGATTTCGCTATAACATGAAATGGAAACTTAAATTGTAAATATACATTTAGAGAAATGGCGCTTCCGAATCAACTCCAATATCGAATTTAAAGTTAGCAAACTATGAAGTTCTAAATAATTAAAATGGTCCAAATATTGCTGATAACTATTCGTAAAATCGCTCCTGACCCTGGGGTGAGCACGGAACTCTTTAAAATACGCCTATGTAAATAACCTTATGTTATATTATACATTTATTTCTGTTTGAAAAGTGTTATTGTAGTTATACATAAATAAATTTCAGAAAATGTCATACTATAAAGTTTGTAGGTATATCTATACCAGTTACGGCTTAGGTCTCTCTCGGAGTATCACGGTTCATCCGGATGTCCAGATATTTTGAACCGATTTCAATGATTCTTTTTTTAATAGCAATTATTTACTACCGTGTTATTTTGTTATTGTTATTCGTTTATTTTGTAAAACAATATGTAAAATGATGTCTCTTTACGTATAGAAATAATTATTTATTGTATCGTACATTTTTTCTCTATCTTCCCACACTTCTGATGTAAAAACATAAAAAAAAATATACAGTGTATATATTGGCAATAAAAGTAGCTATCTATATCCCAGATGTTGTTTACTAATACCAATAAGGTCATGTATCTCATTTACTATGGCATGTATAAACAATACGCCAATAATATTGTTAGATAAATTTCCACACATTTGTTTTTATACTGTCATGACAAATCTTTCTTTATGTCTCATAAATATGAACATTAACCCTCCATTTTTAGAAAAGTTAGATATTTTTTTGGTATTAATTAATATTATATTGGGTCATATTAAAGGGTCTCTTACGTTAAGCTAAGTGAAGATAGACCGAATATAAATGGAGTTACATATGCCATTGTGAGAATTTATTAATTTTCCTAATATAATTGCAACCTATATAGTTATAAGTTTATGTGAGAGAAATAAATAAATAAAATAATAATGAAGTTATTAAAAATTTTATATTATATTGATTAACAGATCAGAATCAATTAGTAAAGAAATTGTGCTAATGTTAATTAATTTTCACTGGGGCCCATTTTAATCTAAGTTAAAAAATGTCATAAATATCGGTATACCTACATGTTTAAATAAATAATATTATATTTCGCAAAAAAACGGCGATTAAAATATTTGAATTGAACTAGTAAATTTTCGCTAAATTAATAGAGGACTAATAAAGAAGTAAACCTTATCAATTGCAAGAAAAAATATAATAATCAATTCAAAATTGAGAATAAGGCTCGCCTTCCTTTTGAAGTCACGTAAATGCGTTGCAATAAACGTGACTTCCGCCTTTTTAACACATATAAGTAAACGCTCTTTATTATCAACTCCAATTAATCTAAGTTGTTTTACTAATTATAAAAAAATTTAACAAAGGACAATGGCCAGCCTTATCGCTAAAAGGGATCTCAACCAAGCCTAAATACAATTTAAAGTCGGTACTGCCATTTCATATGACCATACCAGCACTTATGTGACTATTTTTTGCATAACTAGCGTCAATTTTAATATATACTGGATGTTTTGTTTCACAACTTTAATGGCCGATAAGCTTACGGCTCACCTGGAGGCAAAAGGTAATGATCGTCCATAAACATAATGTACACCATGTATATGGTCATTAAAGTTGCATAATTGAAAAACCCAGTTTGTATTTACAAACATTTGAGCTAGTTATGCAAAAAGCAGCCCTATTAGGTGGTATATACATAAGAGATGGCTGTTTTACCTACTCCAATTACTAGAAAATGCTCACCTGTGTTTGTGGAAGAACAAAACAACCAGCCAAATAGCCATAAGAAGTGACCCTGTGATCTCACACATATCAAAGGCCCATGGTATATGTGGTACATTATCTAAAAATAAGTCTGGGAGAGGGGGGTACTTTTTCATATCTGGCACCTTGTCATGAACAATCACCATTACCACAGCAGTCACCCATGTTACGAGAAACACATATCCTGAAAGACAAAATAGGTAACATCAAACATACTATACAACATTCTTATAAATTAATGGTATTTTTTTAATGTCTGCCCCTCAAAGTAGAACATATACAATACAATTGCATCTTTATTTTACATTGCATATTGTAGGGTTAGCAAGTATTTTATATTATCTTTTATTTTAATGAGAGTGACTGTTTAGAATTCTACCAATATTAAGACAATTAAGAAAGTATTATCCAGAAATACCAAAATTTTCTGAAAAATTATTAAATTTAAATATTAGGTTAAAAATACGTTTAGAGAAATGGTGCCTCAGAACCAAGCTCACTGAAAATACATAGACATCAAGTTTATTTTATATGTTATCTTACATATGTACAGTATTAATTTGTTTAATGGCAGTGAGTATTAGGTAATAATTATGGCATATTACTTTTAATAACTGTTCTAGTTATGAAATAGTATAAACTGACTTACATAACAAATAGACTTAATACTTAATAGTGACAAAAAACTATAGCAGAGAACACACTCATTAAAATTAATTGTATCAGTTGATGTTTTATCATGTCCATTGTTCTACATTCTTTTATATTTGCTATGTTTTATATACTATATTTATTATGTATATAAGATTTTCTTAATACAGATTTTAGTCCTTAAAATGCCAAATTGAAATTATAACTCTTGAATAAATACCACATTGTAAAACAGCTTGGATTAAGATAGACATGATTATGTGTGATCATACACAGATCTTTTGGCAACATTCCCAGGGCATGAGTAAACAGAGTACTGGTACACTATTATACATTAGTATGTACTCTTACTATAGATAATAATGACTAGTAGTTTATTCCCATTCATTAGAGATGTTCATGCTAGCACTGATAGTAAAAAATCATATATGGATTTGATAAATTATGTAAACAAAATTATGGAACATGTAGCTAAATTAAGTGTAAAAAAAAGTTTAATTAATTGTAAAAAACAATTAACAATTACAATTCATTTATAATTGTTTATTACATGCAGTAAACAATTATAAATTATTAATATTTATTGCATGCATTTTTTTTGTTACAGGGTATTAGTCACTATGGGGTAAACTCTCAAGATTGCCCTGTAAGGGCAAAGTAAACAACTATATGAAATTTAAGTAAACAAGTAGATTGTATAATTTTTATATTTATCTATTACAGTAATTCAGATGGTTACTGTACAGTTTTACTATAAATTAATACAAAAAAAAATTTGTATATGTAATGGATATCTTATGATAATACTAAACCAAACATTTTTTTATGTGGTCAATAAAGAATAAAAAATAAATACAAAATTTTATACAAATTCTACTATCATAAAATTCAGCTGTTTAATTGTGATAGTCACTAACACATAAACTTTCACAGATTTACAGTTACATGTAACATACATTCCATAGGTTAGTTATTTATTAGTTTAGGTATATGTATTATACTTGGCATATTTAGTAAACCATGTTAGTAGACTTTTTAACCTTTTGACCAGTTACCATACCTATAGAGCTTGACACCAGTACTCATTTTTTTATATTTTTATGACAAGTAAATACAAAATATTTTACATTTTTGTTCTATATTTTATCTCTATTTTTAGTTTATTCTAGTTTGTACTATGATAATGTAATTTACAGCTGAATAAGCTGAAAATAGAGATAATTGATAATTTATTACTGTCTATTTTTAAATAACCAGTTTTTAAGAAAGACTTGCCAAGATTATGTACTAAATATGCCAAGTAAAAAATAAAAACACATAGATACACAAATCTGTTTCACTGAAGTAATAAAAAAATAATAAGAAAAATATACCTAGTGCTAAAGCAGTTTTCCATATTTCAGGTTTCAGTTTTGATGCTTTCACGTCTGTGTTGAAGCATTCGGAATTTCTGTCGTAAGAATATTCACTTGACATCTTATTATGGAGATTATAACTCAAATGAGATAAATTGGTACCGAGGAAATTTATATTTGTAGATGGATTTGAGAGCTGTTCATCACAAAGACCTAGTTCGAACATAGCTTGACGGTTATTCTTCTGTAATCTTTTTACAACGAGTATAAAACGTTTTCTTTCACCTAATTTTAACTGATCAAAGGGATATTCATAAAAGTCTCGATCAATTAATGATAATAGACACTGACCATCTATGTCATGAGTTTTACAAATATCTATAATAAAACTTGATAATTTATCTCTAAGTAATAAATCTAACACTTCTTTGTTGCTCCAATTAATAATATCAGATTCCATTGTTTAGAGTAGCTACTTGCTGCTTGGAATAAATATAATATAAATTTTCATTTAACTTTGATTAATTTAATAGGTACACAAATATAAACAATAGGTGAAACACTGGTTAACTGAGCTATTACTTTCACATTCACTACATTTATTTAGAAAAATTATTATGGATCCGTCGTAGATACTATTTGACAGATGGATGAGTGATGGCTACTGTCAATTGACTTTGACATTTTGAACATTTGACACATTAGAAGTTTGATAACTCGACTGTTTCCATTAAAAAAATACTTTTTAACTTGAAAAGTATTTTTTTTTAATGGGTGATAATGGAATGGTAACCTCGCTTGCGCTATCGGCATACGCTGGCGGGGCACCAGGGACGGATGATAGGTCATGATGAAAGCAGGTCAGTTTAGGGAACTTACTTTTTGTAAATTTTGTTCAATTTAAGCAATAATTCATTTTGTTTACACATTCAGACCTGTAACATTAATTTTAAATTATTGATGTTGAATGATAATTCCGTTTGCGCTATAAGTACAAGTGATTCGTCACTTGTACTTATAGCAGATATGTAAGACACCAATGATTATAAAAAGAGAATCCCGGGTGCTATCTTTAACATAAAGATCAAATGAAGGAAATAATGCAAAAAATAACAGGAATTCTGCTGAAGAAAGTGTTCTTTGTTAAAAATAAAGACAAAGTGTTATGAATCTACGTAGATACTATTCTTATCCCAATAATGCATAGATAAATGAATACGAACAAAATCAATCAAAGCTACGGAAGTTCTCGCTCATAAATTTCAAATCTCAAGATGTGTCGGGTTGAGTATTTATCTGTTAGTACTGAATTAAGGATGTTATGCCTATGTGGCACAAATTACGGAGTAAGAAAAAAAACACCTTTTTGAAATCATTTATTTTGAATTAAAAAACATACGAATTTTTAATGCTTAATGAATAAAGTAATCAACAATACAACACATGAAACATTATTCAGCACAAACATTAACACAAAAAATATGTAGCAATTCAAATCAATAGGCCTGATTTAAAGGGACATACTTCTATGTGTATAGAAATATGTAAGTGAAAAAACAATCTTCAGTGACCTAATTGATATGAATTGTAATACACGTATGTACCTTATATAAATGCAGCAACTTTTTATTGCTTATATCACAAGTTAGAATGTTTTAGTACAATTTCAAGTCTTTAACAATAGAAAAATACACAATATTCTTTAACGATTTTTTCCTTTAAAATTACAACTTCTGTGAGTGAACCAAATCTCATTTAATAATCGCAATTTAAATAATCATATAAAGCACATAATACGTTACAAATAATACCAACAGAATAGACCGTAAACAACGTGTCCGGCAGTCCTGTTGCAAAATGTAGTGTATTACTGGAAATGCGCGTCTTATATTATTCACATCCGCCATACACGCACAACCACATCCCGGACTTTCCAGCAGATAAACCTCGCGCATTCAATAGATTACGCGGTGCAGAGTTGACGGGCTAGATGCCTATCACAATAGAATACGTCTTATTCATATACTTAGCTTAATGATTAGTTTCGTAGACCAATCATTAATGTAATTAGTAGTTGAAGTCGAATTTCATTTCCATTAAGTACTTCACGTTGACCTGTGCCACGTCGTACACGATGTATCTAAAAATGTTCGCTAAGGAAATTTTTGTGCATACTTAGATATTAAGCAGCTTTATCGGGTATTTCTTATTAAAACAATAATAGGTGATGGAGTAACTATAGGCGACGGTTACCATCGGTTCCATCAGGTGGGCCGTCAGCTTGTTTGCCATTCTAAGTTGTATAAAAAAAAGTAGTATCACATATCGCTATCGCTTCTTATATTTTTCCCTGCATAGATCACTTACCCACAAAAAAGAGAATTCTAGGCTGCGGTTACCATACTAACCTGGCCACTTGGCTATTGGATTATATTTCAATATTTCTTCTCTGTTCTTTTTTTGCTAGAAATGAACAGGAACTGGAATACATTGTATTTAACTCTATTACCACACATGTAATGTAAGCCAAGTAGACAGCACATAGTAGTAGTAGCGATTAGTAGCGAAACGGCTGTTGGCAAATATAATGTTGTATAAAGACTAGTAGCAAATTTGAAACGTTGCTTTAATTCAAAATTAAGTAGTAAAGGATACTCGTTATAGAGCAGCGAGACGTTCCGGTCGACAGTGATGGGCGGCCCTAGCGGCACGAGCGTGCCGTCGGGCAGCGTACGGGCAAGTGCCGGGTCGGGCTCAGTGCGGCCGCGGCCCCACACCGAGTGGCGGTCGGCCGGCAGCTTCGTCACGTACTCCGCGCGGTCGCACTCCTTCCTGACAATCGGAAGTAACTCTTATAACCAACGCCACATTCAGCGCAACTACCGCCGCCTATCACCCACAAGGGAAAGCTACTACAACGAAATGCATACAATTTGATATCGTCGATCGCATTATCCGGAAGATCGGTTATTACTAATACATTTTGCCCAATTGTAAATCATGTACAATAAAGATTTTACAGTACAATTTACAATACAATACTGGTAGGTTTTCATGCGACTGACAATCGCTGATCAAAGATGTGTTGAATGGGTCGTAAGACCGTATGAAGAGAATGCGTATTACACAAACACATACAGGTGAAATCAAAAACGTTAGCATCCTGTTGAAGAAGTGGTCTACTGACGATACGGAATATTATTTTAAATATAGATCAACGAGAATAGTAGTCAAGTCATTTTATTCCGATGTTTTGTATATATAAATCCCTAATTATTAGGATACCGTTTTATTCAAATCCGTTTAGCTATTTAAACGTGACTGAGAAACAATATTAGTAGGATCATATGGTGTAACAAGATAAAGGTATAAGTTGGAACAAAAAGAATAATCATAAAATGAATACAAATTAATTTGCTACTAAATAATTACTAGTCCAAACAGCTTTTTCTAATTATACTTACATATTTCCAAGAGCAACTTCACATAGTAGCATAACTCCAACAGGATTTTGCTTGTTAGTGCAGCAGTAGTTGGCCGATTTGGACACCATGTCGGCGAAATAAATACCCTTGCCGAACATGTAGCCGGTGACGGGCGCTTCGGGCGGCGCTATACGAAGACCTACAGAGAATAATAATAATTTATAGCCGTTACGACATAATAAGATTTAATAAAAATACAATATAAAGTTTTAAAATAAATTTCTTGTTTTAAATATATAGTGTTTTTTCTTTTGACTACAGAGATGGTTTTAAGAATTGTTTATTCTAACTTTGTTGTTATACCTTGAGACAATATCCCTGCGAAGTTGGTAACACGCGACCCGTGCCACAGCAAGCGACGGTTATGTAACTTCTTAAATGGTTTGTATCTTTTATCTTCTCCCTCGCGGACTACTTTAAATACCTATAAATATAATAATGAAATATTAATAAATAATAATGAAAATAATAATCTCCTTAAGAGGGGTGATGTGATTTTTTGTAAAAATTTAAAAATAATAATGTAATATTTTTAATTTTTTCAATAAAATAAGCAAGTCGAAAATAAATAATTTCATAACTATAATTCAGAGACATAAATTGTTGCGAAAGACGGTTTACATAAATAAATAGGATATCCCATTTAGCGTAAAAACCTTCACCAACCGGATATATTTTTTTTCTTATCAAGATAAAACCTATTCTGTTTTTCAAGTAGAAACAAAATAAGATATTACAATAAATTCATTAAAATCGTTTGTGTTCAGAGATTAGCGTACAACATAGAATTTTTATTAAAACATTAAGATAGATCTAATACAGACCTGCTGAATTTGTAATTTATATGAAGAGTGAGTGGCCGCATGTGTGTTCTTCGTGTACTCGGATATCATCTGATATTCCTCAGAGTTAACATCTAACGGTACTATTTCAGTCTTCAGTTTACGGTAACAACCTTCCAGTGGGCTTACTTCTGTTGCGTTCTTATCTAAACAACATAATCCGCATCAGGCAAATGTGTCTATCAAATTTCACTATCCAGATCTCTGAGAGGATAAATTACTATCTGACAATCTAAAAGTCTAGTGACAGAGAATTTTCCGGGTACAGAGAAATAACACCTAAGTCCTCAGGAATGGCAACGCATAGGAGGTATCATGGGCGAAACGGTATACTCTGTTATGTCCATGGTACTGCTCATGTCTATAGGCGACGGTTACCACTTTCCATCAGGTGGGCCGTCAGCTTGTTTGCCATTCTAAGTCATATATACGATATCGAGTCGTATATCGATAACGTAGTTCAAGATGGAGCATGTCGACTTTAAAAAATTAGAATGAAATTTGGTACTTAGATGGACTAGTCATATGATTTACTCATAGATTACTTTTATGGCAATTCGCGTGGGCAGTCTTGTAATTATTACAATATTTTAATTATTTAATTAATTATGAAAAAAAATGAAAAATTAATTTACGTAAGTACATATCATTGGTTAGTTGATTTGAATTATTGTTTAATTCAATATTGCAACATGTGTCGACTAAATAACAGTCAGAGGTAAATGACTAACGGGAAAGATCGTAAAGGCTCTATTAATAGTAGTCAATTCTCAAATGTTGGCAGTCACACGCACATAGAACGCACGCTAGTTAGCGGAATTAAACAAAATAATTCTAATAAACTAACCAGATATTGTTTAAAAGTCTACATTGTGTACCTGCGCTCAGCATACTATAAGCTATTTCTATTTCCAACATATTATCCAACATTTCACATTTGGACTTTATAATATCGGTGTTGTCCAGCAACGGTGCATTATTCATTCCAAAGTCGTGAGGTATAAGTGTGAAGAATCTGTCAATTAATATGAAATTACGAGAGCTGTTACGATATTAATTATATTAATCCACTAAACATCTTTTAGTATATGAAGTATGCGAAATGTATCTCCAATCTGCAAGTCTAATTTAAAAGACCTCCTTGTAAAAACGTACTAATTATTATACCTATAAATTATGTTGTAAAATCTTTATTGTACATATAAACTTAACCCTTTAAGGTATCACTGACAGTCAACCTTTGAGAAGCTAAAAGAAAGCTATAGAATGTTCGTGGGTAAAAATTGTACAGCTAAAAATAAAACTTAATAAAACCTAGTTAAAATTAAATATACTGTTCCATATTTATATTACAACAATAAGTAATTGTACACACCTACATATATAAATAATAATAATAAACCTATACAGAAATGTGAAAGAAATAAGAGTATAAACATACTTAAATTGCTAAATAAATAAATAGAATGTGTGTTTATATACAATACCTGTTAGTGGCATCCATCACTTTATTCTGACTAACTTTTCCTTTTTCAATGTATTTCAGTAATTCTGATAGCACCTGATATCCTGTTTTGATTTGTTTTTGGGACAATTTCCCCAGTGGCATTTTCTCGGTGTCCAACTGTATATAAAAAATATTATACAATTTTTAATAAATTCCAAATGTCCCACTGCAAAGATCTCTCCATCTTCTATCAAAATTCCCTGTTTTGCGGCACTATTAAGATTCTATTTTCTCTAACTTAAATATTATTTGTGTCTAGTACCTACTGACCAGATTAAACTATCCGAAATATTCTGGACAAAAGTCGTTTACATGGGCAATTCTACCGCATACGTTTTTGCCGCCAATTAGTTGTTCACAACATCGTTTCGGTTTAAATAGACAATCATGTCCATAAAATTATAGGGATGAAGGCATAATATTAGGAAGGATCTTTAGGAATAGCAATGAACAAAGACTGTTATTCATCCATGGGAATCAATGCATTTTTTAATGCTAATGTATTATTAAAGTCTATAGACTAGATATCTATAGATGGCGCGTCAGCTTATTTGGCATTTCAATCCCAGATAAATGTATTTTGATGGATTAAAAAGCTTTCTTCAAAAGTATACCTCAAATTCTAATAACGTTTTCTTCATGGCGTCCATATCAAATATCCTCTGTATAAGTTTTTGAACAGGAATCGGTAGTGAAGAATTCTTATCGATTGTCATTTCGCGTGATTTGTTATTTGTCTCTTCGCTGTCTCCATAATCGACATCTAGAGGGTAGTAACATCCGGGTACCTGTAAATTCCAGTTTATTTATGTCACAAACTACAACAGGGATTACACTTGTAACCTATTATAGAAAAGTCAATGTAATTTATAGCTTATAATAAAAAAGTTAAATGGTTTTTTTTCTATATCACAAAGATGACAAACAAGCATATAATCCGTCTGATGAAAAACGGTCAGTATAATCTACGGACGTCTGCAACACTAGGGGCATTATGTACGCGTTGCCGACCCTGAAGAAACCTTAATAAGGTCAACCGAGGCAAGTGTGACACTGGGGCAAGTGTAACAATTGGTAATAATAGGGTAAATAGACTATATTCTTCAAACCGTCATGTATTGGACGATAAAGGAACTTTCAAGCTATCTTACAGTGTCACAATGGCGTACGTAACGTCAACTGTTTTATCGACAGACAACATTTTGTCTAACTACTCAACTGACAACAGATCGCATTCCATTCAAGCATTCTGTTTTTAGTTACTGTGTGAAGTTTACGAGTTATTTCGACAAGATAAAAGGTAAGTCATACAAATTAATATTAGGGCTTTACATTTAATATGTCTTTGTAAACTGAAATCCACTATTCCTTAAAATATCTTTACAGTTACACTTACCTCGCTATAAAACTAACATGTTCAAGTGTAACAGTGTCACGCTTACCCCACTCATTTTCTATGAGAATAACATAACTAGTAATGAACATCTCGAAATAGAATATCGATATTTTTATTAATCGACTTAAAAGAAATTAGGTTATCGATAGTATTTACATAATTTATTTGTGTTTACGTTCTTTCTATGATAATTTATTTGTTTTGTTTTAAATCGTAAGGAACTATGTTAGAAAAACTACCGACAAATACTCTCAGGAAATATTGGAGGAGGCTGTCAAAGCAGTACAGGAGCAACGTATAACGGCGTATAAAGCTGCAAAAATTTTCGGTGTCCCTAGACCCACTATAATTGCACACGTAAAAGGTCATCGAGGTGTCAAATCTAAGTCGCATGGAAGGCCTACTGTATTTACACCAGAGTTTGAAAAAAATATTGCGTCAATGCTTCACATCATGGAAAGATATAGCTTTGGTTTGACTCAACGCGAAGTAAGAGCATTAGTTGGCCAATACGTTCGCCGTAACGAAATCGATACTCCGTTACGACGAACGTATTGGATACGTGAAGATTGGATAAGAGGGTTCAAAAACAGAAACAAACTTTCAATTAAAAAACCTCGAGGGGTGGAAATACCAATACAAAAAGCAGCAGTCCTATTTCTGACTAACAAATTTTACGACCTACTTGAAACAGTTGTGAAGGAGCAAAGATTAGAAGGCGATCAAATTTGGAATCTCGATGAGACAAGCTTCTGTCAGGATCCTGGAACATCAAAAATAATTGGGCTCAAAGGTTTTCAGGGCACTAGAACCATTAGCTCACCAGGCCACGACAACACAACTGTGTTATTCGCATGCAATGCTTTGGGTCAAAAAGTAAAACCGCTTATAATTTTTAAGGGAACGTATCTTTGGAATACATGGCTACCTGACGATGATACGGTTGATTCGGCATTTGCTGCAACATCCGATAAACCAGTAAAAAAAATAACAAAGGAAATCCAAAAAAAAACTGCCATCTAAAAAAAGGAAAAGGAAAGTTTTAATAAAAATAATATAATACAAACATGACAATATCTACGGTTTGTGTCGTATCCTAATTTATACACTTATCCTTCTTAAACTATCGATATTCTGTTTTCTTAAATTGTCGATAAAATAATTACCTAATGACATCACTATTTTGTAAGACTCCTGTTACACTATCGTCATTTGGATAAAAAATCCGTTATTTCGTAAAAATAGAAATTAATATCATTGCAGCAGATCATAAAATATGTTGACATGAGTAAATTTTACGGAAATTTTGACAGATAACACAAATACTGGAGTAAACTGCGAAGAAAATAGTAAGTGTTACACTTACCTCAGGTTCGGGGCAAGTGTGACAGTCCTCGACTCTCATAGGTTTTGTAATATTTTCTCACTTAATAGAAAGATATATGTGTTAATTTGCTTGATTAAACAAATTACCATAAAATAATAAACGTTTCAAAACAAAAGTCTTTGTATTTTATCAATACAGAGTAGAATTATTTGAAGGAAAACTATTGTACCAATAAATTTGCGTCACACTTGCCTCGGTTGACCTTATACCCTTTTCGAAGAACCCATACTGTAATCTCTAGGGATAACCACGGTAGGGAGCTGATTCCTCACATTGTTGAAATTATTACAAAAACTCGCTAAATGAAATTTTAGTAACAAATCGAAACATTTTAAAACTTAATTTATTAATCAACAAAATGTGGCGCAAAATATTCAATGAATTAATTCAGTTTTAATTCGTATTACTTATTAGACATCCGCCGACGATCTATGGCCGGGTACAATTTTTGCAAACACAACTACTTCACGGTAGAAACAATTCAAAAAGAAGGAGGTTCTCAATCTGGTTGTTTTTTATGTTTGTTACCTCGTAACTCCATCAATTGTAAACCATTTTGAAAAATTATTTTATTAATAAGGATGAATATACTTACAGATTTGTTCCATTTTATCAAAATCAACTGAGTAGTTTAGTTTTTATATGAAAATAACTAGTTTTGACCCAATTGAGGTCTTTTTTTGTGAAACACAATCTTAATTATCATTAAGTTATATTTAACCAAACCATAAATAAATAACTTCAAATTCTTACCTTTACGAAATCGTCCCTATCTTCCCAATCATTTTGCGTTTTCTCCGAGTAATAGAAGCAGAAATCCTTCTTTGCCTCGTGCAACGTTTTAAAGTTTTGCACTTTATTACCGCCGATAGTTGTGCCGATGCGACCCCAGGATCGGAACACCCAGAAACTATAAAAATAAATATTATTATTATAATGTTCTAATTTTGTTTTTTCGTAAGTGCATTGGTAAATCTGTAAAGCTCAACAAAAATATGTATATACATATATTCTATCTATCTATCTATCCTATTTAAGAGCTGCGCTCTTGTCGGTGGAGCTCTTGCCACGCACTACGATTTTCAGCGAGTCTCTTCACCACTTGATACGACACGACACCAACTCCTTCCTTGATCTGCCTGATGTAACTATGTCTCGGTCTTCCTCTTTCCTTCCTTCCTTATATCTTACCTTCTATTATAATGTTCATAAGTTCGTCGTGTCGTATCAAGTGTCCCAACATTTATCCCCTTCTGTCCACAATAGTCCTAATAATTTGTCTTTTTTCCGTAATCCTAAGCAGGACCTCCTCATTGCTAATTCGATACATATATTATAAATAAATAAATGTAGTTATACATTACTTGTTTTTATTATCGCTTTCCAACAGCTGCAATTTATAGTACGAGTTCTTCTGTGTAACTATATCAGTCTTGGACAAGACGACAGTGTATTTAGCGCCATCACTGTCTTTGTACACATGTGCACAATCTACTAAACCTGAATCAGGATCCACTGCGGTTCCATCTAAAATAAATTTGTTGAAATTAAATATAAAGATTATTTACTATTTTAATTTACTTAACCATTATAATATTATAAAATATAAACTAAAAATACCTAGTGCAAACTTATAATGTCAAAGTCAATGTAAATTCAGCATGTTGCTGTACCAATCGATTACGTTTACAAGAACATTCCTTCCAAACAGGTAAAGATCATAACTTTTAAATTGAGAACACAGTTCTGGAATATATAATTACTAATGCATAAATTGAACAAAAAATATATACCTTGAATTTTCAGTTTTACCGAAGTTGATTTTGAAGATTTCACATACATACTACCAGATTTTGGAATCGATTTCCCATCAATAACATCTTGAGGAATACGAGTCGCAGGCTGTCGAGATTTAATAAACATAAAATTAAGGGACTACTCACACTTATTCAGCTCTATTCAGCTTTTGTTCATAGACAACAACGATTTTGTATGGAGACGTGTACGCAATCATTCAGCTTTTCGCGTCTATTCTGCTTCCGCGGCAACTCAGTATAAAATAAGGATAAATGTGTATTTATCATGCGAATGCTATCTCATGCTCATTTTATATTGAGTTGCCGCGAAAGCAGAATAGATGCGGAAAGCTGAATGGATGCGTACACGTCTCCATACAAAATCGTTGTTTTCTATGGACAAAAGCTGTATAGAGCTGAATAAGTGTGAATAGTCCCTAAATGGGACCAAAATCGTTCAGTGAAACGTAAATGGAGCTAAATAAGCGTGAAATAATCCCTAAGAATCTACAATTATTCCACATAATATAAGAGTCTACATTTTTTGCAGTTCTTTAGAAAACTATTAATGGAACCCGTGACATTATTATTTACATACATAGAGTAAATACTTTTTATTTTAAAATTATTGAATTGATGATGCCAAACATTTGTTAGTAATGCAGACTACTATTTCCATTGCTAGCAATATACCATGTCAGGTCGACCTCCACGTGGTCCCCCTTGGAAACCATCGTGCTGAATTCCAAGCGTATTTATCACGATGGGCTAACTGACCTGCCTTTTTATTCTCACCTATCATTCCTCACTGGTACCCCGCCAGTTTATATTGTTAGCGTATGCGGGGCTACTATTCCATTATCATCCATTAAAAAAAAATACTACCTTCGTAGTTACACTACGAAATACTATCAATTAGTAAATCTTTTAATGACTTTTTGAAATGTCATGCCGCCTGTCCCATCCCAAATGTAGGGTTATGCATTTAAAATATCATAATAATATGTCAAATAATATTACTATGGTGGTAAGATGGAAGGAATACACCATAAAGATAAAATTAAACTTACGTCAGAACCCCAATCGGCAATATTGTTTTCTTTGATGAGACGTAAAGTATCCTTAACTGTACCATTTTCAGGGTCGATTAAATCGAAAAATGATTCGTCTATAACCTGCAAAATAAGGATAGACTTACATTTAGATGTTTGAAATTGGAATCTTGTCTTCCTATACATAAGTAATTGTAACATACTTATTTTTCAGTAATAACGCCATCTAATATAACAGCACTACTATGGTAATACTTTGGATACCGCTAGATGGTATTGAATAGAGAAATTTAACAAATAAAAGACCAAAGACAAAATGTATTGCAGCACAGAATTTTTGTAGTTAGAAAAAAAAATATCCTCAAATTTTTTTTTAATGTCTGTTAAAACTCTAAAATAATAAAATAAATTAAAAAAAAATCATTCAAAACAATATTATGTGTAATGTATGCATAAGACAGTGACTAAGGAAACTTAAGGTTGAGGGATGAGAAGCAGCGTCTCTCTTAAAAGATCCCCGAAGGCCTAACTGCAGTTGCCAACCCGCCTGGCAAGCGCGGCGACTGGCAATAGGAAAACTCCCCTTATGGAGAAGGCTTAACAGCTGAAATTATGATGCATAAGACAAAGTTTAGAAGAGAATGAAGCAAAATGTGGGCGTAAACATAGAAATCTTTAGTATTCAATTTTCTCTATAAAAATTATAGATATTTATTATAATCCGTATTTACTCTTTTGTTTTTTTTTTTATTTTCTTTCAACTGTCTTGACTGATTTTGGTATCAAATACAATAAGTAACATACCTCTATACTTTCAGCTTTTATCTCTTCCATTTTCTCGTTCATTTTTTCGATTTCTTTCTTAGAAGACACCACGGCAGCTGTTGTCTCTGTTAGCTTAGTGACCACAAGCCCGCCAAGTTTCAATATACGGTGTTTTAAGTCCTCTTTCGGCGTTTTAAATTTTCCATAAATAAAGAACTGGAGATTTTTTAGCGGTGGGATACGTATTTCTTTTTTGACACTGCAACATTTCATTTTTATTATTTTATTGCAGTTATAATAAAAAATGTTACACGGACATTTTCTAGGCGATTATAAAAAACAATAGAAAATGTATACCGTAAATTAAACATCGTTTCAATAGTTTAAGACTATTACAAAAAAAAAAGGTGAAAGGTGATTAATTATTAATACAAGTAGTATGATGAAAAGCTGAAACACCGTATATTTGGTCACGGATGAAAACAAAACGAGCATCAACACCATATTGATCCTGAGTTTATCTACTGTACAGATATGATATTCTGATGAATTAAGTGATGATGATTCATCATCACTTTAGCCATTATTAGTTCACTGTTGGACATACGCGTCCCCATAGACTGCCATAAGGAACGGTCCTGAGCCGAGATGATGATGCGATATGCAGATACCAACAGTAAAAAAAAGAGAAATTTCCATTAATAATACATACAAAAAATACAGTTGAATTGGAAACCTCTTTGAAGGTGGTTTAAAATTGACATCCTTATTAATGTTAGAATAAACTTAAACGTTAACTTGTTTGTATTTATTGTTATATTTCGGTGCCTTATTGACTCAACCAATCGTCATGAAAATTGGTATATTTTCTACGTTACGCAAATTACGTTGCCTAAGAACTGATTTTGATAACTCTTTTAGCTCTCACATTAATTTTGTAATGTTAGAAACTGTGAAAAAAAGTACTTTTAGACAAACGATTTTGAGTTTTAAATTTAAATATTTTCTATCTATCTACGCAACATCTCATGTCGAGAACAAAACATATTTATTTTTTATTTTAACATAACAACGACCGAATTAACTTACGTATATTTTAATTGAGAAAGTTCGACTAATTTCGGAATCATCTGGGACTTTTACTTATGTTAATCCACTCGTTATTATAGTAAAATATATTGCGTACTAAAAAAACTTTTAACAACAAAACATAATTGTTAGCCCCCCTTGTTTCGGTGAGTATAACTAGACAATAATAGAAGTACCTGGCTTCGGGTTTGATATTGACAAGGGTAACAGGCGGAGGCGCAGACTTAAACTCGCGCCTATCCACCTTCGGTTTATATTTGTCGAAGGGCGCGTTCTTTTTATATAAACTAGGTATCTGTAATGGTATTCTCTTAGGGTTCTGAGTCATATATGTACACTTTGTCCAGTCACTTATATGTCCTGTGAAAAATTATAACCACATATTTACAAAATAATAATATAACATTTATAACAATAGAAAAATACTTCCTAATACATGGGGCACACTAAAAGTTTTGCACTTCTAGGTAATTGGAACTATTTGAATTTTGAATGTTATATTTTTTGAAACGTTGCAACCTTCTTAGTAATAAAAAAAAAATTGGCGGGAAATTGCAAGCAAAAATGGTTCGATTGCATGAAAAAATGTTTAAAATGGAAAGGAGAGTATTTTAAAAAGCAATAAACATAATATTTTGGTTATAATATGTTGTTTTTTTAAGTAACGCAAAACTTATAGTGTGACCTACGTATTATAAATGTGAAAGTAAGTTTGTTTGTTTGTTATCCGTTAGCACTTTAATGGCTTAACCAATTACTATGAAATTTGATATACACGTACAATATAGGATGTAGAAGGTTATAGGCTAGTCTTTACCAGAGAACACATCCCAGTAATAAAAACGAAGTCGTGGATAAAAGCTAGTAATATAATATATCCTTGGTTAAAAAGAACATGGATTGAGTCAAATTTATTGAATCAGTTTAATTTTGTTCATAAAGAATCTATAAATTTACATCTATATAGTACATTAATTAATTAATTGTATTTACCTGTACATTTATAACCAAATGTGTCCAACACAAGTTGCCCATTTTTACATTCTGGACAAGGCTCAAGTGCACCAAATGCCATACAGTCTGCTAAAGAATCTTCACACTGTAAAATTATTAATATTGTTTACATTAAACCACCATGCACATGTGGTAAGCATGTATAATATTCTTTGGATGCCTTGTATACAAAAAGATGAAATTGAAGAGTGTGTAACAATTTAATATTTCTTTAAGCATTAATCAAAATATGCTTTTATATGATGGTATACCAGCAGTGTATGGGGGAGGACTACGTTCAGCAGTGGTCAGATAACGGCTGATGTGGTGATGATGATGGTGTAAAGACTAGTTCTATAGTTGACCCATTGGTTTTTGGTACTTTGATAATTACCAATGCAGATAAATACTTTATTTATTACCTAATTAAAGTATTTGGTAGCACGAAATTACAAAAAGTTATGCTTTTTTCTAAATAAAATATAATAATAATAAAGATTAATAAAGAAATTTAATAGGAGTGTATACATAGAATGGATAGAATAATTGTGAAGTATTGATGACCAGGGATGGAAGATGTTTTAAAAAAGGTATTAAGTATGAATGTATGTGGATGGCTATAAGGGTGGAGGAAAACCTAAAAAGACATGGATGGACTGTGTGAAAGGTGACATGGCTAGAATGGAAGTGAATGCAGAAATGACTGCAAATAGTGACGAATGAAAGAGAAAAACATATTACACCAACTCCAAATAATAATTGGGATAAGGGTAGGAAGATAATGATTAAATATAAATGTAGATGGCTATAAAGACAAAGAAAAATCTAAAGATATAGATGGACTGTATGTAAGATGATATGGCCAGAATGGGAGTGAACACAGACATGACTGTAAATAAAAAAGAAAGGAAAAGAAAAACATATTACGTCAAACCCCAAATATATAATTGAGATAGGCAGATGATGATGATATGATGAAAGTAATATTACTTTTAATAGAAGAATAGAAATGAATGTTATAGGAATATATGCAAAAAAAAATATATATATACCTCGCTTTTGGTAAGTCCCTCTGACGCTTGAGAATTCTCCTCCAGTATGGCTTGCAAATCTTTCTTTGTTATATCAACCAGAGCATTCTTATACTTGTGATACAGCTTATTTTGTTTGTCAATTAACTTTTGTTTTTTCTCTGTTGCTTTAACCTCTTCTGGATCTTTAGGCTCATTTTTTAACTTTTTAACTGGCACTTCATCAGATTTGAATGGTCTGAAATGATCAAATTAATTAGAATTCAGTGTCTTTTTATAATTAATATTTATGATTTTAATTATAACATATATTAAACAACTATTAAACAGAATAAAAATAGTTTATACATACAATTTCACTTACTTTATTTCATCAGCAATCATTTTCTGATCTTCTTTTTTGAGTGTCTTAAAACCTGGAAGACTCTCTCCCCCTGCAAAGTACAACAATTCACTTCGGGCCTCAGCAAAACATTTCACATGGTGCCACAGTGGCTGCCCTCCATACTTAGCACCTATTTCAGTATCAAATACTGTTTTGGATATACGAACTTCTCCCTGTAACAATAGAATAGATTTAAAATAACCATTTATTGGTAACAGTCCAGTTTAATACGTGGGTATTAAATTTTACTAATTTAATACCCATGTAAGTATTCTGAAGCACTTTCTATCTCTAAAATTAAAAGTTCATTTTTAGTAAAATTGCACCAAAATACTTTACATTTCCATGGTCTATACCATAAGTTTTTCTAAATTATCAAAATTGTAATATTTAAGTTTACGGAATGATATATCAAAACTAACCTCAATGTTTGTTTCATTCATTTTTAGTTTGTATTATTTTATATGTGTAGAGAAGAGATGACAAAATTACTTTCAATCAATAATTACAACTATTAACTTGCAATTTACATTAAAAAGCATTTCTTTATTTCTTTGTTACAATGTCAATTACAGAATAGTTCCCAAGTCCACAAGGTAGAACAAACAATATATATTGTAAATTTGTATATTACCTTGCATATCTTTATTTCACAATGTTTGCATGTTGCCCTGCTGCTTTTAGAGTATTCTACAGCAAAATCTTTCACAGCACCACTGGCTGCTTCAGATGATTTGCCAGCCTTTCTTTTCTTTCCTTTGGTTTCTTCACTTGGTAAAACTACACCACTACTATTGTCCTCTGTAAATAAAAATATGCATCCTCTAATTTCTATAAAAAACAATTCTTATTAATATTATAAATGTAAAACTGCATGTTACCTCTTGGCACTTTAATAACAACCAATCATTGTGAAATTACAGATATACACATACATATTTAGTTTTACTGTTTTTTATTTTGTTCAATAGACTGTATATATATATATATATATATATATATATATATATATATATATATATATATATATATATATATATATATATATATATTATATAGATTATATAGATTTTATATAGATATTTATACTATACATTACAAAATCTACAAAAACAAATATTATTGTATAAACAATATTTCTGTTCAATACTAATAACATTATTTAAGAGCAACATTAATTAAAAAGTTAAACATTGACATACCAATCCTACTCTGAAGTTTCTTTTGATCTGAACTCTTCAATTTATTAAAATTAGAAATTTCATCCACACTTGCCGGACGTTGTTTTGTGAAAAAGCAATCCTCATGATACCAATTTGGTTGTTTTCCATCATGAAATGCAGACTGTGAAACAATTTATTTCATTAATTGGAATTTAATGTAGTACTATACCCTAATGTTCACTGTGGGCCAGGAAGGTAGATTTAATGTCTCAGAAAACCATTTTTTAAACTTTAGGTAAGGTTTCTTAAAGAGATCATCAAAGTTAGGATATCTTGTGTTATAAGGAATCACATAAATTCTTAATTCAGTAGTAATTGTTTTTCTTGTGAGACCCTACAGGATCCTAGAGGTGTAAATATTTTTTGTTATTTCATAATGTCAATGTCTTCAGATTTAGTTAGAATATTATAAAATTATTATAATCTTTTAAGTTATTACAAATCCATTTTTAGGTCTTTAACCAAGGTCACTTATTGGAAAACCATGTTTGACTATGAAGTATACTGTGCCTGGCAAAACAAGTCAAAATCAATCTAGGTCCTACTCCAGGGATCTCATAAAAAAGTTTTATAATAAAGTTTATTGTTAAGTTTTCAGTTTCAAGTCATCCTGGATTAACATAAGAATTTTTTACATTATTAAATAACATTAAGTTATTAATTAGCCCATTCACACAAACTAGCTCAAAGAAAAGAGCAAATTTTGATTGCATATAAAATAGTTTTACATTGTTAAGGAATTATTTTTTGCCGTGTGGTCCCAGCATAGAATAGGCCACACCTTCCTTTCCTGTGAGCGTCATAAGAGGCGACGAAGGGAGGGTGAGCGATGGACAGCAGCATTGTTTTTAAAACGATCCTTAAGCTAATCTGCCTGCCAAGTGTGGCAACCACCCCCCAACAGGGAGGCTTATGTTCAGCAGTGGACAGTAAAGGCTGATATGATGAAGGAATATTTATTGTTACAACTTAACATGTAGTTTAGAACAATAAGAGAAAACTGGCTTCGTTTACGAGATCTGTCAATCCACACAGAAGAGGAACAATCCCCTTTCAACTTCCACCATGGTGGGTTAACTGACTTGCTTTCATCATCATCTATCATACCTCACTGGTTCCCAGTCAGCATATATTAACATTGCAGGGAGAGGGGGGAAGGAATTGTTAGTAATATGGATTACCAGTCACATTGCTAATAATACACCTTAAGAGGTCGACCTCCATATACCCCTGGAAACCATCATGCTAAATTTCAAGTGTATTCATCACAATGGGCTAACTAACTTGCCTTTTCGGGGGGAAAGGGGTTGTTAGCAATGGAATTTGATAGCCCCATTGCTAGCAATATGCCCTATCCGGTCGACCTCCACGTGGTTCCCTCTGGAAAACATAGTGAACAATTTTTGTTGAATTCGTCACGATGGGCTAACTGACCTGCTTCATCCTCACCTATCATCCTTCACTGGTGCCCCGCCGGTGTGTACCAATAGCGCGGGTAGGGTTACCATTCCATTATCACCCATAAAAAAAACTTGCTTTTTCATTCTCTCGTATCATCCTTCACTGGAGCCTTGCTAGTGATACCGTTAGGTGCGGTTACCATACTATTATGACACATTAAACAAAACCATATTCATCCGGTCTTTGTTCAGTTTCAAACATACAATTCACGTCGGTCTGAGTAAATGGAGATTTATTATAATTTAAGGGAATTTAAGAGAAACGGGTAAATAGATACGCCAAAGAATAAAGTGTATTATTTTGATGAATACTTTCAAGGTCGATGAAGATCTCGTACAAACCTGAACCATCCTAGCGATGCGTAATAAGCCTTGATCAATTTTTTCTTTACAGCCTTTACAAGAAGCTCTTCCTGACTTTGCATATTCAACTTGATAAGGTAAATCAGTCATATTAATGAAATTACGTCCAATAATTTCTGAAAAATCTGTTGAGATAGATAAACAACCGGCATAAAGAGACCGCAGATGTCTTTTTTCAAATTTTTAAAGTAAGATGACAATTAATTTTTTTTCAGTACGTTTGTTCCGTTATGGAACAGACTAAGGTCGGAAACCATGCTGCCTAGGATGACAGTTAAGTACATAAGCACAGAGGCAGCATGGTCTCCGACCTTAGCCTATTCCACAACGAAACAAACGTACTAAAAAAAAATATAAGCACAGATTAGAGAGACAACAGGTTTAAAAGAAAATGTCGGATTGAATGCCACTATAGAAGAAAAAAAAACTGTTCTCTAATCTGTGGTCTTGTACCTATCTGCTTTTTGACATCTATTGCGTTTTACTTTATTCATAATATTTGGTATTGTGATTTGTCTTTGTAATTGGCTTCTTCCTAATCAAATGCAATATTTTAAAATGTGTTTTATTCTATATTAATCTTGATTTTGTAACTTATTAAAATTCCTTTTTGGTCATTTTGTTCTGTTATTGTAAATTATGGATAATAGAAAAGAAAAAATAAAGAATTCCCTTGTGATTGGCGAGTATCCGTGGAGTTCAGGTAAGTTAATATTTTTCTTAAGTTTTGATTAATTTAGTTAATAACTGCTCACTTCCTATCTAATTGCTGCTAAAATATAAAATATACAAATTGTAAAATGAAAACTTATATGAATTCTGTTCAATAATTATTAACAAAAATAACTGTACCACAGTTGTAACTGTGTTCACAGGTTAAAAAAATATTCTTTTCAATTTATTCTTTTTTTTTAGTCCTGTTTCAACTTATTATTTTTTTTTATATTTGTTTTGCATGCCTATATAAAGCAGAATATGGAGGAATTATTAGATATGTATTGTCAATTGCTAAACTCGTGTTCAAGCAAATAGATTATTATTAATATTTAAAACAAAATTTACATCTCCCCTCTTTAGGAGATTTATTATTTTTGAACCATAACATGATCTGAATGGAGGAATAGCCGACAGTTGAGAGTGGTAGCATTAGGGCTGCCTAAGAGTTAGCCTTGACCCTGTATTTTACATTTTCATACCTACCTTCAATGGCAGTCAGAGATTGATGGCTAATATGGACTGTTGTAAAACTTGTGGTAATAAGGATAGTAATAAATTTTCGAGTATTACCAGTCACACACATTAATGGTAGTGGAATTAAAATAATTCTAATCATATATTGATATGGATGTAGCTCTACAAAATAATGCCTAATTGAGTAAAATACATATTTTTTTTATTGCCATTTGGTATGGGTTTTTTATTTCTAGTACATTATTCACTCAGAAAAATAATGGCTGAGATGATGAGAATGGTAAAAAATTTACATTTCCAGCATGTTATGTATTATTATTGCCAGTAATATTAGTATTATCTATATATTAAAATGCGAAGCAAAAATTTTGTACCTATTTTTTATAAAAATTGCACAGATGGAGGAGTATGAAATTTGGCATATGTATAGTTTTTTTTTATGCAACCTAGAATGGCAAACAAGCTGTTGTCCTACCTGATGGAAACTGGTATAGTCATTGCCTATAGACATGAGCAATATCATGGACATGACAGAGTATACTGTTTTACCCATGACACCCCTATGCGTTGGCATTTCTGACAACTCAGGTGTTATACCTTTGTACCCTATAAATTCACTGCCATATCTCACAGACACGGACAAAGGTGCCCAAGCAATCGACTTTTGTACAAAGTCTCCCTCTGGTAAAGAATGTATTATTATGTAGAATTTATGTAGAAAGAGAGGGCAGAATACTAATTTGTTTTTTGAATTATTCATAAAAAATACATTAAATCAACAAAAAAAAACATTACACACACTACTATGTATTTGGCACACACATGTTGTTTGTTGGACAGAGGTTCCCTAGCAAACTACTTTTGTACAAAGTCTCCCTCTGGTGAATGACTGTAAGAGATCCCTTTATGTGATAAGTCTGCTGTTGTATATTAAATTATTTTAATGTATTCAGTATGAATTATGTACAATAAAGATTTTACAATACAATACATATAATGTAATTTTCATTTGAATAAAGATGTTTATAGTACCAACTATGCTTACTCTGCCAGATTTAACTTGGATCATTAGAAATTAAATAAACTTTTGCTTGTGGTTATTCTCTAGATGATGAGGAAAATGATAACGGCAGATCTCAGGGTGCAGAGATTCTACATTCTATAAACTTGATGCGGCGGCAACCTGATAGCTCGTCACCACAAGCAAGTATTGGTGATCAGCCTGGGACAAGTGGTATGATTGTACATCTTACTAAATAAATGTGATAGCTAATTTATTACTCAAGCATGGTTAAACATTAAAACAGATTTGAATTAAATTTGGTCCATGAGTAGATTATATCTTAATATATATAGGATAATTTATATAGTCACTTACATGGGTAATGCTGCTGGCTTTCTTGTTTAGTTAGTTTTTTTATGTCTTTATTCATTTTACTTTGAGTCCAAAACTTTACAATTATTTAATTACTCAGAATCTTAAAATCATATCTAATTCTTCAGGTGAGCAACCACAATCATCGTGTCCATCAGAATCCTCATTAAGACTATCCCAGTCAACAATGAGAAAATCCCAATCTGCTGAAGATAGGCATATGTTCTGGTCTCTGTTGAATAATCCAAGCAAGTACTCTATTTCTCGGTAAGATTTGTTATGAATTAATTTGAACTTATTCTGTAATCAATGGTAAATATTTGTGACTGATTAATCAAAATAGTTCCAGGTTGTTTGATGTTCGATTCCCAGTGCCGGTATCTCGGGTTACAAACGGGGCTTCCGCCAGCTCTGATGGGTCCGGTGCAATTAACAGTGGCACAAGTGGAGTTACTTCTCCAGGGCATTCTGTCAGGCCTGATCGCATTGCCGCCGGAGAGATACAACGCGTTCTTGCCTTCAAACGCTTCACAAGGAATTTGAATGCTATAAATGCCATGAGAGCGAATAACAGAATGAATTGCCCTACTATGCGGAGTAAGTATGGTAATGTTGCTCTTTATAAGTACTAAATTATACATAAAAAATAAGTAGCATAATTTGTCTATTTAAACATGCTTGTAAAAAGTTATTTATTTATACCCTTTTTTGTCCATTTCCTACAGAGTGGATTGATGGACCTCATTACATATCTAAATAAATTCTGTGTTTAGTTGAAATATTTGTTTTTAGGAACATGTCATAATTATAATAAAATATGTAGTGTATTAATTTAAGTTACCCTGAAATTGTTATAGAAAACATTATTAAATTGACCAAAATGTTATAAAGTTAATATTAAGAAAACTTAATAAAATCTTAAATAAACAGATTTATACAATAACAACAAGCAGTTACAAAAAACATTATGGTGGCAGTAGATAAAAAAATATTAGCACATACAGTTAACACCGAAGAAAATATATATCTAAAAACTAAAGTGACATATTTGAAATGGAAATTTAAAATCATGGAAAAAGACAAACAAATGCATCATTTAATTATTGTGGAGTAAAGTTGTTAGTTGCTATAATGTCGTTGTATGCCAATAACGAGTAAACAGTCAATAGTAATTAAGAAATTAGAATAATAAATTGTAAAAAAAATATTAATGTAATGTCTGAATAAAGGCGATTATTATCATAATGTATAAAAAAAATTATTATTTTTTTATGCGTAGGTGTTCCGTCAAGAAATCCAATGTTCAATGGTATTGTCAAAAGAATTTATCCGGGACAGTCGTCTACGCGTTATGGTATGTATTGTAACTTGTAATGTTATAATTGCTAACGCTGTATATGTATGGATTGAATACTCGCGGTTCATTAACAGACAACAAACTGTACGAATATATATTCAAATGCAAGGCGTCAGCGGTCGAACATATCCTATTATTGTATGTGCCAACAATTATATACACATTGACATGGTGATTCACTTGCACTACTCAGTTTGCTCTCATTTATCAGGGTATTTTCCCATTTAATACTTTGCAGGCTGGCTTTATGTAATAGAATTGGCATCAATTCAAAATCACGTTAAAAAGATCCTTTAAGAAATGCGAACTATGAATTTTTAGAACATGTTTTTGCACATAGTTGTTGTCTTCGTCTTCTGATCTATTAGGGGCTGCGATAATCACTTACCATCAGGTGAACCGCACGCTAGTTTACCACCCTTTTATATATAAAAGTTGACAGCTCTGCTTGGATATTGGGGAGAGCACTAAATATTTTATGGGTGCGTACGTGGCCTAAATGCCTACATATTATCTATTTTATACATATCGATATATGTATAAACTTTACACAATTTATGTAACTGTGTGCAATGCACACGGTTATCATATTTATCATTATTTACGTTTATATGAGATTTGGCAATAACAAACAATAATCATTTATTTCTATATATTATCTATTCGTAGAATCAAGTGGCAGCAACAATGAAGAGTTGCAAGCATCTACACATTTAAACAGACAAGTAATAGGCGCAGTAGATGGAAATTTACAAGGAGGAGGCGAGTTGTCCACCGATAGACGTGGTAGAACGCGTGGTAATGGTAAGAATTACTATAATTAGAAGTGATTGTGATCTATTTTAATATTATATGTGGCCGGAAATAATTTTAATTTAACATATAAGCTATTTTTATCCTAATTCTATCAAACGAACCCTTAATGTAACACCTAGTAAATTAATAATGAGTATGAATTACATTTTAGTGCGAGTCTGTTCCAGCTGTAATCATTATTAATCAATTTATAAAAGCTCCGCTTTTATTTTAGGCTTCCTTCACATTTCACATATATTAAATTGCAAATTGTAAATAGGTTCGCTGCAGAACACTCATACAAATGTTTATTGTAAATATTACCTTACACATATTAATATGTTAATAATTTTATTATAGATGAATTCCCATTGAACTTTTGTGGAAGACACCAAACATCTGAAAATGGGACAGATCTTTCTCATAGACCGGAAATCGAAGGTAAAAATTTTAATAAAAAGCTTTATTAATAGATGATAGATGTAAAGAAAAGTATGAGGTATTTCCCTCTTATTGATTGAATTAATATGTCAGTTTCCCTACTAGACAGAGTTCATGGAACGATATCTACGTACTTATATATAATTCGTGAAAATTACTTTAATAGATCCAAGTAAAATTTGATCCCTTAATTTGATATTCGGACAGCTGTGTATATTACTAAGCTTATAGCTTCTTTGCATTTACCTCACTTCTGTTTCACAAAATAGGCCGCTGAGTATGTAAGCTAATATTTTTCTATACTGAAATATACTGTCATGGTTGATTGAGAGAGTGGTATTTAGTGTTAAGTCTACTTTAAATGGTCAATTAATGTTTTATCTTAATTGGTAGTTACGATAATGATAATGATTAAAATGAAAGCAGACGTCTTTTAGTGGTTTCACTAGAATTAAACGACAAATAAAACATTTTTTATTAGATGGTGAAATGCCTTCTACAAGCGGAACGCAATCAGCGGTCGAAGATGAAGGCGTTACCGGCAGGCCAGATTTACAGAATATGGACGGTAATATTATTTATTATAATTTATTATTATATATATATATATATATATATATATTTGAAATATTGCTTTTCTTGCATTGATTTACTTTATTCCTATATGGATACTTATATACGGATATACTTTATCCTAGTCACATATGGAGACAGTTTTAAAAGATTGTCTCAAACGTCTTTTTATGAAGCCCCTAAGGTAATCCTTTCTTTTCGTTACTAAGAAGTACAGCACGCATTTTATATTGTTAATCTATTACTACTTTTATTACTCGCCATTGTTCGTGGTCGTGTAGTAATGTCGAAGCATATAAATCTTCGTCGAGAAACAAGCTATCATATATAAGAAGAGTTTTTTTTTTTAAATCTGACTGGTAGTTCCAGAGATTACCGTGTTCCAACAAATAAACTCTTCCGTCTTATCATATTAGTATATAAAGACTACCTATAGATATAACAGATTTATGATTTATATACAGAAAGCAATACTGAGTGGTAAATAATGTAAATATTGTAAATACACTCCACCTCACACACGCGTACGCAATTACGATACTCAATAGCAAGTAAAGGTGTCACGTGTTGTTGTGCTGAGAGAAATATCATTTAAACGCAAGTAGAATTACGAGTACTGTAACACATATTTAGAATAGTGTTTGATTGTTATGTGATAGGAATATTCTTACCATAAGAAGGCGCAAATTATATATTGGAAAGTATCTATAACATATATATTTACAAACAAGTCTGTAAGCAAGTGTATTTAGGTAATAGATACCTGACGACGATTTTCCAGGTATACGGTAAAACTAAACAATAGTTTTTTTATTGGTTGACAATGGAGTGCTAACCCCGTCTGCGCTAACGGTACACGCTGACTCGGCACCAGTGAATGATAATAGGTGAGATGAAAAGGCAGGTCAGTTAGCTCATCGTGATGAATACATCTGGAATTCAGCACGATGGTTTGCAAAGAGGACCACTTGACGAGATGTATATCTTCACGTTATCTCCCAAACAATAATAGTTTATGTTGTATCTGTGTTATATATAATAATTAGGTAATAAATAAAATTACTGTCTTAGTGGATTTGACCCTGGACGTGACGGACGACAGCGGCTGCGGCCCCGTGTTGGAGGAAGTGGTGAAGCTTGAGGAGGCCGAGGAGGAGGCGGCGCCCGACGGACAGGGCGGCGGCGCCGGCGCCGACAGCTCGGCCGCCGCGCACCACGAGGCTCAAGGACCGGTACATTTACATTATTGTTTTATAGATCACCAATAATAATATATTATTGGTGATCCACAATAACCAGAAAAAAAAATACAGTCTTACTTTTTTTATAGAACTGAAAATAGAAAACAAGCTGACAACTAGCCTGCTTAAAAATCGTAAATGTTGCCTAAGATATTAACAGTACTTTTGCCATCGTAGGATGCACAGTGATACCTGTTATATCCCCAACACTTTGCATTTAGGATTAATGTGTTCTTGTAATCTTTCTTTTGTGCACTGACTGTTTTGGTTACAAATATACTCCAAAAATGTATCATTAATTTATAACTATAAAACATTATTTTAAAATAAATCGGGTTGTAGAAGTTCATAGAAGACATAACTATCATCCTTATGATAGCCAAAAAATGTCACGTCTATTTCATTTTGACAGGCATCCAGTAATCCAGAGGATTCAGCTGGAGCATCACAACAACAGCCTCGCGGCGTCAAACGGAAACGCGAAGGTATTTATTTTTTTGTAAATTGTCTTGACAAAATTCTTTATAGAGATCTTTGAATAATCGGAAATATGTATAAAACTTTCTTAATTTCCTCGCTTACGGCTGAGATAAGTTAAGAGCGATAGTCCTGAGTTTGTATATTAAAAAAAAAAGTACTTTGTTGAAGTCCTGGAGCCACTATGCCATCGCTCTATTAAAATATTTTTAATTAATCTTTTCAATGTATCTTTTCAATAGGATTTCAAGAAAGCGAACCACTTACAGTCAGCGAATTTAATCAAGTGAGTATGGAAATAATTTTATTGTATTTAATTTATAATATAAAACAAAATTTGCATCTATATTATGCTGCAACTGTAAATCATGAAGTTGAAGCAAATCGTTTTAATTAAGAGCAAATTAGCATTAAAGTTACATTTTATTCTTCTTTCATCACTATACATAGAAAAAGAAGCCAAATTTATTATTGTGACAAATAGTAAATATGTCCTTACGGATAACTCACTAGCAGCTTTATACGAACAATAAAGATTTTATTCTTAGCAATTGCCTAAATTATATATGGAATTCTTAAATAATACGAATAAAAAAAATGGAAATACGCCGTCAAATTAAGAAATGTTGTGCAAAAATCTCATGCTTCTAGAGTCACTGGTTTAGGCTGTGTTGTAAGAGGAACCCGAGATTGGCAGTTGGTTGTTGTGGTATAGAATTAGTTGTTTAGTATCTATAATACTAGACCCTATTTTTGTCTATGGTAAAAGTTGCATTTAATTTGCGGCTAAATAACGCTATGTAAAACTATTTCATTAATATTATAAATGTGAAAGTTTATAGATGTTTTTTACTCAGTCATGTTGTAAAGATTGAACGGATTTGAATTAAAGATTCTACATGGATAGATTATATCTCAACTTAACATATATTTGTGTACGTGGGCAAAGCCGCGGAAAATAGTTAAGCTAGCTCTTTTCTACTAACTTTATACATTTTATCGGCGAGTAGAGACTGCTGCGTCTTCTGGAGTGTCCGGTGTGTATGGACTGGATGGAGGCGCCGATCGCGCAGTGTCGCCGCGGCCACCTCATCTGCAGCCGCTGCCGCGAGCGGCTCAGCTTCTGTCCCGTCTGCAGGACCACTTTCTCCTCAGTACGGAATAGGGCTATGGAAGGGGTGAGCTTTTATTTTTACTCGCAATACGACGGCTTTCTAATGGGCTCTTTTTTAAGTATTTTCTAAAATATTAAATTTTATGGTATCGCTGTTCTAAGAATTTATACGTTTGGCGATTATGAGGAAATTTAAAAAATATATTTATCTTTTTAAGAGTCATTAAGGCTGAAACTTCATACTAAAACTTACTAAAGTGTGGTAATGTCAGTGCTATCTTGTCTCAATTTTCAATATGTTTGATTGATTAATGATACTTAAAATGTGTTCTGGTAACGAAATGATTAGACAAAATTATTAAAAAAATTTATATTAGTTTCGAATTTGTACATGGCCAGACTCGTTTGTAAATACTTTGAAAGATGTATATATGTTTCAGTCAAAAGTATTTTTGACTGTATGCATTAGTCAATAATATTTTTGACTAAAATAACAATAATAACCAATAATATTCAGTCAAAAGTGACTAATCTGTTTAGTCAAAATTATTTTTGACTGATTTTGCTAGTCAATAGTACTTTTGACTGGTTAAGAGTTTTGACTGCAACATCACTACATGGTTAATCTGCTATGCTTATCTTTAAAACTACGCAACGGATTTTGAAGCGGTTTTTTATAATAGATAGAGTGGTTCAAGAGGAAGGTTTATATTTAGAATACATGTAAATACAGTAGAGAAACAGTGATAATTTTAGAGTGTAACGTGATGTAATGTAATGTGCACCCGTGCGAAGTATATAATGTAATGGCGGCGGCGCAGGTGGCGGACCTGCTGCGCTACCCGTGCCGGCACGGCTGCGGGCGCGAGGTGCGCATCCGGCGGCGCGCGCGCCACGAGGCCAGCTGCGCCGCGCGCAAGTACGCCTGCCCCGCCTCGCTGTGCGCCGCGCGCGCGCCGCTGCCGCACGCAGACCTCGCGCACCACTTCCAGGTACCACGGCCGCCTCGCCCCTAGCCCCGGGGGAGGCGTACACCTACTGCCGGACTCCTACCGGCTAAAACCACCACGGCATCCCTCGCCGCGCCAGTGTTGGGGACCCGGGTTCCCTATACGCCTACCCCTATCGGGAGGGGGGGGAAGGGATTGTTAGTAATAGAGACTGAGAATTCTATTGCTAGCAATATACCCAACCAGGTCGACCCCCACGCGATTCTCCCTGGAAACTATCCTGGTCAATTCCTGATGAATTTATCATGATGGGCTAACTGGCCTGTTTTCATTCTCATCTATCACCCTTTACTGGTGTCCCGCCAGCGTATCCCGTTAGCGCAGGCGGGGTTACCATACCATTTTCACCTATAAACCCCTATTGGGAGGGGGAAAGAGATTGATAGTAATGGGATCCAACTAACCCATTGCTAGCAATATAGCCCTATCAGCCATATAGCCCTATCAGGTCGACCTCCACGTGGTTTCCCCTGGAAACCATCGTGATCAATTCTAATAGAGTTCGTCACGATGGACTAACTGACCTACTTCATCCTCACCTATCATCCTTCACTGGTGCCCCACCGGTGTATACCGATAGTGCGGGTGTGGTTATCATTCCATCATCACCCATTAAAAAAACGTAGGCCTATATTGGGTTATTTTGCCAGTGGTCGCCACGCTTGCCAGGCGGGTTAGTGACTGCAGTTAGGCTTTGGTAATGTATAAAGAGGAATGCGGCCTCAACCATTAAGCTCCCTAAGAATCATCTTAACAGTACCCACGGGAAAGGAAGGGGTGGCTCAGTCTATGCCGGGACCATACTTCCCTGTATTCTTCTCACTATATACACGACTTTCATTCGAATTATAGCATAGAAACCATCAATTCGTGCTCAACGAACATTTCTGACGCGTTACAAAAGCGGGGAAGTCGCGACATCATAATGAAAACGTTATTGTACAGGACACGCAGAGCATCCAGCGATTTCGTACTATACTCAAACCATAAATGATAAAGAAATGTTAATCCCTTTTGTATTACTGGCTTACACTGGCGGGATGTCATTGAAGGATTAGAGGCGAGGATGAAAGCAAGTCATTTAGTCCAGCGTGTCGAATTCAAGAATTAACCACTATGGTTTCCGGATGGAACCAAGTGGTATTCAACCAGACAAGGTATTCACTACCAATGTGGCTTCAACTTCCATATACACATTGTATTTATTGTTCTGTATTCAGAATATTTCAATTAGCGTATTTAAGAGTATTTTTCGGAGGGGGCGGGTGAATTCAATGAATGAATGAATTTTATTGCTAAAAATTAGGTACAAAAAGGTAATATGGTAATATTACAAAAGTTTTAACAAAATAATTCTTTATAATAGAATTAATTCTAAAGCCATATTTATATAATTCAGAAATATTGGTTATATTATTATAATTTTTATTATTCTGGTCCTGGACTGGTCCCTTAAAAAGGCACATATGTGCTCTTAGATCTGCCTTTGCACATAAATACTGAAAGCTCTACTCCTTATTCTGGCCTTGTCTCCCCCTCTAGTTACGCCTATGGATATTTCAATTATAAATAAATAATTCAATAATTGATATGTTCATACTCAGAACAAACATCGCGACATGCTGAAGATCGGCAGAAAGCACGAGTTTTCGATGAAGGTGAACCTGGAACACCACGATAGCTGGCTGATCATGGCGCTGCATGAGTACTTCCACCTGCGCGTCGACGTGGACGTGCGTTCGTGGGGCGTCATCATCTACGTCGCCTATATCGGGCCGCAGTGTAAAGCGAAAAACTTTACATACGAAGTACGTTCATAAGAATTTAAGACTAGTGTGCCGCATTAAGCTAATTTCCATCGCGAATCTTTCATGGGCTTACATTGAAAATCTAAGGATACCGTTACATTGTTTAGTCATAAAGATTCTGCAATGCCAGAAATTCTGAACACTTTATTTATTTAAATACTCAAACCGCATGCTAAATATGATTCGTTATGTAACAAAACATACAATGCGGGTATTGCCCACCAAATGCCGACAAAAGATCCGTACGCGATAACGTTAAAAATGCCGAGTGTTGCCTGTTCATCGTTGTCCGTTGACAAAATAAAAGGAAAATCTTTCGCTAGTTCTTGGTGAAAGATCAACCACAAATAATAGCCAAATTTAATCGTGTAAGGCCATCTGTATTAAGGTGTACGAATTTTAGTATTTTGTTTGAAATCTTATGAAACATTTTAATTAATCCATACGCATTCTTAACTTCATTAGAATAAAATAGAATAAATTTATTGTGAGCTGTATATTACAATTTTTCGTAAGATGTTATTAACGTTTTAAAGGAAAACAGCCTACCCATACATCGGGCATACAATACGATTAATTTATAACATTATAACAATACATTTGATAACTAACTACCTACTTATTGATAGATAAAGCAAAACTCAGGGATTCCTTGTATAGATAAGAAGGAGTAGGTATGAATATTGGTATAAAAGTTTCTGATAACCTATTGTGTGTATGGCCATTTTTAAATTGATTGATTGAGTGCCATTAGTAAAATGTGTTTATTATTTTCCTTTCAGATTACCATCAACGGTCAATATAACTCACGAAAGCTTGTATACGCAAGGGTGACGCACAGCGATCTAGAGAGTTCCACACTAAATGTGAGCCGCCAGGACTGCTTCCATCTCACTTTGGATCAAGCGCTGAACTTCCTCAGGTTCAAAAGTCGACATCGCGAACAAGATAGATACTTAGATTTCAACGTGGAAATCACTAAGTGCGGGAGTACAGATAGCGGAGGCGATGGGACCGATGGTTCCGAGTGATTCGCGACAAACAAATTCTATGTTCTTACGTACTAAATAAACCTATGTTTTGTTTAAAAGTGCACACTCAACCTATGGTTACAGTCATGTGTTAGAGTTAGACAGGGTTATAAATTGCACGTATCTCGCTAGTGATGTGGTTATCAATGCTGGTATCATTGTCGATGTGACATTAACTCAATGCCGGAGACAAACATAGTACAATATTCAACTACGGCTCATACAGAAATTTATTTATAAAAATATTTTTAGCATTTAAATGTCTAAATTGTGATACTTTATTTTTGTATATTATACTGTTAAGTTTTAATTAAATAAGGGTGATTGCTGTTACACTTATTATTAAGCTCTCTCTCTATTAATTATGCATCAGATAACAGCAAAATAATATAGATCTCGTATTGGTAAATAAGATACTAATTGATATATATTCTGTAGTTAAATTTACTGTTAAGAGCGTTCATAACGATATATGGCGGCGCCGCATTTATTTGTTAATTTTTAAAAAATAATTGTTCAATTCTTTTTGAAAATTAACAAGAAATCACGACGTTATACTTCGGTAAGCATAAATTATGAACACTTAAAATTGGAAGTGTTAGACATCTATTAGTCAATCAATCAGTGCTATGTCATGAACAGCATTGCCATTTGTATATTGAAAATATCCAGAAAATTCTAATAGTAAAGTAAAGTACACTGAAAATACAAATTTTTTAAACAAAACTTCTTTCTAAATAAACAGGTTATCACCATTGTAGGAATGTATTCATTCACAAAAACCTGGCAACGCTCTTCATGAGTAATGACATTGATGGTCCAATGTTTGCCTTAGGGATTCCACATACACATTAAAAGAGAGTGCTAGTCTCTGATATAATTGTGTTCAATATGAATGCAATTAATACAAAGTTAAGGTAATATTTGGCATTAGCTTGTAGCGTTTTTCTTTCTACTTTCAAGTAGGGATTAAACAAAATTGGCGTTATACTCGCTACGCGCGAAATAAACCCACCGGCATATTTTGAATTAATGACTGTACTCAATATATTGTAAAGTTATTAATATATAGCTTTTTTAATAGTATCTCAAATCTATTTTTTTTTTAAAGATCTACTCTGTAATTATTTCTTGTCGTTATTTGTTGAGATAATGAACATTAAGCATTTATGTTCATTATGTTTATGTTTGAAGTTACAATAGATGCAGCTGTTTGCATGTGATTTTTTAATTATTATTTATGTCTATATCTCCAAATTAGGTATCTTATGGGGTAAAGAACTAACTGCCAATTATAATGTTCTTGATCTTATTTGTAGAATATATTTATGTAAGTTTTGATATAGGGTACTTAAATTATAACGGGCTTAGAAGAAAGCAGTGGTTCAATTGTTCGGAGCGCCATCTCTATTAGAGCGCGGGTGGTATTATCAAATTCACTGCCTATTAACATCATTGTATGTTGAAGTAGACATAGAAAAATTCTACATACCTTTTTTTCTTTGTTTGAATAAGGTGATTACATATATTTTTACAATAACAAATAAATAAATTGTCAAGCGCCTTATTTAAAGATAAATAATTCTTGGTCTACAGAGGGCGCTGCATGTTGTTATAGTTTATTTTTAATAAGATATAAGTATTTGAATGTAAGTTATGTATGAATAACGATTTGCAATCGCAAATCTGATAGCAATATGGTGATAAATATACATTGAGACATGTATTTATTTTTCTTTTCAATACCATATTTTTCCATTTTTCTATGCTACATTATCTACACTAATATTATAAAGAGGAATGATTTGTATTTTTGTGTGTATGTTTGTAATGAATAAACTCAAAAATTACTTTGCCGATTTCAAAAATTCTTTCACCATTAGAAAGCTACATTCACCCTGAATAACATAGGCTATATTTATTGCTAGAAAAGATTAGGGATCCATACTAAAACTTTAGTAACGTAACTCAAGGAGTAAAAAAATGCTATAAAATATCTTTCGTCGCGTGCGCTGCGGAAACTATTAGTGATAGTTTCCGCATCATATTCATTCATCATACTATATGTCCAACTATTAACATTATATCACAATAATCACTTTTTAAAATGTTGTAAAAATGTCTACCCGTGCGAAGCCGGGACGGGCCGCTAGTTTGTTATATATTGCGACAATGTTTTATGACTTTAGGTATCAACATTTCAGTATGAATGCGCATAGAATCGTGTATAAGTTATATTCTTTGTAATTCCTTTATTTTTTTTTGTCAGAGAAAATTATATTAAATATTAAGTTTAAAATAAAACTCATTATAAACTTGATTAATATTTTTTTTATTCTCCATCAATCTATCAATTAATGGTATATACAGTGAGATGGGATGAGATTATATTTCATATACACAAAAAAAGTCGAGAAATCATTATAGAAATAAAAAATATTGTGTTAATATTTCATTGGGTGTAAAGAACGCAGTATTCTATTTAGGACAATTTAGAATAACTTTCTTAAACGTCAACTTTCTCAGATTAGGTTTAAAATAAGCATATAAAACATATTATTAACACACTGTGGTCAACTCAGCTCAAAAGGTGGATAATTCCCTATAACAGGAAGCATTCAAATGTTCTTTTTTCGACAAACAGCGCCATTTGCCATCATATCGCGAAATACAATAAATTCATAATAATAATTTTAATTCATATATATTTTTCTGCTATACAAAGGAAATAGTGCCTCAGGTCGTATTGATCGGGCTGGGTGCTTATCGGGCAACAACTTGTTTTAGTCATAAGGCCGACATTAATAAATATTACTCAGGTAAGTATCTTAAAATGATAGATCGGCTAACGATAAAGTACAAGTACAAGAGTTACTTAGTGTTTTATCGTAAGTTAATAGTTATGCTACTTACGTGAGTAAAACTTACAAGTGTTATGACCGTTCAATAGCAAAAGTAAAATGGTTGAGAATATTTATCCCATCTAAATTAAAAGTTCTTATATATATATATATATATATATATATATATATATATATATATATATATATATATATTTTTTTTTTTTTTAATAATTAGATACAAAGCCTTAATACTCACGTTTATCACTTGTGAATTTTTAAAGTTTGTAGACTTTACACAGTATTTGTGTACAACTCTTGAGATCCCAACACCTAGTCTGTTTCAATTGAATTTAATGAAAACGTAAATAAATAATTGATTAAAACTATTTGTAATTAATTTCATTTATAGCTTTTATGAAGATTCCAACAAACATTTGTTACTTTTTCATTAAGTTCTATTGAAACAAACTATAGTAAATAATAGAATTTAATACTATATTATCACATTGGCTATCCGAAAAGTAACACTAATGATAGATCAATATTTACAAATACATAATTTCATTCTACAAATTTTCACACGAACAGAGTTTACACAGTAAATAGTAAAAGTATGGAACTCTTATAACATGTGAAAGAGAATGTAATAAGAAATCTATTAAGTATGAATGTGTATGATTATAAGTATAGAGGAAGACTCGAAAAAAGATGGATGGACTGGTGTGAAAGATATAATGGGCAAAACGGGAGTGACTAGTGAGATAACTTTAAACAGAGATGAATAGAAGCTGAAAACATATTACACCGACTCCAAACAGATATGGAAAAGGGCGGGAAGAATATGAAGGCTGTTTTATATAAAAAGTTTAGACGAATTCATAAGACGTTATTTAAATTCAAGTATAGAAGCGACGCGAAAACAACATAAAAATATGTAATGGTAGAAATTAAGTGTACTTTTAGTACACTGTGATTATGACTTCTAATAATTCCAAAGTTTTTAATGAGTCAAATTAATAGACAATTAGTCAATGGAGCAAGATATAATGTTTATATATTTATACTAATAATTGGATATACAAAGTAGTTTAGTGACTAGTAATATTTCAGTTCCGTAATCCTATTATTATCTCACTATTATAAGTTAAAGCATCCATTAAACAAATGGTTTTGCTGTCGATTTTATGATTATAATGAATTCGAATATTTAATATAGCGTTATACGACTCAATAAGGGCGATATCCATAATTTATATTCCGTCAACTACTGGTAATTTGTAAATATATTATAGATTAACTTTTTAACAGTTATTTGTTAGTGAACCAGTGTTGGTATGTTTTTTTTTTCGTATATATAATTTGAATTCACACATTAACACAACAGAGAATACAAAAGTTTACAATATTTCAAAATTATTTGTCATCTAATACCTTTAGTCGAGCAATTCTTGTATATATATCGAAAATCGGGAGCCCTTTATCAACGCATCTAATTTGTATCTAAAAAAAATTATCCTATTAGCGATGTTTCGGTACAAAGATAAAAGTCAAATCAATAACTCAATAGATGACGTTGTTAAGTAAAACTAAGCCTAACTAAACTAAGTTGTAAATGTCGGTCATTCAGGTGCTTATGTCAAAAAGATCAAGTACAATATAAAATTGCTGATTTGAATCGGGCTTAGGGGCTCTTGATTTTACAGCAGCTGCTATAAAATCAAGAGATCAAAATGTTGAGAATAGTAGCTACGAATGTAGTTCATGTGATGGAATTTGGATGGATTTCACTAACGCAGAATTTATTATATAAATGGGCGCTATACCAACTGACAATAAATATCAGTAGAAGAATTATCAGTTACAATAACCAATTAAAAGTTTTTCTGGCCAAATCTAATATTGGGACCAAAAAGTAAGAAAATTTATTTAATTAACATAATAAGTGGTATTAAAATAAAAATAGCCAGGAAAGAATCAACATTTACTTCGACTTCTATCCACACATAGAGCATAAAAAATTTTTAAGGCATAATGAATCCATACTTATACAATTCACGGTATCCCTTATCACTTATTTTAATAACCTCCTCTTTTCTTAATCCAACTTATCAATACGTGTGTATAAACAATCTCAACAAATATAGTTGCATATTAAAATTCCAACTTTCCGAAGAATAATTATTTTAAAAAAAGGTCAATATTGTCATATTTATTCATTCTAAGTAATTTACGTATTGCGGGGTTTCATTATACGTAAATTATAAAAACATTATTAATATACATGATTATATCACCGTTTGAAACACAAATTTAATCCATGATTTATATAATCACAAAAAACCGGAATCATTAGTAATGTTAATAAAAATAAATAATAATTTAACGCAGTGTCAATACTTAAGCTACAAGTTGTCTAGAGGCGAGGGTTTGCCGCGCATACTCCGTACCGATGAGACCGCGGCAGACTAAAGAGAACTCCTGGACGGTCTCTAGTAGTCTTCGTTTACTGCTTTTTTCTCTGGAATAAATCATTATTTTAATGATAATGTTACATTTATAGTTACGCTACACACAAAATAGATAGTCATACAGTTTGTGACATGCGACCGATGTACAAGATGTCCATAACCATTACGTCGCTCTGCATTGATCTTTACAATATTGGAGGTATTTTTTTAATGGAATAAAATGATTATTTTATTTTATCTTTATTTGGTCTCCTAGCAATTGTTACACTGATAAGATTTAATATTAAAATTACTGTCTATTTATACTTAGTGTACAATCATTTTAAAGGAAACACAGCATGCTAATTAACAAAAACAATAATATGGTATACCAATTTCTTGAGGTATTTGATATTAGTATAGTTTTTTAGATTCAATAGATGATTGCTTCACATAAGTTTTAGCTATTTAAATTAACTGCAACGCTTTCCTATAGAAATCCCCTTCTGTATCGGAGTGAATATCCAAGTGTTGCTTGCAATCATTCAACAGCTTGCAAAGACGTGGTACAGTGGAGTTGGCACTAAGAACAGTTCTACGGAATGGCATGGACATTGGACTGAATAAACCAATCCAAAAACGATAACCGAATCTATGTTATAACTATATGTTCGTAATAACATTAGGAATATAGTTATATAGTTTCAAGAGGGGATCGCGTAAAGGTCGAGCTGATAGAGCCTATTGCTGCTAGCAATATGCTCTATCAGCTCGACCTTTAGTACCATTAGTACTTATCACTAACAATTTCCATCCCCAAAAGCGGGGATGTATTGAGACTAAATTTTCTGCACTTAGTCTTTCATTTGAGTCATTTTGCATAAGAGCCATGGCTGTTAGGCACCCCAGGTGAGCAGTGCGGGGGTACTGTCGGTCCTCGGTACTAACTTGACGACGGCCGCGATGAACTTGTGCTTGTGCGGGTCGGTGGCGTGCTCGGTGGGGAAGCCGGCGACGGCGAGCGCCTGCCGCAGCCAGCCCGCGAGCCCGGCCGCCTGCTCGGCCGCGGCGCCCGGCGGGCAGCGCCACTCTGCGCGGTTCAGCGCCAGCAGCAGCTCCGCCAGCGGCTCGATCTGGTTGCGGGGCGTTGCGCCGCCTGCACATTATATTTAAATTTGCACTATAAATTTTCCCCGCACAGTTTTTATGCAGCATTATATTATGTATGGAACTACGCGGTCGTGTAAAAAACTGTACAAAAATATAATTTAATATGTGGTTTTTAATCGCGAGAAAATAATAAAAATAGTCAATAAGGAAAATAGCAAGTAAGATATATTAAATCTGTATATTGAGTATACATAGGCAATATATAATGTATTAGTGATAAACTAGTAATAAATATAATCAGAATTAGGTAATAATAATGTAAAAGATAAGCTAATACATAAGTGCATAAACGAATAAACAACAAAATATTGAAAATAGTAAAGACAGACAGACAAACAAAAAAAAAAGCCCAGCAAAATGTATTCCCTATATATATTCCCCACTAAGCTTACATATTGTAGTCAGTAAGTGTGTATGAAAGTATATAGTGTAGCAAACCTGGAAATTAATATCCAGGCTTAAGGAAAAAAAAATATGCGGTTTAAAATCCTTACAGCGTTAGAGTATTTGAAAAAGTTCAACACTTCGAGAAGTTACTTTAGCTTCTTGATATGTATTCGTAATTACGTATTTAAAAACTACTCATTAGGCCAAAAAAATTATATTATTTTTAAACACTCGACTGCAGTGAAAGGTGCTAAGTTGTTTTGTTTGTTAAAATTTTTGAATTTATAAAATGAAGTTGAAGTTGAAAAATGTTTCGACAAATATGTTTTTTTTTTTCATACCACTGAGGTGGTAAACAAGCATACGGCCCACCTGATGGTAAACGGTTACCGTAGCCTATCAACGCCTGCAATACCAGAGGTATTACGCGCGCGTTGCCGATCCTGAAGAAACCTCTTTACCCCTCTTTCGAAGAACCCCATGCTGTAGTCTCTCGGGAAAACCTCGGCAGGGAGTTCATTCCATAACCTGAGTGTTCGCGGGAGAAAGCATCTCTGAAACCGCGTTGTACGCGACCATTCAGGCTGTAAGGTATGAGGGTGAACTCTCTGTCGATGGCGAGCCGTACGATGATAGAAAGAAAAAAACAATAATAATAATATGTAAATTGGTCGTTGGGTAAAGCATGTGAGCAGGCGAGTAGGTGAGCAGGTGAGCATGTGAGCAGGTGAGTAGGTGAGAATGTGAGCATGTGAGCAGGTGAGCATGTGAGCATGTGAGCAGGTGAGCAGGTGAGCATGTGAGCAGGTGAGCAGGTGAGCATGTGAGCATGTGAGCATGTGAGCATGTGAGCATGTGAGCAGGTGAGCAGGTGAGCAGACGAGCGGGTGAGCAGACGAGCGGGTGAGCGGGTGAGCGGGTGAGCGGGCGGCGGCGGCGTACCGATGCAGCGCAGCACGGCGGCGGTGAGCGCGGGCGCGCGCGGCTGCAGCGCGGGCGGCCGCTGCGCCGCCAGCGCGGCCAGCCAGCCGCACGCCGCGCGCGCCGCCGACACCTCCCACAGCCGCACGCACTCGCACCCTGCACCACCACCACCACCGTGTCCTCTCGTTACCAGTAGTATTAGTAGCCAACACGCTTACAGTAACATAAGGAAGCAAACAGTGCAAGTACTATTAAGTAGTATTACTTTTGTGCTGTTTAGGTATATTGTTCAAATTAAAACAATGTTTACTGCTATGTAAACAGTTAGCAATAAAATTCTATTCTAATCTTATAAACATATTTTGTGTTACTGAAATCCGAAATTAAAAGATATATAGTTTGTTAAATACTTTATTCAAACACTAGCGGCCTGACCCGGCGTCGCATAGGTGAACATTTTTACATTTAAAAAAGTGACCATTAAGGCTGCACACGCGACAGAAGCTTAAAAATGGAATAACTACTTCCGATTTCCCAACATTTCCCTTCACTGCTTTGCTCCTATTGATCGTAGCGTGATGAAAAATATACTATAACCTGCCCAGGAGTATAAGGAATAATTGTACCAAGTTTCGTTAAAATTCGTCCAGTAGTTTTTGTTTCTATAACGAACATACAGACAAACAGACAAAAAATTTACTGATTGCATTTTTAGCATCAGTATCGATCACTAATCACCCCCTGATAGTGATTTTGGAAATATATTTCATGTACAGAATTGACCACTCTACAGATTTATTATAAGTATAGATAGATGACCGTGAGGTCTCGGCATAGAATAGGTCACTCCTTCCTTTCTAAGGGAGGGCGAGGGATGGACATCAGCGTCTCTATTAAAACATCTCTAAAGACTAACTGCAGTTACCACTCCGCCTGCAAAGTGTGGCAACTACTGGCAAAACTCCCTAAGGGAGAGGCTTATATTGAGCAGTGGAGAATTAAAGGCTAATGTAATGATGATTGAATTATGGATAGAAGTAGACTTTTATATTACAAGGTTACCATACCTAAGTCAACCAATTCTGGAAGCAAATCGTCTATCCAGTCGATATATTGCGGCTTCTTCTTGGTAATGGTGTGCAAGAGTGCGAACAGTGCCTCAGTGAGGTCGGGGCAGGCGGACGGATCGGAGGCCACGGCGGCTGCGCTGCGCGCTATGCACCCGTGCAACAGCTGCGGGGATTCCGGCCACTCCGAGCCCACGAACAGCACCAACTACAAAATGAAAGTTAGCATGTGTTACATAAAAAAAAAAACAATCGATTGATGTCTAATCACTAAACATGGGAAGAATTAGATTAGTTTGCCTTCAGATTTTGAGTTCTGCATTCATTTAACTTATTACATTCATTCATGCTCCATTAACTCGATTTAAAATTTAAATAGATTATTTACAACTCTTTATTTATATACATATAGTAATATTATATCAATGAATTTATAATATATTTTTATTATTCAGTGTATTATGTTAAACAGCAAAGTTATTGGAGAAAAGTTAGTAAAAATCAACTGTTTTCATATTTTGCGTAATTTTTTCCAGCATATGATATATTTAAATACACCTATAAACTAAGACAGAAAAGCACTTACTAATTTGACAACATCTAATCCGGAAGCACAAGGTCTAGTATTGAAGCCGGTGATAGTGAGTTGGGCTATTTCTCCCACCATTCGAATGCAGTCTGTCATCAAAGTCGCCACCGCTTGTTTTAGAATGTGAAACATGGGCTGGAATTACATAAAATTAATTACATAAATCTAACATTTTTATTCATTTAATTACTTATACTTGACAAAATCACTAAATCAGTCTGATTTAGATTTATGGATGTGCGTAACTCGGATTTATGTAAACAAATCATACGAAACAAAGAAATTTTCTTTTAATCCCTTGCTTAGATCCGCTACTGACTTGAATAATTTCTTTATGGTATCATGGAAATTGTACACTAAGAGTGTGTATGTTAATGTATGTGCGTATTTGTGCGCATGTGTACATGTGCATATGCGTGTGCATGTGCGTGTGCGCACGCGTGAGTCAATGTATACCTCGACAAGTGCGGGATGCAACGCAAATGGTGGCAGTGCAGGTGCTAGCGCGCGCAGCAAGTCGGCAGCAAGCGCCGGCTGCGGGTCTAGCGCGGCCAGCAATGCGCCCGCCAACTCCGCTGCACCGCCACCACTTCCGCCGCCGGGCCGCGCCGCCGACCGTGCCTATGTACATGTTTGTATTATATTAATGTCTGCACTTAGTAGACTTCTTAAACGACATTCAAGAGGTTCTGAATCCGATTTTTTTTTGTTTTTGCCATTGAATTTAAAATTCTAAACAGAATTTGCCAATTCTGTTTGTAGCTGATAAGATCGATTTATTTTCATGTTCTTCTCTTATTAATTTTGTCAAGAATGAAGCTGTAGTTTTTTTTTACGGAACAATTTCTTTTGTGTTCAGCCAAACGGTTTAAATTCTGGAAACACAAATGACTAACAAGAGTTGCTGAAATTTGTTAGATGAGAACTAAAGTGTGTACCTGCTGCTGGAGGTCTTCGTAAAGCGTGGCGGCGAGTGTCTGCAGGAGCGGCGCGGCGTCGGCGTAGTCGGCGGCCGCCAGCGCCGCGCCCGCCGCCCCCAGTAGCTGACGCCGCACCCACGCGTCGCTGATGCAGTTACCTACTTCTCCGCCCTCGTTCTTGCTACCATATGTTTTGCTCTAAAAGCGAAAAGTAACAACTATTAAAATAATTTGCTCCCTATCACTGTAGGGAATATTTCTTTCAAAGAAATATTTAACAAAATATTGGGGCTACTGTAAGAGGGTGCCACTGACTGTCGATTTAAGAACTTGGGGCTTCTTCCTATTCTTGAAAGGGTTGAGACGACACTTTACTACAGTTTTGTTAAAGTCATCATCATCATATCAGCCTGGAAGGGAAGGCTTATGTTCAGCAGTGGACAGTTAGTGTCCACTGCATGCCTAAGGGAGGCCAAGTGTGGCAATTACTGGCAACTCCCTCCCTCCCTTGGCATTAGCGGATTGGCAACTGCAGTCAGGCTTTACATATGTTTTAAGAGGGATGTTGCTGCCCATCTCTCGCCCTTCTTTAGTTGGCTTTTACGACATCCACAAGATAGGAAGGGGTGGCCTATTCTATGTTGTTAAAGTATTTTCTCAAACATGCTTGAAAATGTGAGCATTATTTTGACAATCTTCTTCGAGATAAATCAAAATTGCCGTACTGGCTAAGATACATGTGTGCAGTGGCTGGCAAAAGTTGTATGAAAATTAATATCTGTTCTGTAATTTAAAAATGGCTACCAAGGAGGTAACTAATAAAAAGTTTTATTTAAATTTCGAACTGGCTTGCAAATAGAAAGCTGTTTACTAAAAGCTTTGTTTGAACTTAAAAAGTAAAATTATGTTTTTGATTTCCGCGCATTGTTTGAAAAAAGTACTATATACAAGCCTTGGCCACAACTAGGCATTGATGAACTCACGTATGTGTACCTCGGCTACGCCTCGGCCCACATTTGCCCGTTCGTCCGTCAATGCTTCAATTGCTGGCCGCTGCAGTAATGTACTATTACTGGTTATCTTTCACATGAGAAGAATTACGAGTAGCGAATGTAAGAAGGTGTTGTTGGTGACCTGCGCGGCGTGCGCGGCGTGCACGACGTGCGCGGCGAGCGCGGCGGCGGGCGCGCGGCAGTCGGTGCAGAGGCGGCGCAGCGCGAGCGCGGCGGCGGCCGGGCTGCGCGCCAGCGCCGCGCCCGCCGCGCGCACGCACTCGCCGCCCAGCGCCGCGCCGCGCGCCTCGCCCACTGACCCCACCCACGACGCGTACGCGCCTGCCACACACACATATTTTAAGAAAAATAAATACACATTTTTATTTATTTTTCATGTAATTATTATGCTGCACCGGTTCGTGCATATTTAAATAGGAGGTATCCAAACAGACGGATCGGGCGCCTAGGGTCAATTCTGTGGCCTCCACGTTCACCGGATTTAAATCCATTGGTTTTTTTTACTGGGTCCGCCTCAAAGAGGAAGTGTACCGTAAGCTTATACAGTCTTTGGACGAATTACGCAGTCGTGTCGGAGCAGTCGCATCGAAAATAAACGAGCGACGGTACACAAGACTGCTCAGAAGAGCATTTATCCAAAAATGCAGGGCATGCATAAGAGAGAGAGAGATTAAATGTTGTTTTTTTATTATTCCCCAATGATGAGATACAATTTAATTAAAAAATGTTCCCATATTACAAATTTTGTTATTTAGTTAAATTTTCTCTTTTTCTACATTAATGGAAATAAGTCACTATTTATGATAGATAATAGAGTTATGAATTGTACCATTGTAAAATCTACATGAAACAGACATTATTTTAAAATTATTGGTCACCCATGTATTTATACATTTTTTTTATACCTAAGAGGTGTGAACTTTGCTTAAAAAAAATTTTTTTTTTTGCATATTTCATACTATTCACTTTCTATCTATCAGCACAGTTAGTGTATAATAATAAAACAACAAAAAATGAATAGAATTCATTCATTTTTGGTCATAGTGATCAGGACAATAAAATAAGATAGAAAAAATTTGACTTTGCTTTAAAGATAACATATATTTTGTTTCGTATTTTTTTAGGACGGCCATAAATTGAGCTACATCTCTAACGATTTCAATTTGATTGGTGTATATAAAACATATGGATAGAATATATAATATATACATACGAATATGAACAGAACAACAAATTAAATATAAAAGAGCTTGGTTCACAAGTGAAGTGGAGTGGAGTGGAGTGAAATGGAATGGAGTGAAGTGGAGTGGAGTAGGGTGGAGTGGTTACCTAAGCAGTCGAGCGCGGTGGCGAGCAGCGCGGACGAAGGCGATGGCGCACCTGCGACGCCGACGGCGCGCTGCAGCAGCGCGGCGAGTGCGTCGGGCGCGCGCTGCGGCGGCGCCGCGTCCGCCAGCGCCACGAACACGTGCAGCGCCGCCTCGCGCCGCGCGTCCGTGCTCGCCGCGCTGTACGCCGCCTCCACCGTCGTCCAGCACCACTCGCCCAGGATACCGAAGCAGTACATCTGTATAGCATTACATCACTCTTACAGATGCAATCTTATCTACCACTAATATATGCATTTCATTCTGACTCTGTTGCATTTTGAGAGTAAACGCTATGGAGTTTGTTATGAGTGCTTAAAACTTGACAGTTTTATAGATTGAGCTGTCCTGCGAATTGATACTAAAAACATAGACAAAACGGGCCAGTTTTTAGTCACGTGACCTAAATCTATCCTGTTTTTCAGTTTGTAATTAACCATTGTTTACCATAATCATAAACAGCATTGCTGTTTTATTTTCAGATCTGTAGTTTCAATGCTGATTATTATCAGATGTTATATGACTAATTAAAAAATTTAACACAATAAACATTGTATTTTAAACATAATCTATAACTCATACTTAGAGACAGCCTAATAAATCCGCTTACAAATGAAAAAAAAAAGCTGCGTTAATTTTTCTTTTAGATACAGATACAGGTTTGTCTTTGTGTAGGTATTTAAAGAACAAAAAAGTAACATTCTATTCACCACAGTATCGGAGATATCTTGTCGATAACACCGTAATAATTCTATATCATCCCTGGAAAGCGTCACGTCTGCTGGCACTTCTGACTTGCATACAAGAGTTGTTAACAATTGCGAGAACACCTCCCGCCACATGGGATGCAATTCTTTTTCACTGGGCACGTTTAGTACTTGATCCTGTGAATTTTTTATAACACGTTTTTAATAAAATTAATCACAAAAATTATTATATATATATATATATTCTTTATTGCACTTAAACAATATATTTATTAGTCTATTAAACATTTATTACCATTCGGTATTATCATTTAGATCTTACTTCAAATATCAATCCAAGACGCATCAACATCGTCACATATCGATCTTCGATCCTTCGAACCGGATATGACACAGTGACCTTTGGTATGAAATAATACATACCTGCAATGTGTACCAGAAGCCGAATACGAGATTGGAGCGTGTCTCATGCAGCGGGTAATGTCCGGGCGCTGCTTGCGCGGCCAGTAGCACCTCCACGAGTTGCCGGGCAGTCTCCTCGCCCGCGTTTCCTCCAGCGCCTTCTGCAGCCTGCACTATGACTTGCGTATGACACTCGCCCAATGCTACGCAGCACGTTATTAGCGCTGACAGTAACTCCTGCAAACATATTTTAAGTTGGTTAGCTTGATTTATAAATCGGTTTTTTTATTTTTACTAGTACCACTTGGAAAACTGGTTTATTCTATATGTTAGATGGGCCATGTCTCTAATTATTTTACAAAAGTTTTAGAAAACTGACACTAATGAAAACCTGTAAGATCAAGGTTCCTCAATAATAAAATTAGATATACAAAAAGAACGCGATAAAGGCGAGTAACTGCAACAAGAGCTTGGACAATGCCTCACAATTCTCTAGCACATAGGTCTCCAAACTCGGCCCGCGGGCCAAATCCGACCCGGCAGTGCCATCAATCCTAGCGACTAGTCTCTAGAAATATAATTAAGGGTTGAAAAATTAAAACTGTTTTGGTCCTTGGATCATACAGAAAAAATAATTATGGCCCTAAGGCTTCAAAGTTTGGAGACCTCTGTATTAGCACTAAGCAATATTAAAGCGTGGCTTTTGTCGCATACAAACATACCTCGTTAATAGAGTTGGGCACATTGTCGCGCGCGAGCACGGGCGCGACGAGCGCGAGCAGGTCGGCGAGCAGCTGCAGCGCGGCGCGGGGCTGGCGCGCCGCGTCCGGCGCCGCGCCCGCCGCGCGCACCGCCGACAGCGCCATCTCGCACGCCTCCAGCGCAGAGTCGCTCACCGCCTCCGAGCACCTGTCGCACGGAAAGTACATTCACACTTTAATACTGATCATACTATACCATGCGACACACATACACACGCGCACGCACGCACGCACACGCAAACGCACACGCTCATACAAATACTTACATATATCCAAATTCACATTAAATGTCAAATATTTAAATTAACTCTGTTCGCCGCACCATAACTGTTAAATTTGTAGTTTTGATTTCCACGAGATAGGATTTGCCTAGTGTGGGGTCATAGTTATATTGTACCATAAACTAAATTTGTTTAAGAAAAATTAAGTTTATTTTTTTTAATTTTTAGAAAATTTACATCTCCCCTCTTAGGGAGAGGAGATGGCAAACTAACCCCCGGTAGAAGCACAGTCGGCCGGGGTTCAAGGCCCCAGGGAGAGAAACCGGCGTACAGTGCGGGCAGAATCTAAGAGCACCGCTCTCTGCATCTTTCCCGGGAGTGAGCCGCTTTGGAATCCCAATCGTCTGAGATGTTATTCCAGACTGGTTGGGATAAGACCGTTCACCGACAAAACAATTAAAATGATTTCGGTGAATTATTATTATTAAAATCAATATATGTCGGTGGGGGAAAAGACATTGTTAGTAATGAAATTTAACAGCCCTATTCCTACAATACACCCTATCAGGTCGCCTCCACGCGGTTTTTCTTGGAAACCTAGTTGTTAATTCTTGTTCAATTGGTCATTATGGGCCAACTGACCTGCCTTCATCCTCACTTGTCACCCTTCACTGGTACCCCGCCAGCGTATATCGATAGCGCAGGCGGGGTTATCATTCCATCTTCACCCATTAAAAAAAAGTATGTATGTTGGTATTATTGTGCCTCGTGTCTCGGCTAAACATTTATGTTACATCAAGCTGTTCCATTGTATCTGTTTATAAACCTAGTTATATTAAGTATTAATATATTTTGATAAAACGATCTTTTCACCTTTCACAAGCTTACAGGCGGTATCGGGCCCGTAAGTCTAGGGCGAGACTTTGCCTCCCTTTGTGTATTCTACAGCTTATATAACAAATTGTGTTCAGAGAAGTTATTTTAACTGATGCCCACAGCCACCTTTCATCATAAATGGTTATGTATAGTGTGGCTTTAAAGGAATTTTCTCCCGCGAATGCTGTCAGATTGTGAAATAAGCTCCTTGCCAAGGTTTTCCCTAGAGATTATAGTATGGGGTTCTTTAAAAAGGGTCGGCATCATGCACGTGACACCTCCGGTGTTGTAGCTTGTCCTTAGGCTACAGTAACCATTTACCATCAGACAGACACCACCTTAATTATATAACAAAAGCAGCTTGCCTTGGTAGTCATTGTAATTCATTAAAAGATTAACTAGAAAACGAGTTTTCCATTTTAAGTTGTATAAAAAAAAAAGACATGTTTATATGGGTGTCATCATAAATGGTAGTAAAGCGACTTCACGTTGTGTAGTTGGCCGCGCTTAGTAGCTGGTTACTCACGAGTAGAGCAGCCGCACGAGGTGCAGCAGCGCGCGGCACAGCGGCAGGCGGTCGGGCAGCGCGCCGGCCGCGTCCTCGTCACTCAGCGTCAGCCAGCTGTACGCGCAGTTCGCCGCCCTCAGCCAGCCCTGCACTGAAGCCTCCGGGGGGCCCTCATCACTGTATTCGCTAGAAAGGATACACACAAAATGCTATTATTTCACAAGCTTTCTTTACTGTAATTAAGACAATACCTGTACTTTTTATTTATTGTGTTAATCGTTTTATCTCATGAGGTAGTAAAGACACCTTTTCATTATTATAGAAATATTAATCATGAATATGATTAAAATGAAGAATAAAACTTTAATTTAACAAAAAATCAGCAATAAATTCCATAATCCTTGCATATTATTATTTACAAATAGTAAGCCCTTGTCATATTTTCCAGATTTCTTAACAAGTACAGTTCTTAAAAATTGTCAAATTATTGTGTCTATTTATATTAAAATGAAAATTTATAGTAATTTTTCACAAATACAATAAAAAATACTCACATGTAAACAGTCTGCAGATATCTTAACATATCATCAAGGACTGCAGGACATGCTTGCTGCAGTGCAGCACAGTTTTTAGCCCGAAGTGCTGATCCCATTGTCATGCTGTTATACTACGGGAAATGAATTTGTGGATTTAATAAATAATAAGACTCTTATTTATCAATGTCAACTACATGTGACATATATAATATACAAATCATTACTTACTTCTTCTGGTATCACAGTTAGAACTTCTAGAAGTAAAGATGTGTTTTCCATTGTTGATAATGGCCTTAGTATTGTGGCTAAATCTACTGTGCCTTGTTGCAAAATGAAAGCTGCCAGCTGCAAACAAGCATCTTGTTTAATACTATTGTTATTATTTAATATAAGTTATAATTTTTTTTTTTCACATATGCCAATTCAAAGAACAAATTATTACATTCAAGCAATTCTTGTAAATTGTCTATATTTTAAAATTTTATTTACTTATATACATTATGTACTCAATATAATTGTGTGTAAATTTATATTTATTAGTTTAACTACTTAAAAAGGCTAGTTATTTTTTTAGATTTATATTCTTTATTTTTACTAACATTATTATGTGTGTGACTACTAATACTAAAAGGTTGACCACTACTTTTAATAAGTACTAGAAATTCTAAAACCTATTAGCCAACAATCTCTTATTTCCATTTTGTTTATGTAGATTTTGTGACATGTGTTTCCCTTCTAAACAAGGTGTCTTCAGCCAAATTGCCAATGATACTAGATACTACTGTCAGTAGGAATAAAATAACTCTAATCAAATAACACCTAGTTCAGTTAAATATTTATAGGTTATTATATACAAAAAAGTTTAGATGAGTTTATAGAACATCAACAGGATATAAAAATAACAAAAAATAGTGGTAGAAATTAGAAATAATGAAGACAAACTTTTAGTACATTATCATAATGACTACTGATAATTCCAAATAGTTCTTAAGGAGTTAAATTACTCCTAATGGTCAATTAGCTAATAAGGTAATGGTTATTTGATTAAACTTAGATAATAATAGGACAAGATACAATATTCACATACTACATATATACTCATAATTGAATATACAAAGTAGTTTTAGTGAATATTACTAATGTTACAGTTTTATGATCCCATTATCTAACTATTAATAAGCTAAATGATTCAATAAACAAATAGTTTTGCACTGGAATTTGAACATTTAATATAGCATGACATAAATCATAATGGCTTTATACATAATTCATATGACATCAATTACCAGTCATTTGTAATAAATTGAATATAGATTAGCTTTTTAATAGTTATTCATTAGTGAACCTGTTTTTCATATAATCATATTAGCTCTAAATGTCCACTGCTGAACACGAGCCTCCGCCTTGGATGGTTTTGGATGGCAGCCACAACTAGGCTTTAGAGATGTTTTAAGAGGGGCGCTACTGACCATCCCTCGCCTTGCCTTAGTAATTTCTTGTTAATGATGTTAAAAACTTTAATTGCTATTAATTGTAAACATAATTAAGATACACTTCTGTTGAAATGCTTAATTAGTTTGAAACCTAAAAGTATTAAGAAGTAAATTTATTTGTATTTGTGTAACTCACACTTATACATAATCTATTTGTAACAATCTTCGGTCCCTTTGAATATGTAAATACTGCTTGTAAGAGTTTTTCTTTTAATTCTTCATAGTTCTCTGGTGGTACTTCATTCCAACATCTAAGTATTTTGGTATGCAGTGTTGTTGCTGCATAAAATTGAATTTCAGTACCCTAAAACAATATGTTTTTAAATAATGAAAAAAAAAGCATTATGTTAAAAGAAAAAAAAAAAAAACAAAAATCAGAATGCCTTTAATTACTCTGTTAATTGAATTCTCATAAAAAATATGTTGTCAATTATAAACCTAAATAATCCAGTATAAGTCACTAGGCCAGTGAGGGAATACATGGCCTCTGTGTAAACAATTTCATGTGGTTTTTATGCTTTCATCCTTCATGTACAAGAAGGGGTACTACAGACTTAGAAAACATAAAGGCCTTTATATAACATTTACCTGTACAACGGTAAGGAGCATTGTTTTTACTGTTGCTGATGTGGGAAACTCAATATTCAATTACTACAATAGTGATACCATTCAAATCTTATAAATTTAGTAAACCTTTTAAGAGTGCATGTTCAGTGTTTACTTACCTTGGATGGTTGTAATAGTTCCCAAACAAATTTCCAGGCTTCAGGGACTCGTTGAGCAGCCGTAAGCCAGGTATGAGCTTTAGCTCGGTCGAATTGTTCACCATTGTAGAAAACTGATACTGCAAATTCTAAATTCTGTGGGGTATACTCCATCACAGCTCAGCTGTTGACTTTAATCTAGACACGGAAGGTACAAACTGTATATAGTCGCAATATATGTATATTGATCAAAAATTGCAAATCTATATACTGATCAGGCAGGCAAACTATATATTACCTATGACCCACGTGCGCAATATTTGTTTGTGTAACTTAAATTGTTCAATACATTTTAGTAACACTGGTATATCGGCGTGTATGTAGGTAATGCACTGATATTCTTTAAAGTTTTAAAATGAGCGGCTACAATCCATCTTTTTGGCTGAGATATTATATGAAGATATATGGTGTTGCAAACTTTCTTGTAAAGTTAAAAGTAATAAATATTTTTACTATATATTTTATTTCTTTATTTCAAATCGTTCAGACAACACACATCACATTATAGAATTTTACCGACTTTAATAACATTGTGATTAATTGTTGAAAATATATATTACAGCACTCATTCACCTTTCTAACAGTGAAAATGTTTTCAAAATCGGATCAGTAATATCGGAGATTACCACGAACATTCAAACTCACAAACTTTATATAGTAATATAGTATAGATATATTATCTACTAAAAACACAAGTTTGCAATACACGTATAGTTGACACTATCTTGTGGCTGACTGAAGTCTTGCCGCCCCAAGGTGATGTCGGAAAGCAGTTCGGAACATTTACCCTCTCTTTCAGTCTTGCGTAATTTCCAAACTAGCTTTAAATGTATGGATTTGGTTAGAAAACATCATGCAAACGTTTAGTTAAATGATGAAATTACAATAGTGGCGCTAGTGTTCATTTTTCTTTTTTTTTTATTTTGGCGTGGAACTATCACTATATATAATTAATATTAACTCTAACACAAAGCAGTGAGTCTAGAAAGTTGATCTGACCTGATATAATGGGAAGTGTTGAAAACTTGTATTTATTATCAATAATATTACGAAATTAAAAACTCAAGGTAATATTCTATAAAATAATAATTATATTTAAGAATGTTATCCTTCGTTTTATTTTTGCTAAAAAGTGTTCATCGAAACGTGCAATTCAATATAATATATATATTTCTTTTATCACATGATACACGCTTCACTGACAAATATTTACATTTTATTAATATCGAAAAATATCTAAGTATAGTATTATTATTGCCCCATTTCTTTTAATTTTGAACGTCAGACAGGCCAATATAACGAGAAAAGGAGAAATTTTTCTCTGTATTAATGAGATATTCTTAACCAAGTTGTTTTAGGTGAGTTGTATGAAGTGCGGTCTCTTTTCCCTTGGTTATATACTCTTTTGAGCCACAGATAATATAATAGGATACTAGTAACCGAGCGTAGTAGATTAGCGGTTCGAATCGAACCAGCCGATACATTTTTTTAATATACTCAATGCGTGAAAGATACATATAAAAGATATTCAATTTGTGATATGCATGAGAACAATATTTAACATTATATAGTTAATCACATGATGCCAATAACTACAAGATGATGCTAGCGGATATTAGGTGAATAATTTACATTGTCGCCGTTATCTTAATCTGATTTGATTCAAATGAATCAGGAGCAGGTAAATAGGTGCAATACAAAGCCGTCATGTAGTTTCGTACCTATTTTGGTTGAGTAAGAAAAATATTTATGACTGCTTCTTTCTTTCTATCGTATAAATTTTCTAATTCAGAATATAAATATTTATTTGTTTTATATAATATAACATTCAACAATTTAAAATGAATTGACATCATAGGCATCATCATCATATTTAAGAGAAGCTTGGTAGACTGTGTCCACCTCAGAATTATCTAGTGTTTACCCCTGAATATGAGCAAAACTTCGCAAAGATATATTTTTGAGTACACATGCGCCTTTTACAGGAACCAAGCTTACCTAAATTTTTATTTGAAAAATACACTATGTTCAAATGCATCGAATATAGTGTCGATAAAATATCTCCATATCTTTTTTGTTCCTGTATAAAGAAAAAGTTTTTTTTTTTACAACACAGGAGACAAACGAGCATGCGGCTCACCTGATGGTAAATGATTACCGCCGCCCATGATCACCCACAACACCAACGGCACAGTAGGTGTGCTGCCGGCCTTTTAAAAAGAAATATGCTCTTTTCTTGAAGGTTATGATGTCGTTTCGGTTCGGAAATACTGCTGCTGGAAGTTGATTACAGAGTGGTTATGCGTGAAATAAAGTAATATCTAATTATATAGTTTCGATATATATGTATTGAAATTCGATACATAGTATATATACTACATAACGTCGTAGTACTGCCTACTTTACCCAAATGTTTAAACATAATAAACTTAGAAATTATATTATCATCAGTGGTTTATTGAAACTGGCATTACAAGTTTCTTATGAACAATTTCGAATTTTTATTAAAAACCAAAGTAGTATTTTATCAAATCTAAAACCATTTCAAACTTTTCAGATCATAGATTAAAGAGACTATGTCCAAAGAGTACATATAGATTATATATTCTTTTGACATAGTCTCTATAATCTAAAAACATGTACTTCCTTGTTCTTGGGTTTTTGCTAAAGCAGTGTTTCCTACCGTGGGGCCCATGCGCCACAAGGGGGCAATTTGATAGTTAGGGGTGGGGGGATTAAAAATGCACTTAAAGCTATTTTAACTCTCTCTGATTTTAACCTCTGGTAAATATTTCACATTTTTTAAAAATAGACATAGTTCAAATTTGCTGATAAAACATTGAACAAAAAATATTTGCAATTTACTGAATTTGTATATTAGACACTATGAAATAGATATAATGTAACAATATTTTTATAATACATAACTACGGCATTTTTTGTTAGAGGCATGTTATGAATAGGATTATAACATTTTGAATCTTCATTTACCTATTTTGTTAATACTTTAAGATGGGTATATACATTATTTTTCTAATTTCGTTATCATAAGGGTAGTGCTGATTTTTAAACAATGATTATTTATTCTGTGGATATATTAACCTATATATATTATTTTGTGCCTTCTTTGATGCCTTCTTTCTTTAAACATAGTCTCTGTAATCTGTGGTTTGTTATCTGTAGGTTTTTTTGTGTAATATAGCATTATGTATGAAATTCCAGACAAATTATCATATTGAAGACTAGGCAGCATGGTCTTAGCCTTAGCCTGTTCCACAACGGAACAAACATACTAAAAAAAAAGCATTATATACTCTGTGTTATACTAAAAAGGAAAACAGTTTTTTGATTGCATTTTGTTACAATAAACTTAATATACTAATTTACTGAGAAGAAATAGAATTTTTTCAAAATGAAAATAGAGGAGGTTAAAAGTACAGCGAAAACACAAAGAATCTCTGCTCACAGCCACATAAAAGGTTTAGGGTTGGATGAAAATGGAATCCCTATACAAATGGCAGCCGGTCTCGTGGGTCAAGAAACCGCTAGAGAAGTATGTATATGAGATTATAACGCTTTAAAATAGTCTATAGTAGTGTCTATTTTATAACAAACATGTATTATAATGATTTTCGAACTGTTTATGGCATTATTAGAATATTTTATTTTTTGTACTTTTAGGTTATAAATTTTGTGTAGCTATGGACTGTTTTGTCAATAGTATTAAAATCATTATATCTGCATATTGAACTATTAAGAGTGGCAAATAACTGTCAGTGGATACCTTTAGGAGCGGTAACACCTAACTAATGCACTTGATAAAAAATTAAGTCATGATTTTAGGGACCAAACTAAGAATATCTTTACTTTGGTATTCAATAATAAATGGAAATAAATAATTTAACTACAAATTAGCAAATAATTCTATCGCGACATCTATATATTAATAGTTCACTGATTTCCATGAAAATTTGGTAGAAATTTTTCATGGACAATGTTTATATGCAGTTCAGTTATAAACTACATTTTTTAGCATGGCACTGACACCTTATAATCAGTCAACAAAAAATTTATGAGATATTTTAAATTATGATTATTGTTTTTTAATTTAAAAAATCTCACCTAATACTGTTATTTGTGCCAATAAAAGCTAATTAAATCACCTGTCAACTGCTTCATGAAATGTGGAAAATGTAGTTGTATCTGGGTATAAAATGGTGCTGCAGCTATATTGAAGTAATTGGTTATATAGAGGTAAATAAATATAAAGGTCTATGCTTGTTTGTCAACTATGTGGTATAAAAAAAGAGATAAGACATAATTGGATATATGCTATGTTATGAGTTATATATAATAAACCTAGACAACTACAGTATGAAAGGTAGGTTTAAAACCATATGATGATATGTATAAATAAATAATTGAAAAAAGAAATCAAGAAGTACCTCAAAAGTGACTCACCTTGGGCTCTGTCAATTTGTAGGTATAATTGCATATTAAATATAATGAAAGGAACAATAATTTGTACTGCATACTTCTTTTACTTTGAGTATCATGTCACTTGTATCAAATAGTGAGGATGAGACAGTTAGGTAAATTAGCATAGTAAGTTATGAAAGAAAATACACCATATGGTGTTATCTACCAGCTAACTGACTTTACATTGATTTATTTCTAGGCTGCTGGTGTTGTAGTGGATATGATTAGGAGCAAGAAAATGGCAGGCCGTGCCTTGCTGTTGGCAGGTCCACCAGGTACAGGCAAAACTGCTATTGCTTTAGCAATAGCTCAAGAATTAGGTAATAAAGTAAGTATTAAAAAAATAATTACTTTTATAACATAATTAGACTAGAATTGAGTGTTTTATAAGAGAACTAAATATTTTGTTTGTATTTCTGTTCTTTTCATTCTTTTTATACATCTCAGAATGTCAAACAAGTTAGAGGCTCATGTCACAGACAATCAACAACATTATATAATACACTGATGTCTAATACTAAAAAATAACACTTAAAAAACTCTTAGCAACTGTCAAACTATATAAATCTATAAACAATATAGTGCATCGATTGGCACCAACTGCAAACAAATTTTGTCCTATAAATTATGTCTTATATTAGTTTATTTATTGCTTTTTGGTTTTAGTTTAATCTTTTTTTTTATAAGTAGCTTTTTAAAAGTTTGTTTTTAAGAATATAGGTAATATACTTCCGTACCCCAAATATACAAGTGTTAAGGGGTAGCAATATAGTCAATCCTTCATTTGCATAATGCATAGTCTATCTGTGTAATGGATAGTGGTGCTATAAACATACTAGAGAATTTACTACATAGATTAAAGTAAAAAAATTGTTACATATGTTCCATTCATTTGTTTGTTAGGTACCATTCTGTCCTATGGTTGGTAGTGAAGTGTACAGTACAGAAATAAAGAAAACCGAAGTGTTGATGGAGAATTTCCGTCGCGCCATTGGATTGCGGATTCGTGAGACCAAGGAAGTGTATGAGGGTGAAGTAACAGAACTCACACCTGTTGAGACAGAGAATCCAGCTGGAGGTAAGGAAATTTATTTCTATCTTCATACTATTAAAAAATATAACAAGGAAAACCATGTACAAGAACCTTCCGTTTCAATAATTTTCTTGTTCCATTCATTTTCGTAATTTGTCTAATGAACATGCATATGAAAGAAAAAAAGAAAGAAAACATTTATTGCCAACAACAAAAAGAGTTATATTAATTATTAATAAAAAAATTAATTACTACAGTGTTGATATTCTGTGGTGGCCATGTGTGACATTACGAATGATGACAGCAAAAAAAAAATGTAATGAATACCTGTTTCTTTATCTGACAACTTTGTATTTCTATGTCATTAATAACATATTTTTTAATTTATCATTATGAGCTAAAGACACCTAGTTATCTAAGCTGATTGATATTGTCATATCAAAATTACATATTTTTCTTTTTCTAAAAACAATTCCATATTTTATTCCAATTAAATAAAAAAAAAATTGCTTACTAAGAAACATTAAATTTTTGTATTATTAAACCTTTAAGCTATGTAAGTTCATTATAATTATATCATGATCAATATTTTTTTTCAGGCTATGGAAAAACTGTATCCCATGTCATTATTGGTCTCAAAACAGCTAAGGGTACAAAACAATTAAAGTTGGATCCAACTATTTATGAATCTCTACAGAAAGAGAAGGTGGAGGTCGGAGATGTTATTTATATTGAAGCCAATTCAGGAGCAGTCAAAAGACAAGGCAGGAGTGATACATTTGCCACAGAATTTGATCTTGAGGTAAATTTATACTGTTTATAACATAGTGAATAATGAAGTAAACATTATATGATGCCTGTGTCTAGAGTATGAGACATGATGTTAGTCCAATGGCTATTTTAAAGGTATATAGAGATTTTTTTACGCTATCTATCAATCAACACATCTGTACATGGAAGGTATATAAGAAAAACTATTATAGGAAGGCTTTATGAACGCAGTAGAATCCAAAACAATGATTTTTACAATTTTTGTCTGTTTGTGAACGCTAATCTCAGAAACATCTTAACCAATTTGTATGGTGCAGCTTGATCCGTACGGTGAGTGTGGACTGTAGGGTGCTGGATCAGGCTGGAGAGAAATGATAGTATTCCTTTCTTGAAGCTCCCGGTTCCGTTCTGAAGAGTTTCTCCTATTTCCTTTATCGGATGGGGAGTGCAATGCCGCTCGACGGTAGGCGGCCTATCTTTATACCCGCCCGGTCGCACGATATCGTGTACTAACTCACATTGGTGAGTCTGTGCGAGCGGGATGGGGCGAGTGTGAGAGGGACGCGTGACCTTTCAGAGCGGCACCATTTGGCGTCTATTTATTTATTATAATTTCCAATATTACTATTATTTTACAATCTTTTTCTTATTTCTATTTGTGGGTAATGAGGACTCGATACAAAAATATGCTTTATTCCACTTACAAGCTATAGATACATCATATAAAGTCTATATAAAATTAACAATTTAAATGATTAAAAACTAACAACCTATGCTAACAAAGATAACTATAAAATATCGCTATAAACTATACATTTTTATTTAAAGAAATTATAATGTTGCGAACACAATTTGAATGCAGTTTTCACCCATTTTGCATGGCATTGCAGTTTGCTCCACTTAACATTTAGTGTTTATTTTATTTCAATCAGTTCATAAACAAAAAAGTTATATCAATTTAAAGAATGACATATAAAATCCTATAAAATAACCAATCACTTAAGTGAAACTTCTATTTTATTATATGTATTGATTTTCTAAAATTCTGTCTACTCGTGCGAAGCCTGGTTGGATCGCTAGTGTATAATATACCTTTAATGTTTTATTTTTAGTAACTGTCATACTTTACCTGAATGGATTCTGATAAAAATTAATATTTGTGTTAGTCATGGTTTATCTTTCTAATGTGTATATGATTGAGTAACAAACATCTCAACAAACTGATTTTGATGAGGCATTTTGAAATAGACCCATAATTTAAGTTATGTATATACTAATATACTTACTGTAGTGGCGCTATAAGACTATGCCCGCTTAGTTCGATAAAACTGAAGTACAAAATCAATTAGTTTTTCTAATTTTTAGACTTAATTATGTGTAACGCAAATTTTATGAACTTACTGTTTGTCGTTTTCGACAATTATTTCGATTGTAAAGCATCATCCTCATCCTAATCTTCGTCCCATAAATTTTTTTGACTTCATCCATTTCTGGATGAAGTCCAAAAATTATTGGAAACAACAAATATAGTAAGTGCCTAAAATTCCCGTTATACATAAATAGTCATCATTAGAAAATTAAAATAATATTAAGAAATAATATTCTGTTTAGAGATATTTATACTGATTCTTAAGTGATTTAATATTTTACAGGCTGAAGAATATGTTCCACTGCCAAAAGGCGATGTTCACAAGAAGAAAGAGGTTGTTCAAGATGTAACATTGCATGATCTAGATTGTGCTAATGCAAAACCGCAAGGTGGACATGACATCATGTCCATGATGGGTCAACTAATGAAGCCAAAGAAGACTGAGATCACAGGTTCGTCAATCTTATGTTTGTGTGTATTTATTTATAATGCCATTAAATAATTACAAATTGTACATTCATAAAAATTGTACTAGTACATATTTTGAAAATTAAGATTAACGCAGAATATTTTTGTTTATTGCAGATAAATTAAGAAAAGAAATTAATAAAGTAGTGAACAAATATATAGATCAAGGTATTGCAGAATTGGTGCCTGGAGTGTTATTCATTGATGAGGTTAGTATAACCATTTTATAAGACACTAACATTTTCATTTATGACATTATATTATGTCTCTGGTACCTCCCAAAAACTAGGTAATTTCAAAATAAATAAAAAAATATATAAAATAAAAATATTTTGAAATTTTGCTTACTTGGGTATGAAATGTGTGTTCTGTGTTTATTAACTGCTGTATTCTTTAAAATGACAGACATTACTTTTTATTCTTAAATAGTATAAAAACGCAGAATGAGTTGGCAGTCTATTATTAATATTTTGTTATTTATTTTTTATTTTTATACAACTTAGAATGGCAAACAAGCTGATGGCTCATTTGATGGAAAGTGGTAACCGTCGCCTATAGACATGAGCAGTACCATGGATATAACAGAGTATACTGTTTCGCCCATGATCCCCCCCATGAGTTGCTATTCCTGAGGACTCAGGTGTTATTCCTCTGTACCCAGTAAATTCACGCTGTATCCCACCCTTCAAACCGAAACACAGCCATGCAAACACAACTTCTTCACGGTTGAAACACGAATGGGACAGAGGTATCCAAGCAAGCGACTTTTGTACAAAGTCTCCCTGTTATGTCTATAGGATGGTGTTGCTACTTTCTTTCAGGTGGGCTGACGCACTTTGCCATTATTATTCACTGTACTGTAAAGAAATACTTTTATCCATTAAAAGAAATCATCATGATCGTCATCTGTTACAGGTGCACATGTTAGACATAGAGACATTCACATATCTACATCGTGCTTTGGAGTCTGCTATAGCGCCAATAGTAATTTTCGCAACCAATAGAGGCCGTTGTCAAATAAGGTATGTACTTATGTTTTCATCAGGTATCACATTATCTAAAACTTTATGACATTTGTGGCAACTACAGGGACTAAACACACTAGTAGAAACGAAAATTCAAAGTAAAAACTCTAAATCAACACTTCTGGCCAACATGCTAATATCTATGCCCATCAGTGGAAAGTTGAATGGATTATTATAACGATGATTATTATAAATATATATGATATATATATATATATATATATATATATATATATATATATATATATATATATATATATATATATATATATATATTATTCTAGATAACAATACCTATAAATACCTATGCAGAAATAATATTTCTGATTACAATAATTTTATTTCAGAGGCACAGAAGATATTGTTTCTCCTCATGGAATCCCATTAGATCTTTTAGATAGACTACTAATTATACGTACGCTACCATACAACAAGACGGAATTATTACAGGTTTGTTAAATTTGTTATTGTGTTTCTCATGCATTTAATAAATATTTATACTATACCCAAACAAATGATTGAAATGACTATCAAATTCTTTGGGTATAATTGTTTAGTTTCATGAATACTATAATTAGATTTAGAATTGTTAATACCCTTTGGTAATAAACTAGATATAATGATTTTGTAAAATTTTTGTTGATATTTTATCAACAATAATTTTTCATGTATACAAGAAGAAATTAATGTTTGTTTGTAGATATTAAAATTACGTGCGACAACTGAAGGAATAGCCATAGATGATGAAGCATTGGCTGCCCTAGCTGAAATCGGCGCCAACAGTACTTTGAGGTAAGTAACGCTAATTTAATTAATACAAATATGAAAGCAAAGAGAGTAATAGTTATACGCAATGTTAAATAAAGATCTTTCCAGATAAATTTAGATGCCTAGTTTACATTTATGATAAACTTTTAGACATTCTCTTTGCATAATTTATGGTTTTTAAGATACGAGATTTAACATGATTTATGATTTTTTAGTGAATTAGACATAAAAGTTCATAAGTCATTTGAGCAAGTTTATACAAAATTTTACATTACTAAAAGTGATAATGAATTATGGTAATTTTCACCTTCAATAACTCTATGGATATGGTGGAATACTTTTGTCATACTTCACTTCTTTATCTCATCCTAGTCATATAACTTTATCCCAAATTGATATTTTATTTTATTTAACATATAGCAGGTGATTCGGGACATATGTGGTTTATTCAGTTAATGATGGCGGAGAATGACGATGTAACATTTTTATGCGCAGGTATGCGGCACAATTATTATCACCAGCGGCGTTAGCGGCTCGAGCAGGCGGTACGAGCTGTGTGGGTACACCTCATGTACAGTCTGTGCACGAGCTCTTCCTTGACGCCAAATCCTCTGCCCGCATCCTCACGCAGCATTCTGACAAGTACATGAAATAGACTCGCGTTCTGGTCTTGTACACACCCACCTACCTCTTTTTGTTACTAACCTAACTATAATTCGTAAATACAGTTCGCTACTTCTTTATTATACATTTTATAGATATTATAGTATAATGTTTAGAAAATGATCCTTCGAGCCGGATAGCTTGTTTTAAATCAACTGAACTAAATCTTCGTTAATATTATTATATTATTTTATTATAGATATATATTTCATCATAGAGCTCTATAAACCATTTAACAGATTTCCTACTCAAAACATAATAAAGTAACACACTGTGTTTACATGTTATATGTAGGTTATTATCAATATTCTAAACAGAGGTCTGTTAACATGCGCATGCGCTGATGTTGCAGTAGCAAGTATATAAGTTAAAGGCCTTAAAGCACGGCGACCGTCCGCTCATCACCCTGTCAGAGGTGTTCGTGTGATCCTTTCTTTTTTAATCACGTTTACTCTTAGTTTTTTATTCATGAAATTTTCTTCATGAACATGTGTATGTGGACAGTTTTTACTAATCATCTACACCTCTTTGATTTCTTAAGCCACGCCATACTAAAGGAATCTGTAATTTGGAAGGAAAATCTTTGTCGACCTTAATAGGTTTAATGTAATGTGTATTAAATGCCTATAATCTATTTTTCATACTTTGTCATAGTATATCTCGACATCTATAATCTTGACATGGCTTTTTTTGAAATTGATTATTTAAAACAAATACAAACAAACAACATAACCAGTTAGCATATTACAAATATTTTTATTCAATAATATGTTTATTTTATGCAATGTCATTTAGATAACAAGATGCCATTATTATTTACTTAATATCCTAAGTTTCAAAAATAGATTATACTTATTTTTACTTTGTCACAGAGTACCTACTTTAGGATAAACGGATTATAATTTGTAGGTACTATGTTATTAATTTTGTTGTCCTAAAATGTATTTCTTAAGGTTTTTATATTATGCAGAGCATTCCGTTTCAAGCGAATTGATTTGTGCCGAAAAACGTGTTAAGTTAATAAATAAATAAGAATATGACATAATAAATATTTTATTTTACAAAATTTATATCCTATCCTAAATTTATTTAAAAACTAAATTTATTTACACAACATTAGTTTTAAAAATTACCAACGTTACGACTTAGGTATCTGTACACTGGACGGCCTGGACGGAGAATAATTTACTAATATATTTTTTTACTACTCATTAATGATGCAACATCGAAATAACTACTACAGATCACAGAAGCATAGTTAAATGTATGTTAAATATAAGAGTAATCTGTAATTTACTTATATGATCATCTTTGCTTTATTTACACCATGCAAAATGGAAATTCGAAAAAAAAGCTAATAAAATCTCTAATAATCTTTCATGTAGGGTAAGAATCTGATTCTTTTAATTTATCATCGGACTTCTGATATGGTACTGGTATATATCTAGAATCAGAGGCGTGTTTAGCTGGCGTGGAAGTAGGCGCAGCTGTCGTCGTGGGCGGACTGAATGTAGGCAGATCCACCCTCACCGCTGATGGTGATGCGGTGTGCTGGTATAACGCTTCGAATTGCAACTCCTCTGGGTATGAATGCGATCGGATTTTCCGTTCGTCCCTAGCGTTGCTCGGGTATACTATTACAATTTTCTCACCCTCACTTCTCAAAGCTATTGGTGGTAAAGCAGTGCTAGTTGACGCAACAGGCCCATTCACCACCTTTAACATTTCCGTTGGAGCCGCTCGAAGTTCTATAGTTGTCGTTAACGGTGTTGTAGTAGTAGTAGTAGTGGTTGTAGTCGTAGTTGATATCACCATAGGAACATCTGGATCCTCAGGGGACTCGATATTCCTTTTTTCTCCAGGTGGTCCTACTGCTCGGAGCGATTCTATTTTCATTTCCAATGTAGGAGTCGGTACAGGTACCGAACTTGTAACGTTCAAGTCCTCCATAGGTATGTACCTCGCAGTCGGTTTGGGCACTTCTCTAGGTCCAAAAATGGGCAATCGAGGAGCATATGCTGAAACCAATGGCAAGAGAGTATCGCGTGCGTACCGTTCAGCCCTCGAAATAAACGACGCTAGTCGGGCTGGGAGAAACTGAACAGCGAAACTGGATTCTTCCTTCTCAGCTGCGTCGCCTAACGGCATAGCTTCGTAAGTTGGGGTTGTGGACATGTCGTAGTTCTTTCCTTTTCTTAACGGGGGTTGGGGAGTAATCGGCCGGGGAGATTGGGTCGCTCTCAGCAGAGGCTCCGATATTTCAGGAAAGTCGTCGGTGGAATCTGCTCTCTGTCGTGGTGTTTTACGGGGTCGCGGCTTTAAAACTGGCTCGGCGATTTCGACGAGTCCACTCGCAGCAATTTTTGTGTTGGTCATCCCGAAGGCCCGACCGCTGTCAGCTTCGCCAGTGAATTCGTAAGTATCGACTAGGGCGAAAGGCCTCTGTGGTATATCTTCCGGCAGCTCATTGTCGAGAGGGTCTATTACTGCTTTGCTTGTTATATTCTCTTGAATAATGTCACTACCTGTCACGTTGGATGAGTCGACGTCCTAAAACAAACAATATATAATTATATGCAATTCATGGTATAGGTAATATGGGAATAAATAGTTAATGTTATGTGTGAATCACATTCTCACCTCTTGTATTTGGCAATCTCCTGGATAGAGCGGTAGTTCGATAGACTCGTCAGAATGAAGGAGCATTCCTTTTTTACAGAATGAGGATCTGTGGAAAAAAGTCACTAAAATCATCACCACGTTCTTTTTATTTCTAGAATATTAAGAGGCGACTAAAGTTAAATCGATTGACCAGTATAGTGACATCTTTCTTTGAAGAGAGACTAATATTCAGCAGTGGGGCGTTAATGGATTGTTATGGACATATTCGTACTTAAAGAGCCAAGTTTCTGAGAATAGAACGAAATTAATCATCTTTATACAAAATTATCTAAGCTAAAGCCATACTTTTAAAAAATACCTAGTTTCAGTATGCATATATAGCTATTTTAGCGTAAAATAAATTATAATGTTCGTTCAAGAACTGGTATCTTTATAAGTTATTTTGAATTTGATATCATGTGCCTTTTGAGATCTACATTAAAATCCATAGAAAGGAAAGCAGCTATATAAAACTAGGAGTTTATTTTAAAATTACGAAACAGATATTTGAACTATATATAATGCTATCATGATTCAGATGTTAGCATATAGAACTGGCACTACATTAAAACTATAAAAATATGTAAAGTTACGTCTTGGCGAAGCTGTCGGCAATGAGTAGCTTGTCGAGCAGTATGGCGTTGGCGCCAGCGCTGAGCCAGCCCGAGTAAGCGGCGTAATGTATGGACGCTCGCAGCGGCACGCCCAGCGCGGGGTGCGGCACCAGTACGCGCGTAAACCGAGCGTGCGATACGCCCGCGCCCGTACCTCCAGCGCCGCTGGCGCTCCTCTCCTCGCGCCTGGAATACACGTTACCAGTGAGGGTAAAGTCGGGACAGTTGGCTCATCGAGGAGGGAAAGGGATTGTTAGTAATGTAGACTAATGGCCCCATTGCTAGCAACCCCTGTCCGGTCAACCTCTACGCGGTTCCCCCTGGAAACCATTGTGATTAATACTTCTTGCATTCGTCACGATGGGCTAACTGACCTTTCATACTTATCTATCATCCCTCACTGGTGCCCCGCCAGTGTATACCGATAGTGCAGGCGAGGTTACAATTTCATTATCATCTATTAAAAATAAAAAGTTGGCTTATCGTGATAACGATTAATTGTGACAATTTCCAAGACGTGAACGTTGACGTGAACGTGTTCTTGTTGCTAATGTCCGTTGTACCGTTAGTCCTCAGTACAAATAGTTTTTTCATGGAATATCCAATTATCTAGGTGGCACAATTTTGTATCTGCTTGATAAAACACCTCTATGGTTAATGTAATAGCTACATCCCTACTATTTAGTGTACGATTCTCTCTAAATATTGTTTTCGTCGATGTAGGTAACTGTTCAGATAGGATTACACGTCTAAATTATTTTAGGTTCATAAGAGTTGCTGAATTATTTTGATTGAAACAACCTACACTTCGGGGTCATACATAATGTGACGCATACAATGTTGTGGTTTACTTTCATTCACTTCATTGATGAGTGATGAACATAGCTAACATGCACAAATTAATTCGTGGAATTATTAAGAGATGAACACATTTTTACATACTTGGTCATAGGGAACGACTCGTTGAGGCCTGTATCCCCGTGCAGCGTGAGCGTCACCCGGCCGTAGTTCACCTTCTCGCCGGTCTCGCTGCCCGCCCATACCGATACGTAATATTGGTGCGCTGGGTCAAACGATAAATTCAAATTATACACAATAATAATATTAAGGTTGCTTTGAAAAGATTGCTCTCAGCAATAAGACCGCCTTACTGTACTTATACAATTATATCGTTGTGTTTGTAAATTGTCTTGCTTATTCCCTATACTGTATAATGCAAATAAAGTTTACTCATTCATTCATCCAATAAATAGGACAATCAGTACATATAATAATATCGTAACTGATCGCTGTCTGTAATGAAAAATATATAAGAAAGACAATAAAAATATATAAAAATATGATTATTTGCTTTATGAACGCAATAGAAGCCAAAACAATGATGATTTGTCTGTGTGGTTGTCTGTACGTTTGTGTACGCTAATCTCAGAAACGAGCTTAACTGATTTGAAGGCGATTTTCGATAGTGCATTGCGGTTTGCTCCATTAACATTTAGTATTTGTTTTATTTCAATCGGTTTATAAATAAAAAAAATATATCAATCTAAAGAATCACATATAAAATGCTAAAAAATAACCGATCAGTTGAATTGGCTGAAACTTTATGAAGGTATTAGGTGTGTAATTATCATTTAAATATATAATACAATATAAGACCGGATTCACGAAGGGTTCCAATGGGAATGATAGACGATTAAATACAAAGAAGCGGGCTAACGCCGCGGGAAACTGCTAATACAAATATATGTTTGTATTGGGAGATTATCTAGGTTTTAGCCGTGGATAATTTTTAATGCCACTTGGATTGGGAATACGCTGACATTTCACGCCATCGAAAGGGGAAACCGTCTCTAAAAACAAGCCGAAGCTTGTTTTACATTTCAAGTTGTGTAAAAAAATTCGTGTTTGGTAGATATATATTTTTTTCAATATGTATAATAAACGTCCTTTACTAATATCATAAAAGTGAGTTTGTTTGTTTGTTACATTGTAGCACCTTAATGGCTTAATCGATCACTATGAAATTTGGTATATTGTATGGAATGCAGAAGGATACAGACTACTTTTTATCCAGGTCACTAAATATATCCCGGTCAAGGACGAAGTTTCGTGTAAAAAATAGTATAATATAATCAATATTTTTACTAATACAAAAATAATATAATCATAGTATAGTTACCACAAAATGGTTCCTCTTCCCTAGTAAGTAAATAAAGTTGGCCGCGTCCTAGTGAGCGGTCCGCGTAGTAGCCCATGTTGCCGCAACGACGTTGCGAATCGCACGGGAAGCAACGACCCTGTGTAAACACGGTTAAGTTTTTTATGCAACTTAGAATGTAACAATTTTAATGTCATATCCTACTGTTCAAATCGAACCACAGCCATGTAAGTACAGCTGCTTTACAGTAGAAATAGATGGCAAATCTAAAGTTGATAAACAGACAACTTTTAAGTCTCATTAAAAGCTATTATGTGTTCTAAAAAATACTTCAATTGTGACAAAACCAGTTGTTTTCATTTCTAAACTAAACCACTAAACCGATTTTGGTAAAATTTCAATGAGACCAATCTGTAAGTATATCCTTTCAAATAAAAAAAGATATTTATAACTGACGGAGTTATGAGGTAACAAACATAAAATGAAAAAAAAATAACCGAATTAAGAACCTTCTTTTTGTCGTCTGATCAATATACTTATTGTTAAAATTGGTATGAGATTAACACGAGAGTAAATCCTATAGATTTAATTTAGATTTGACAAGTTTATTAAAACTTATTACGAATTATCCGGTACCTACCAGTAGATTGTTAAGTGTTTACCACATTTAACAATCTATAGTTTTTATTTTAAACACATTTACCTCTAAGAAAGTGTCGTAATTAGCACAAGGGAAGGCAGGGAAGTGACATTTAGGTGAGACTGAGTCTGTGAAGAACTTGTAGGCGCGGCGGTGGTTGCACAACGAGCGGCCCTCCGGAGACGGCGCCGCCCACGGCAGCACTAGGTCCGACACCGCGCCCACGAACCTTCAAGAAAAACATTAACTATATACATAATTACGAAAACATTAATTCTGACTTGGTGAATAATTATATAAAAACATGTTTGTTCTGCAAAAATAGACACAATTAAAATTGTTTATTAGATTGCATAATTATCTAAATTGATTTATTATTGGTAAAAATGTAGGGTACGAAATATATAGAGGCTAAAAGAGTCGATTATAAAAACAAGTCTAAATTATTTAATACCTATGGTATATAACATAGAACGAAGAGTTTTGGTAGTCGCCATATATTTTTTGTTTCATTTGCTGAAATCAACTTCATAATATTTAGTTCACTTTAATGAAGCATCCAAAAAAATTATTGCTTATACAACGATATATTTGTAAGGCTTTTTTGAAGAAAATTGTACTTACAAGTTAGAACAGCCGTGTTGAACTCTACCGCCGTTTGGATAGAAGTCAACGTGACCCAGCGGCTGCGCGGCACCCAGTCCGCCCAGTATGAGGGTTTCGCCGTTCGAGTGGATTACGTCTACGAATTTGGCGTCGCTGCGGTCCAGCCGAGCTCGCGGATCCTGGAACTCGAATAGCGGACCTGCTGGGTCTAGACCTGAAATATAGAAGTTCAAAGGGGTTTAAATTGGTTCTTCCTTACTGATTTTGATATCGGAACCAAGAGTAGAAAGGTATATTCTTGGACCAGAAATTTCAAGATAAGTGAATCTATTTATATCTACATTAGTATATTTACTACTATTTTGTTCTATCTTAAATTTATCTAATAAGTATTTCTTACTCGTATAACTACAGGGTTTGAATTGCAATTACATATTCAGGTACATATTAGAAAGTAAATAAGTATAAAAACTATACGCAATACCTGTAATGCGACTTATGTTTCGCAGTTCAGAGCCTGCGAAGCCAGCGACGTGCGCGCCCAGACTAAACCCGATTAAATGAACGTCTTCGAATCGTAGATCAATATGCTTTGCTAAACCTGTAAAACACATTCATTTGCTGTAAGTGCTATACAATCATTATAATTGTCTTGTACTATATATTAGGTTACCAAAAAAATTATGTACAATACAAACACAATGTGTCGGTATTATTATGGTCTAATATACGAGGTCTGTCCGGAAAGTTCGTATAAAAGTGTTCTGGAATGCGAGAAAGAGGAGTGGGGAGGCCAGGTAAGCGCAGGACCCCTTCCTTATGTCCCTAACAATGCTTCAGTTCTGGTCTGACCGCCGTGCGGTGCGAACTGGCTTGTCACGCCATCTGTGAAGTTACCTCTTAACGAAACCCCGTCGGCATGGAGCCCGCTTCCGTTGAAGAGCAGCGCGTCGTAATCAAGTTTCTCTCGAAACTCGGCAAGAATGGCCGTGAAAAGCAAAGAGTGGAAGACATCCGGGGAACCACGAACAAAAAAATCAAGAAAATCCCGCTCAAATGTCAAGACAATGTTGATTGTTTTTTTCGATGTTCGGGGGATTGTCCATCAAGAATTCGTCCCTCCAGGCCAGACAGTTGATGGAAAATTCTACGTCGATGTGCTCAGACGCCTCAAAGCTCGTGTGGCACGAGTTCGTCCAGAATTGGCGCGAGAGGGGCGTTGGATTCTTCACCACGACAATGCCCCTGCCCACACCTCTCTTGTTGTCCGTGAGTTTTTGAGTAAAAATTCCATTACGGTGACCGAACACCCCCCTATTCGCCGGATTTGGCCCCGTGTGACTTCTTCTTGTTCCCAAAAACCAAATTGGTACTTCGGGGGCGGCATTTGGGGGACATAAATGAGATAAAAAAAGCTACGACGGGGCAGCTGAGAAACCTACAACCAGAGGACTTTCAAGGAGCCTTCTCACAGTGGAAACGGCGTTGGCACAAGTGCATTATGTCACAGGGGGAGTACTTTGAAGGGGATAAAATTGATTTACCTGAATAATTGTAAAATAAAATTTTTAAAAAACTTTTATACGTACTTTCCGGACAAACCTCGTATAATAAAAACATTATCTGTGAATATTACTAATTAGGTTATCCTGATAAGAAAACGAGCATAATATATGTGCCTAGGCCCTAGGCAAATGAAGAAAAATTCGTTTCCTCGTAAATTGACCAGACAGAGAATCAAAGTCGATATTTATACAGTGTATTGTGCCTATGACTGCGCGGATTATATCGATTGTAAATTAATTCTTATATAAGATTTTGCAGGCTTTTTGCAATACAACTTCTATAATACCTACAGCAAAACCTGCCGAGGTTTTCCCCAGAGACTACAGCATGGGGTTCTTTAAAAATGGCGTTATAAGGTTTATTAAGGGTCCGTAATGCGCGCGTGACATCCTTGGTGTTATAGGCGTTCATAGGGTATGGTAAGCCCGTTTGCTATCAAACGGGCCGTATGCTTGTTTGTTAACAATCTAGTATAAAATAATTGTAAGACAGGGTTAACGATCTTTTATAGAATCTATTTAATTAAGATTGTATTTCACATAGATCCGATTCCTATTTCAATGATCTACCTACATGATAGTAAACTGTATAAATTACAAAAATAAATATTGATATCGTTTCAAAATTGGCGAAAACAAAACAACGATTTAATATTTTTAAACGACTGTCTCGACACAGTTGTTTAAAAATCAATAATTCGTCTTCCGCAGCATAAAACTAGACATATATGTTATGTGAAAAGGAAAAAATGTTTAATATACATATAAGAATCGATTACCTTGTAGCAGCATTGCCAGCTGCTTGCCCACGAGTCGCGTGTTAGCGGCGGCTCGAAGGTAATTGGGCATGGACGCGCCGCCTTCCCAGTCTACGCACACTACATTGCATTCCTCCTGTGAAATTGAAATTTAATTATATTACTGATAATGTTTGTATTTTGAGTTAAAACATTTGTCGTCGTCTTAGAAGAGAAGGTATGGACTTTTATTTAGTATTTGTATACATTATTATTATGAAATACACGAAAGGGAACATTGCAACCGTTGTATTACATATAAACCATATAAAATTGACGTCAAACGAGGAAGCAGTTGCAGGGACTGAAGTTATGAGTTCCGCTCAGGTCATATACCCAGTGATCATTCTGTTGTTTTGTTGATGTTTTTGATATTTTGTCTATTGAATATAAATATCTGAATAAGTCCAAGGTACATATGTATGTACCTTGGGCCAAATATCAGTTGTATGTATGTAGATACAACTGATATTCGAAGCGACATGTTTATTTAAGTTCTGTTTAAATTCAGTCAAGTATTTTGGACTAATAATTGAAAACCAAATTGTATCTCATAAGTCTTTGCTTACACATAAAGCATATTTTAATCGCACTATCCCAAATCCTATAACGGATAATCATATTCAAAAAGGTTTGAGTGAGATTTGGTTTACAGATAGACTACAATATATTATTTATATTAATAAATGCAGGACATATTTGTTTGGTCCTTATAAGTTATTACTTACAACAGCCATCAAAGCAGAACGCATCTCGTACACCCAAACATTGTCACAGTTGGAACCGAATCCATGTACTATGATGCGTGTGGGTCGCGAGGAGTCGAACGCTCGCGCTGCCCACCCCCATGCCGCTGACATGTTACTGGCAGACACTGCCAGTAGAGGTTGATCTCCTCTGCAATAATTATTGCAGTTTCATTTTACTATTAGTGAATGTGGCGATTGTAAATGTTTAGATGTTAGTTATTTAGCTTTGTTCAAATTATTGAACGGATTTCAAAGAAATTTGACACATGGTCCATGGATAATCTATAAAAATTACATTTCATTAGCTATTTTAACTATAACATTAACAAGTTATTTTTTTATGACCATTGAGAATTCACGACTTGATTGAATGATTGGACTTCGGTTGTGAATTTTATTATTCGGCAGGATACAGTCGTTAAAAGCATACAATAATTATATCTATGACTAGCAATCCGCCCCGGATTCTCACGTTCTCACGTTTGTTTTCAAAATATAGTCCATATTATTCGATAATAATGTAGCTTTTTATGGGTGAGAGGATTTTTAGAATCGGTTAAGTATTTTTGATTCTGTTCATTACAGATATAAAATAAATATTTCCTCTTTAACCAAGACGTAGTTTTCCATCCAAATCTACACGTTTGAATGGGTAATATATATCAAAACATATTCACAAATGTGTACAAAAACAATAGAATAAAATTACGTGGTGTACCTAAACATCAATTCTGGATAGTTCTATGAGGATATTTAAATATTTTTTGTAGTAATATGTAAAATAAATACCTGTTGACAGTGGAATACAAGAGGAAGTGTGTGCCGACTTCTTGCGGAGGGCTGGGTAATGTCTCGAGATAGGCGAATGGACCTGCGTCCTCAAAGCACCCGAACTCTCCATAGCAGACGCTGCCTTGTGATCTTTTACTCCTAAAAAATATTGATAAGTATATATTACAATTCTATTACTATTGCTATTTTAATTTAGACCCTTTAAGTATGATAGAGGAACAAACATCCCACAATTTTTACAAATTTCCATATTTAGGTACTGTTATATTTCTTAGCCCTGCTCTTCCTTATGTATTATAATTATTACGCGGGCCGCGAGGGGAAATATAAAAATAGATATATAAATATTGTATATGATACTACCTATACGGGTGGGGGGGGGGGGAGGGTTTGATAGTAATGGGGACTACCAGTCCCATTGACATCAACATACCCTATCATGTTAACCTACTACGTGACCCCTCTGAAAACTATCGTGTTGAATTCCAGGCATATTATTCACGATGGGCTAACTGACCTGTCCTTTCATTTCACCTACCATCATTCATTGCTGCCCCGCCAGCGTATACCGTTAAATTAAAGACTATCTATACAGGGTGAAATTGAAATCTTTAGCATTTAAGAGACCTTTTAAGAGAATATTCTACAATTATCGGAAATAATAAAAATAGTAAGTTCATAAAATTTCCTTTTTTAATTTTATTTTTAAAATTTCCTATACATACTTTTTATTAATAAAGTTATTTAAATAAATAAATATATATTAGACATTAATATATAATTATATAGATATTGTTAAAATAAATATAAGTCTGAATATTTTCACCTAGATACTTGGGTTGAAAAAGGATTTTTTAATCATGAAATTTCTGTCCATGTGCATGTATAAATTCTTAATTTAATTAATTAGCCTGTGTATTGTTACACAAGTAATATTCGTAGATGTTGTTATTTTCATGTATAATAATTATAAGTCTCTTATTTAGCTGTTTCTATAATTAGATACAATTAAATGATTATATTACGAATGTTCATTAAAAGAACAATAATATATTTTATAATTTTATTTTTATGTAACATTTAAGATTGCATCTAGGTATGTAGATAATTAGCATTATAAATGCAATAGAACGTCAGCGCAGGTCAAGTGTAGTAAGTATTTACAAGGTTAGGTTGACATTAATTATATTATAATGTAAACTATGAGGAAGGCTTATATTCCGTTCTTAGATTATAAAAAAAATTGTTTACCTAGCTTTGCTTATGTAAAGATATTATAAAAAATATTAGTAGATTAGGCAAATATTGTTTTAACTTCGATAGCGTATTTATTGGGATGAAAATTATCCTACCTTTCAAATTTAAGCAAACATAATACATATAGCCTGAACGAATATCGTAACACGGATTTTTTATGTATTAAGACAAGTATGTAAATAAAGGATAAATTATAGTACATCGGTTTACTAAAATTAATTTAGGTAGTAAATTAAAACGATCATCGTTATATAGTTTATTATCAGTGCACTTTAATTTGAAACATAGACAAATGTAAAAATATTTGTTCTCTTTGATCTTAAGCATGATTGTGTAACAAGCATCCAAACATGACCTCTTACAGTTACAATGTTCCAACTATGTAATTATATTACTAACTGGTTCACGCTCAAATTATGTAAGGATTCTTTATGTTAAGAGAGATCACAGATCCAATCATATAGACTAACTTAAGAGAGTACCTACGTTCTTTAAATTGTCTTGATTAAGCATCTAATCGACATGGGACGTTATGGGTTTCATCATTATCATCATATCAGCCGTTAACTGTCCTCTGCTGAACATAGGTCTCCCCTTGGGTATTGCTAGTAGTTCCCATACTTGGCAGACTGGTTAGCTACCGCTGTTAGACTTTGATTTAAGAGAGACGTTGCTGACCATCCTTCGACCATTAAGTTTCCTTAGTTAGAAAGGCTGGCCCATTCAATGCCGATATCACATTTATGGGTTTGTTTGGTCAATAATATTGTTCAAAAATTAATAAATTATGAATAATTATTTATTTTAAATGATTGTGGAAGTTAAGCGATGATTCGACATATTATCTAAAATGATTATAATTGCTTGAAAAATAATAAAATCCTATTATAAAAGCATGAGAAATTTTTACATAGTACTTGTACACAATAATAATATCAAACGCTGAGTACTACAGATAAGTACCATACTTTACAATGAATTACTTTTCAATGGGCACAAATTATATGGAAGTGCATAAACCTTATGTACATTTAGATACCGACATAGTACTGTCGGACAATTAAATTGTATTCTGCTGTGAAATTAATGAATTTGCACTATAGAAAGTTTATACAAAGTGAAACTGGAAGTGAAAGCTATCTATACTTATCTCGTTTGTTCTTAACTGAAATCTGTTATGACTAATTTAAGATTGTCCTTTGTTGGTTCTTGTATAAAAGTAGTATATTACAGACTAATGTCTATAATATGTAAGGTTAAATAAGGCTATTGACGTCATGAGATCAAAAATTTTGAAGATTTTCAACATGTATTTTCCATTTATTTTATAAATCAGGAAGTTTATGTGTTTGTTAGGTATGTAGGTAAATACATTTTATTACGTAATTTTAACATAGTACTTAATATACAGAAATTACTCGCAAACTATAATTATGGGGGGAAAATTGCATATTCCTATAAATAATTACAAGGGTAACATTGGAAAACTATTTCCGTTTTTTATAAATTGATAAATTAGTTGAATTAGTTTAATAATGAGAGAAGTTCAACAGATTTTTGGTTAATTGATTGATAGCATAATGGATCCTAGGTCACTCTGGTAGTACGTATAAATACGTTGGCACATAATTGTTATAATATACAAAACATTTAACTAGCGAAGCAAATAAATCTGTCAGAAGAATAAAAGCAAGTTGTCATATAACAATGTTAATTATATGGCGGTTTTACATCTTTACATCTTCGAACCAGAAATAGCATAACAAATATATATGAGTGACATCAAGGTCTGTCGTTCGCTGTCTAATCACAAAAGTTATGCTCTGTCGTAAATATGTATTTTACTATCTCCTTTCCGTTTTTTTTTTATAGTAGGCAACTTCTATATACATGCATATGATAAACGGCATTTTTCTATTTTTAGGTACACATTTTGAAAACTGCTTGGACTTATGACTAACGTAGTGATGGCCGGATGGTTGGATGGATCACGCCTCGTTTTTCTTTTAGGTTACGTTTGAGAACTCAACTTCAATTATTAGAGAAATCAATTCAGAGTACGATAGTGTTGATTTATCACCAAGGAAACTTGGCCCCAGTTTCCTTGGTGAGGGTTTCATCGATATTATACAGTGCGACAGCAACCATTTTACAGCAGCCCTCGTGTTCAAGTCTCTTGGAATTAAAAATGGAGCAAGATTTCAGTAGGTGGTGATGAATGTGTCATCGCACGGATACTTGTCATCTTTTATGTGGAATCTATGGAGGTATTGTTTGGCGAATGAGCGCTTACACGCAAAAATATAGCTGAATTGATAACTATCTTCTTTTTGAAGTATGTTTAAAATTACAACAGTACCTAGTACGGGATCGCTTCTGTTCCCACTGCTGCATTGACGTCTTGACTGCGGCGAGCAGTTCGGCGTCATGGCGCTCATCCTCCGCCTCCTGCGCCGGCGACACCGGCAGTCCTGCGCCACGCCATGGCTGCAGCTCTGCATCTGTCAAGAAATTTTTGCAAATGTTACTCTACTGCTTTTTACCAGCGACTTCGTTCGCAAAGATATATTGATTAAAAAAGTAGTGTACTTATGTCATTATCTATTACTAATTAAATTTCGTAGATTGTGATTAATGTATATATATGATGAAAAATTATGAAACCATTAAGACATTAAGACGTAACAAACAAACTCACTTTCATATTGATAATATTATGTACCTACTAAATATATCCAAATGTATATAGGATGTGGTATAATGACAACCTCTCAAAAAGAGGGAAAAGGACTGTTATGGTTTGTTTATTGTTTGTAAATTAAGTCCAACGATCCCATTGTTAATATTATGCGCGCGGAGGTCGACCTGTATACTCTGTCAAGTCGACCACCACGTGGTCTTATCTCGAAATCATTGACGTTTATTTGTAGTAAATTCCTCACGATGATGGGCCAACTGATTTTATCCTCACCTACTTTATCTCTCTCTAGTACTCCGTCAGAGTATACCAATAGCGCAGGCGACGGTATCGTTCCGTTGGATGAACATTGAAAAAACACTCCCACTAGATAGAACTGACTCCCTACAACACCTTTCAGATCGTTAATCTGACACGTGTTGTAGGGAGTCAGTGATGCTAGAAATGTGGAGTGGATAATAGAGATTTATATACAATATTGAACAATTAACAACTAAAATTATGGTAATGGTATAAGTACTCAAATACAGATACACATTTATATAGTCAAATATAGATCTATAATCTGTTTTATAAGTAGTCCTATTTTATTTTTATTTATTTTATTTAAATAAAAATATAGTCTTGATGTATCTTTTTTTTTAAAAAGTTATTTATTTAAAAATAATAATACAGCCAAAAAAATAATAGCCAGTAGGTTTTTTTTTATAGAATTTGAAAGATGGCCTATCTTAAGGAAAATAATGTTCTTTGTTCTAAATTCGAATAGTAACATGTATACCACACAACATTTTTTTTTACACATTCCAATTATTTTTCTCTGTTCGTATAATGCATAAATATACGAGGATGAAGGAAGAAGCTGTCTGCACTTCATTTCTTTGAAATACAGTAGGTAACCTAAATGCTGAAGTTGTTTCCGGGTGTACGACTGTCTGACAGCTTTTTGCCGTACTTGTGGCCTTGATTTGTCGGGCTTCTAGGACAGTATGTAGCTCGAATGTTGATCTACTGTGGTTGAAAGCAGGCCGCTCCCAGTCACGAGAATGGTGGGAAACTGGAGGTCTACTTTATGGTTCAGTTGGAATCGGCGGCGTACGAGTGACCACGGAACGTTTGTATCTCTAGCGTCACGTCTTAACCGATTTAAAAAAAGAGGAGGTTCTAAATTCGTCCATTTTTACCAGACTACTAAACAGTGGGGTGTAATATTTGTGGGTGTAGTAGCTATTTCTGTAATAAGTATATCTGGATAATATTTTATTTTTCTGTACATATTTTTCTTATAATAAATGCCCTTGAACATAGCGCCATCTAGTCCAAGACAAAGCAGAATTTGAACTTTGAGCACTTGAGCATTAGATGAACTGATACAAATATTTAGGTACCTACTTTTTTCATAAACACATACATAGATTTAAATATTGAATATCATTTTACATAATTCACGGATTGTTACTACAGTTATGAAGTGCTTTGATGTTTTTTATTTACAAATACCTAAACAAAGTAATAGATGTTACCATTTAGTTGGTTATACATTGAAAAAAGTTCCCGACGACGTTAATTATATATATACATACCTCCTTATTCATAAAAAAACATTCTACAAACTTATTTTAACAATTACACAGTTTTGCCACTTACTTTCAAATTAAGAATTTAGCGTAAAAGAAATAGACAAAACAGTTTAATAGCTAAAATAGGTTTATGAGAGGTTTGATGTTTTTTTTTTAAATAACAAGATAAGTGCAATAACACAAATAACCGCGAAAAATCAAAAAAGTAGAATTTTGTTGACAATTTCTGATTGAAATCGTTTAATGCACTTAATTGTTAAAAAGAGGACACTTTACTACGCCTTCACAAAATTGAACAGAGCGGGTCGAGTGTTACCTAATATAGTGGAACGGAATTTTTTTGTCAACCAAAGTTTGGTTACAAGTTACATAAGAGTAAACCAATATTTACGTATGATGAACTAGTAAAAACAGTTTGATGTTTATAGAAGGAAGTATTTTAAGCGATTTCAAAAAGGATGATATTCAATTCGACGACATTTTTTTATTTAAATTAATAAAGGCACATATGTACCTTCTTATAGACATGACTTTGCAAAGCTGTGCTTGTATCCTCGGGTGGGCATCAGCCAATTCTGGAGTGAGCATAACCCACCCGACCCTCCTCTAAATACGGCTATGAGAGAAAACCTGGTGTTGAAGACTTATTTTCATTTATATTTATATTAATAGCTATGTTACCCGCGTGAATCAGTCAATCTATTAAGTTCTTTATTTGAAAAAAAAAAGCAGGTTATTATGATGACCCAATACAGATATATAAAAGTACAACATGCCGTATTCTACCCATAGGTATATGGAAAATTTGGTACTGTTCATACGATATACTTACATTTAGCAAGCACAAGCGTGGCGGCCGCCAGGAGTACGGCGAGCGAACGCCAGGTGTGCGTCGCCATCCATGCGGCCCGGCATTCACAAGCACCTGCACAATAATATCTTTGGTTACCCACATAACAAAATGTAAAAGATAGGTTGAAAATAGCAAGTTTGTTCGTACTGTTAGTGTGAGACCCTTATTTAACATAAAAAAAACAACTTTTTCCCACACACAGAAATTATTTATTTAATAGATTTTTATACACAGCTAATAGTACATTTTCACTGATTTGAAGGTTCACTTTGACTTTGCGCGCGACGCATTTAGGGTTTAGGGTTTTATTGAGCCTGGATGAATCTAACTAGTTAGTTTTACTGGTCAGACCGGCGGGCAGTAAAATTACGGGCTAGCTAAATTACGACTGATTGAATTAGATTTTGTACGAGTTTATATAGGCATAATACTGCTGATTTAAATGGAAATAAATGATATTGCTAGTCAGCAATAATATGTCTATATGCTAGGGTTGTAATAGTACGTTTGAATAAATATAAAAAAAAAAGCTTTTCAACAGACTTCAAAAAAGAGGTTCTCAAGTTGATAGTATTTTTTACGTTTGTTACCTCATTATTGCGTTAGTTATAAACCGATTTGGAAAATTCTTTTTTTATCGCAAAAGGCTATACTTACAGATTGGTCCCAAAGATTTTTTTTTTATCTAAATCGGTTTAGTTTTTAAATAAAAATAACTGGTTTGTGACACAACTGTAGTCGCTTTTTTGTGAGACACAATCTTTAATTTTTTTTTTTAAAAACTTTTTCCGCACTTTTTTCTAGTGTTAGAGCCATAGAAAGTTATATAAGGGTTTAATTTATCAAACGATTGACAAATACAATAATTTAAAATCAGTGAAATTCTACCTAACTAGGTATTTTTAAACCAATTGCTATAGACGTGCTGTTTGCAATTTAGATAGTTTTTCTAGTCCTTTTTGATAAGTTTATCAGAAGGTGTCTATATTTCATCACCCATCCATTAACATAGCTCTAGCTCTCTTTCTATAAGAAGATAATCTTTTTTAATGGATAATAATGGAATGGCAGCTTCATTAATAATGTGGACAGTCCCATTGCTAGCAATATACCCAGACAGGTCAACCTTTCTATGGTCCGTTCGTTTCATTTCATGTAGTATTTTCTGTTCTTTTACTTTGCTTTTACGGCTTTCTGTAGATAGAGTGAGCACACGAGAGTGAGTAGAGCACATACAATTTCTACGTCGTAATGATGCATAGCATTTTCCACATTACATTCAATGAATATTATGTTTGAACAAAGTTTGAACAGAATAGCTAATAATTGATGTTGAAAATTTACCTACTTCTTTGCACTTGCTATTTATTTACTACTAGGTAGATAAAATTTCTCCGATCTCGACATGACTAAAGTGACAGTCGCGTGTGGCTACACACTTTATTAAACTTTACAATTGATTCATATGAAGATTAATGAGATATGCACATGCCTGTTATTATGTGTTAATCATAATAAATGTTGAATAAAATTGATATTCTTTTGGTATAAAATTTACACCGTGCATTGCGCGTTTACTTCCACGCGGATATTTCTTCATGCTGAAACTACTAGTATAATACTATAATTATGATATGTGGTAGTGATAGTCTGCGCAGACAACGCACATTTTATCTTCAAATAAATTTTCCTTTGTGTTAATCGTAGGTAACTTTATAATACATACATGTAAGAAAATAAGATGAATACCTACCTATAAATAAAAAACAATATAATCCAAAGCAGAATAGTATTAAATTTAGTTCTTTTAATGACAGCTGGTATCTGGAAATAAAGAAATGTTTACTTTTATTGTTGTTCTATAAATAACTAATGAATACTCTACAGAGACCACAGACTGACTCAATATCAAGTACCCTACCCAATTAAAGACATGTGAATTTTAAGTCACAGTATTATTATTATATAAACAGCTAATTGAATATGATTCACCTGTTGTATTTACGTTTGTCCCTCCTATGGTTAGCACAACAATAGAATATTTATTTATAACTTCAAATAGTCAGTGCTCTAAAGTGTCTATACGTATAACGTGAATAAATATGTTTACATTGTCAAAGTAGTTATATAATTTTGTTATGTTGGTTAGGTAAATAATAAATTAACTTTAAAATATTTGTAACTATCGACATGTCCCAACTGCGTTCTTTTTTAAAATAAAGTATATATTACTTATTGATTATGTAACTTTATGTAGGTACAAAAATTTTATAATAGATTATAAGAAATATGTTTATAATAATATAATATATTTTATAATAATATAGTAATATAATATATAAATGTTTATAATATATTGTAAGAGGCGATTAAAGGAATTTAATTGTTGAGGATGGTCAGCAGTCTTTAAACATCACCAAAGCTTTACTGCGGTTGCCTACCCGCACGCCAAGTATGGCAATTACCGATAAAAACTTGCATAGGGTAGGATAATGGGCAGTTAAGTGATGATGATGATGTGTGTGTCCTGGCATAGAATGGGCCGTTCCTTCCTTTCCCGTGAGTGTCGTAGGAAGCGACTAAAAGAGGGCGAGGGATGGGCAGCAGTGTCCCTCTTAAAACATTTAAAAAAGCCTAACTGCGGTTGCCAAGCCACTTGCCAAGCGTGGCAACTATTGGCAAAACTCCTCTTATGGGGAAGGCTCATGTCCAGTAGTGAACAGTTAACGGCTTAAATAATAAAATAATAATGATGATGATGATGAATAGTATTCACATTAAAGTTATTACTGGAATTTCTTAAACTTTAAAAGCGAAATATAAAGTAGTTTCATTTTTAATGACAGATTAAAAGCAAAATTAAACACCCGAAATGAAAATTATCTACCTAACACAATCTTATGTCTTTTACGTCGCAGTGATTTAGTAAAATAAAATTTAAATTAAAGTTTGTTTTTAGGAGAGTTTAGAAATAAAATTCCTTGTCGCTATGTCTGTCTATTGTAGCTCTCTAAATGTATGTAGTTACGTATACACATCTAGCACTAACTCAACCAGTTTTCTCAAGGTATATAGTTGATCAGATTTCTAAAACCATATAAAAAATTAACCGTGTTATCATCTATTGCAAAAAGAAGATACGGAATTCAAAATGGAAAATATCTAATGGTAATTTAAATTTTTATAAGTATCTGTATGAATTGATATGAGTGTAGCTGCAAAATAAATATAAGGATTCATGATGGAATACTGTCACTGGATTTGGGCATGTTCAGTTTTAACTGAACAACTCTGGAGAGAAAAGATTGTTATCAATGAAGTGATTAGCGTTTTTTGTTAACACTCTCAGATCGACCTCTGGTTGATCTGGACATACTCCTGAAAACGACACAATGGTATAATTGACCTGTCTTCATCTTTATCTCTTATCACTCATTGGTACTTCACTGCTATATATGAAAAATTTTTAACTATCCAAAATAGTATTTTTTTTTTATTTTTGTGATGGTTGAAGTAAATGTATTTTTTTTTTGCGGAGCAGAAACTTATATACAATTATTAATATGCCTAATTAAAATACAAACCTGATGCAAAGAAATTACCTTTGATAATTCAAATTTACTATTTAAAATGAAATATTTAAAAGCAAAATTAATTACTAATATTAAAATTTGAACGTGCACTTAGTCAATCGAAATATGATAATTATATTCTAGTGAAAAATTCGGAAAACCGCATTGTAAATTCAGATTAGGAAACATAAGGAAATAAAATTCATGAATGAATTAGCATAAAATAGTAAATACATAACTATAGAATATAAAATAACCTATACTATATGGATTTAATATTATTGTTGAACAGTAGTAACAGTTTAGTGAACAGCGAAAGGACAGTATAACGGTCAATACCTACAAACTGGCTTCATACCTGTGGTTTATATGTATTATGAACTAATTTATTTACCGAGGCCACCGTGCCTAGCCTAGCACTTGTATGTACTTAGTTGTGTAATCTGTGAAAAACTGTAGTACTAGCACTATAATAATCAACATTAAATAAATACTAAGTAAATAAATAACAAAAGTAAGTGGTTTGTTTATAAACATTAATTATTATATAATAATATACATAAGTAGAGATGGGCAATCCACCTGGGTGGGTTTAAAGTCTGGTGGGTAAAAACCGGGTGTTTTGGGTTTATTTAAACACCCAAATTTTTGGGTGTTTAACTTCATCATCGTCATCTCAGCCGCAAGACGTCCACTATACTGGACATAGACAATATTTATGCAGCCTACAGAATAAAAAACTTTTAATTTGATTTTGAGTTTATTAAGAAAGAGATGAAAGTAAAATGTAAAACTACAGTCAATCACTGTCAGATTCAGAGTTATTACAAGCGATGAATTGTATAGGTTCGATAGGCTCTATTTCGTCTAAACTGTTATGTTCATTTACTTGCTCAATGAAAGCTTCTAAGGTATTTTCTTCATTAAACTGAATGTCCTCGCATTCAGCTTTATGTTTAAGATTCCAGTTATAACAAATGAATGAAATTTTTTCAGTTCTTTCAGTTGTAAGTCGATTTCTTTTGTTATTATGTATGTAGCCTTGGATACTAAAGGAACGCTCAGTGGCTGCCGAAGTACAGGGAGCTGATAGAATACGAATCGCTACTTTGCTTAACTCAGTGGAACCACAAATACCTTTCCACCATATTAGGGGCTCAATGCTATCTAATGAGCTCCATACAAATCCTCTGGCCCAAAAGTTTTCTTTAGCTTTATAACACGCCAAATCTGCCATTACATTTGACAAACTTAAGTGTTGGCTTAAATTGTAGATAAACTCCATACCCTTAAGTTCTTCCTCTTGAGTAAGTTTACTCCTAGAGTCCTGGGGTCTAGAATATATGCTGCAAAATGTATTGGCCTCATTGCCATATTGCATCTTGAAGATACTGATGTTAGAATCTGCTGTTTGCTTTCTTCGCTCAATGTCGAAATCTCATTTAATGCAAAACGTATCTTAGCTTGTACATCTCTAAATGTAATGTATGTGCGATGCAAACGATTCTGGTCGCTCTCTAAGTAAAATATGCTTTCAGTGACTGGTTCCAAAATACTTATACATTCCCCTGTCTTCGTCCAGAAATCATCACTTAGAATTAAATCTTTAATATCTCTTGAAATTACCACATCTTCTCTAACTGTTAATATTTGCAAAGCTATCTTATTTGCTTTCAAACTTTTTAACGAAGTAACATGACTTCCCCATCTTGTAGCACAAGGCAATTTTAGTGTTTGTGTAGAATCTTCACCCTGCCTTGATTTTATCAACAAGGAACTTAATCGTTGACTCCTTTTAACAGTTTTTATTATATTTATGGCTTGCATAATAAACACAGTTACTTCTTGTATCTTTACAATATCTTGGCACAACAAGTTAAGGATATGTGCACAGCAACCGAGAGGAACAACATGTGGATATTTGAGTTTTGTTAATTCGAATGCCTTTTGTATATTTCTAGCGTTATCGCCAATAAGTACAAGAAACTTATTTGCTCCATACACTTTCATTACTTTTTCAACTTCTTGGCTAAGGTATTCACTAGTGTGAGGATTACTTTCTGTATTCAAACTTTTAACGTATGCAGGTTGAGGTTTTGATATAAGAAAGTTTATTATTCCTTCATTTCTTAAATTAGACCAGCCATCGCACTGAAGGTGTAAGTAACTACAAGCATTTAGTTCCTCATTTAACTCAAAACGCATTTCTCTATATATTTTATCTAAGTATTTTGTCGCTAAAGCTTTACGTGAAGGTATTTTAAATTTTGGTTGCAATTTTTCGAAAAATTGTATCCATAAAGGATGTTGCACCATCGATAATGGCGTCCCTGTTACAAATATAGCTCTCGCTAATTCTGTTTTTATATGATCATCGGTGTCTTGAAACTCAGCATTTATTGTAGTGTTAGCAGACGACGAGGGGCTTATAAAAGAATCATTTGTCTCTATCTCTGACAGTCCAGACATTTTGGTTTTGGACGAGCTATCTTTTATAAGTTTCATAGAGTCTTTTAATGTTTCTGGAGATTTTGGACAAGTGATAAGATGTTGAAGCATTTTGGCAGCATTACTGAATTTGTAGACCTTATTACAAAGCTTGCAAGAAACAGACTTGTTTGGTAAAGTACGGTAGTGCTCCCATATGCGTAAATCTTTAGGTCTCCCCATTGAACCTAAAAAAATGAACGATGATTAGTTGGTCTGACGAAAATTCAACAATAGAGTGCCTATTTTTTTACAATGATTATTTCTTGTTATTTACAATAAATTTATTAAAAAAATAATAAAATAAATACAAAAAACCTTTGTAAAATTACATCTCTGAGGATTAAACGCAGAAGCTATTTTATTATCTTATTGTTCTTTATTTTTCTCATCAACTTCTTTAATTCGATTAGGTACTTACGCATATTATGTTAAAAATAAATATCTAGTACACATCTTAGGCTATCCACCATTATTATCCAATGACGACTCTCAGCTAACTATGCACTATCATCCAAAATAAACGTGTATGGAAAATTTTATCCCAGTCGGTTGAGGATTGAGGATAATTGCATCAACATACGAACATACCTACATACTTTTATTTACATAACGCAAGCTAAATAAAAGCTTGTTATAATACATCTAATTTTAAGTTAAAATTGTTAAGTGATCATGATATAATTGTATCATTCAAAAATCCACTTACCTTTAATTATTTCTTGTTAAGTATAAATATTATTTCAAATCTGCTCCCTTAATATGCACTTTTTTACTGCTTTTCCTACCTAACACGTTACCAGGAAGTCACGTTACCAGAGTCAGAGTAATAGTGAACACGTTTGACAGTGATTGTCGTCGCCTCATATTCAGCGTCGACGAATAGGGGAATCCCCAGTCATAATGTATTGCATGCGTGGCGGTCTTATTCAAATCCATAAACAAAGAGATAATTACAGAACTCGATACTAGATGGCGCTGTTTTTGTTTGAAGAAAGTTTGCGGGCTAAAATACATAGAATTTCATCAATGACTTCCACAAAGAACAACATTTCTGTTTTTTCTAAGTCCGTATCTCTTCCGTATATTTCATAAGATATAAGCTTGGGCTACATTGTTATGCAACGTGATTTTGTCGCTGTCTTGCTAGCAGGGTTGACAGATATACGATTTAAATCGTACTCATACTATTATTTGTCTATTTTTTAATGTACGATCGTAAAGATTATGATCGTAATTCGCACAAAAACATACGACTTTTTGGTTACCTGGCAACATTTTTATTATGAAACGAACATGCTCACATCATCAGTCACATGCAACAATTTATTGGGGATTTCCCCTTCACATCTGGCAGTCCTGCTTGCTAGAATATAGGTAAGTCAGCCACAGTTACTGACGATCGATATTTAAAGGGTATTGTTTTTGTGCTAAATATTTCATAAAAACGTTATTTAATACTTTGTGGATTATTAATTTAGTTGATAATCACTGGAAGTAAAATGGATGCTAATTTGAGAGATCAAGATCTTCGTATAAAACAGTTAATAAAAGAAAATCTACGTAAGTACTCTTTTTATACCTAGGTAGGTAAGGTATAATAAACACAAAAGGTACTTAGATCGCGTGTGTTCGAAGCATTTATTCTAATAAATTTAATTTAAAATTGTAGAAAGAAAAAAATGTCTGCCAAGCCGTAGCCGAAGCCGATCTCCAAATATATTTGGCGATAGTGAGACCCAGTGTCCAGATGATTTACCCAGCGTCGTCGCAACAAAGAAAAAAACGAGGATAAAGTAAAAGAAAATTTACTGAAAGAAGAAACAAACTGTTCTAAATGCTTAATTTATGGAGAAGAGGATAAAAGAAATGAGTATTTCGGACTGTTAGTGGCTCAAGAATTTAAATATATACGGCCATGTGTGCGAACGAGGTGTTATGAAGAAATTTTAAAGTATCTACGGGAAGCAAAAGGCCAACATGTTGATCAACTGCAACATGAAAACACTGAAAATTAATTACTTTCATTTTATTATATATAGATTTTTAAAATTTCCTGAAATATTATTAGTTAACGTTTTATTTAATATTGTAGAATTGATCAATACAATTTATAAAAATAATTTATTGGTATTACTTACATATTTTCAAAAAAATACGTAAAAACCTATTTTTTTGGGTGATTATGGGAGTTTATAAAGCACCGGGTTTAAAATTCTTATATACATAAGCAAAAAAAATTGTTAGTTTGTATTGGTACAAGACTGTTTATGTTTTGTTCCAAGAGATTATGTTTAATTAATAATGATTCCGATCTATTAAATTTAAAGTCATTAAATTATATATAATATTTAAACAGAGGAATAAGGATTTATGAATTCTGTTCTATTTGATATTACATTTTACATTTAACCTCTCAACATCCATAGGATAGATGGGATTTTGTTTAACAATTTGAACAGTAACGAAGAGCGAAATAAATACAAAAAACATTTATAACGGTGTATTTACTTAATTTGTGTATGCCTGCTGCAAAAATGTAATTAATATATTAAGGCTCTGCATCAAAAGTTTATGTATAATGTATTTAAACTTTTGATGCAGATGAACAAAAAAAGAATGCCTTTATGCTTTCAATTTTACCTTATATTAATTTGAACTCATGTATTTTCTTGGTAAGCGTCTTCATCTTATATCTAGTCGTCACTTTTCATTGTAAAATAAGTCCAAGTGTAAACTCATCGTCTAATAAAACACCTATATATTACTTTGCAAAAAAAAGAACTTCAATTGTGAATGTGCCAAGAAACGACAAGATGTATTGTAGATAACCTACAATGGTTTGTTTCAAAGATACCCACATTGTAAATTATTTTTTATGCAACTTAGAATGTCAAACAAGCTGATGGCCTACCAGTCGTCTATAGACATGAACAATACCACGGACATGACAGAGTGTACTGTTTCGTTCATGATACCCCCCATGTGTTACCATTTCTGAAGACTAATGTGTGGTATCTCTGTAGCCTGTAAAATCACTGCCTTATCCCAACCTTTAAATCGAAACACAGCCAATGTTTTGGTTTGTAAAGAAAACTAGCAGCTTAAATCATTTCAAAATTAAAATAAACCTAACATGGGAATAAACTATAAATGAATTGTGAAAAAAGGGTTCAGAATTAGCGACATAATCGTAAAACATAGGCGCAAATTTTTTACTACTAATGGGTAAAATATATTATACATGTAAAGTAAAATAAATCAACGTTTGTTGATGAAAGCAACAGTTGAGCGTCTTGCTCTTTTTTTTCAGTTGTAATTGCAATCTGATGGACCGTAGAATCATAAAAAAATTACTATTCAAAAATACTTAAAATATATGTTTACTCTTATATATAGTTTGTTATATTGGCCAAATATCGGATAATATATTGAGTGGCATAAAAATTCTTATATTAGATATAGTTTATTTGCTATCAAAGTCCAAAGGAACCGCCGTTATCTGTCATCTGAACTGCGATCACAATATTACAACTTCAAAACTTTACACATTCAGAATTCTCTATTGTAGGATGTCATTGAACTGACCAGTAATTTTATATTATTGTGCTCTTTATTACACGGTGTTATTATGATCGGACATGTCGGTCATAATTATTGACCTGAAAAGCAATCGTGCCCTAATTACATGGTTCGTCGCCAATTCAGGTCCTAATAATGCTGACAATAATATGAATAAATATTATTTGCTAAATAGTTAAATGTAAATAAGGATCGGTCGATAAAAAAAAATCGTTTAATGTTTAATTGGTTGTTATGAAGCCACCAACAGGTAATAAGAAACAAAGAAACAAACTTAATACACTCATAAGTTTGTGTTTACATTGTATCATAAAAATAAAAAAACATCTTCAATATTTCTAATATGATAAATGTTGAAGTGAGTTTTTATCTTCTATTTTATAAATATAGCTCATTGCAAGCTATCATCAAAGACAAGATTTTGGACCGCAAAATATCTATCATAGAAACGAGTTCAATATGAGCATCATATCCTTTTTAAGACAATATTTCTAAAGTAGGTATGACAGGCGATATCGTGTGAAAGAGAATAGTAAAAATTACACATATCCCTAATTTACTAAGTGTTCTTAATTAATTTTTATTTAAAAGAAAAGGCAAATAAGCTGGTCCACTTTGCGAAAAGTGGCAACTGTTGCCTATAGGCAGCAAAAGGGATTGGGGTCTAACATTACCATTGCTAGCAATATACCCTATCAGGTAGACCTCCACGCAGATCTCCCTGGAAACTATCGTGGTTAATTTTTGAATTTGTTACAATGGACAAACTGACTTGCTTTTATCCTCACCTATCATCTCTCACTGGTTCTCTGCCAGCGTATATTTATAGCACAGGCGGGATTATTATTCCATTTTTCTTTTCCTTTTCGCCACAGCTGAAATTAGTTTTTTGCTCTTCATTTTCTTATATACTTTTAGGGCAAAATAATAAACCATTGTGTTGTTATTGTGACCATTTTGTGTAACTATGGCACACGCATAAATGGAAAAATGTTAATTGTTTTATGTATTTTGCTTTTTTTGTAAACGCACTCTTTAATCTCTTTTTACTGTGCATGCCTATCAATGTCTGTTGTTGTTTGTGTACTGTAAGTAATGCAAATAAATTATTTATCTATCTATTTATCGTTACTCATTAAAAAAGAACTATCGCCTATATACGTGAAGTACAGTAGACGTCAAAGTATATACTGTGGTGCACATTGTGCTTCTTACGTGTTGTTATTTTTGAGAACTAATGTGTTACGTCTCTGTACTCTGTAACTTCACTGCCAAGCCCCATCCTTTTAACAATTACTTGCAAATTGGTTTGAAGGATTAAGTTTAATTGCGCAAATAGTAGTGCGGGTAAAGGAGGACTTAATGTTATATATAATAGCATTCTCTCTAAGTCAGTCAAAGTTATTATTATTTCAGCCGTTAACTGTCCACTATTGAACATAAGCCTTCCATATAAGGGGAGTTTTGCCAGTAGTTGCCATGCTTGGTAGGCGGGTTGGCAACCGCAGTAAGGCTTTTAGACATGTTTTAAGAGGAACGCTACTGCCCTTCCCTCGCTCTCCCTTAGTCGACTCTTACGACACCCACGGGAAAGGAAGGGGTGGCCTATTCTATACCGGGACCACACGGCGGCTTTTAGACTTTAGTGTCAATGTATTGGCTTTGATATTGATTATTTACGTATATATGTGACCACATAACGCGTCGCGAGGGAATGACAATAAAGAAAATTGTCTGTTCTGCTCCGGTTACAAAGTATTTTACGAGCACCACCGTCCCAGGCACCGCGCCGCATTACACCACCGCTTTTATGTACATTTGGTAATTGTATTGTTTTGCTTTACGAAATATTGATTTAATACATGAAGATCTGTGGTTACGGAATGTTATTTTTTGCAATTTATATTTATGTTATTTTATGGTGATGGCACATTGTAAGATCAACTTATACGTGTTAAATAACAATACAAATGAGTGGTGCTTGCGGTAGTGGTGGTTTTATGTTTTATTTATTTATATTTTTTCATCTATATAAACAAAAATATATCGTTAAACGTGTTGCTAAGCGCAAACATTTAACGATTTAACGAACTTTCCGAATTCTCGATCTTTTCTTCTCGATCGATTCTTTCCGATGCTCGAGAACGCTTGGACGAATTCGGAAAGTTCTTTATACTGTGATTTCGGTTAATTTCTTTTGAAATAATCTTTGAAGTCTGAAAGAGGTTCTAATGAAGAGAAAATATTGTAAACTTTCCCAGAATAAATGTAAAAATTCTATTTTTCTTTTTGCTATACAATATGTTCCTAGTTATCAATCTTTAGTAGTTCAATGATCGAGACCAATATTCCGGTCCGCAGACGAAGTTGCGGGTAAAAGTTAGTTAATAATCATGGGCCAATTGACCTGAGTCATCCTTATCTATTATCTATTACTAATACTTTGCCAGCATAAACTAGTAGCATTCATATTACGGTTGTTATCCCACTGAGTGTCTATTAATGATGCAATAACATTAATCCGTATAAAGGTACGGCTATCCTGCTGTTGATTTGTATGATATTTGATACATAGATAACTATGTCCTCCCAAACACTTATAAGAAACTTGTAATCGATTTCGCGGACATTAGTAGTACCTTTATAAATGTTTACACATGAGTTAATTCAAAACTCACAATTATCAGTAATGGTATAGTCGTCGTCAGGAAATGTAGCTAGTAACGTGTTTACGGTATGGCCATGCTGTACGTTTGTAGAGTGTAACTACGTTGTTAGCTACTAAGTACTTACTTACCAATAAGTATAGAGGCGTATGAAATCAAATGAATTGTGGAAGCGAAAGCAATTTGTGTGCATAAATAGCGTTTTTCACTAGCAACTGCATAGCAAGAATAATGGTTGCACGAATGAGTCGTGTGAAAACGAATGTCGCTTGATTTCTTGCTATATCATCATACAGTCGTCACTGTGCGAGCATTTATACAATGAAAAGTAGCATCAAATGTCGAAAAAGTGAAACCGATATATTATACAAGTTTTTTTTTTCATGCAGCTTAGAATGGCAAACGAATAGACGGCCCACCTTATGAAGTGGTAACAGTCGTTTATAGATATAAACAGTACCATGGACATAACAGAGTATACTTTGCCACCTATGGTACCCCCTCATGCGTTGCGATTCCTGAGGACAAAGGTGTTATGCCTCTGTACTATGTAATTTCACTGCCATATCCCACCTTTATTTTTTATTTATCTACATAATGTTGCATTGTTAAGTTAATATTACATCAGTAGTTATAAAATTGTCTATGACTCGAGAGAGTCACATCACTAGTATCTAGAAGAGGGTATTTAATAAACATAATTTATATTCAACCGCAAAGAAGGCATCCAGCTTCATCCTCCATATATCAAAAGTCGTTTGCTTGGGTACCTTTGTCCCATTCGTGTTTTAACCGTAAAGCAGTTGTGTTTGCATGGCTGTGTTTCGGTTTGAAGGGTTGGATATGGCGTGAATTTACAGGGTACAGAGGTATAACACCTGAGTCCTCGGGAATGGCAACGCACGGGGGGTATCATGGGCGAAACAGTATACTCTGTT